GGCTATTTACACTGCTGCCGCGGTACAGTTTTCTAAAAATGTTTTAATTTCCTCACGAATACCAAAAGTGGGGTACCACATTCATCCATCTGCCAAAGCCGTAATTGGGAACGAAAGTGTCTTGGAAATCGATTGTCAACATTTCCATCTGTTAATTGTTCAGTAATTCTTGCTTTAGCTTCTCGTGCTTTTCTGCATTAAAGGAAGTCATGTACATCTGGACACACATGTTAAATGTTCTTCACATCTCCAACACTCTTCCGTCCATGATGCTCAGATTTACTTTATTGGTTAGAGTACTTTCATGTATGTGCTCCTACTTACGGGGATGATGTTAAAGCAATTGAGTGATTGAAGATATCAGATAACATTTCAATTGTTTGAACAACCCTCCACCTTCTAGTGTAGATTTGTTGATATGTCCTTCAATTTATGTGTGATATATCTTTCACGGGATTTTGGACCGTAAAAGTGGCTAAAGATATGGATATGTATTGATAATCACCGTGTTAAAAATTTAACCGTGCTTCTTCTCTAATTAAACCTAGATTAGGATGATACATAAGAGACATCAGCTTACTCATTTGAATCATTAAATTTGATCTCGCACTCGTATATCATCTAATTCCTGCAGCTAAACTTACATATATATAGTAGGACAAGACCGTATATCATCTAATTTCTGCAGCTGAACTCACATATCTGTAGTAGGGCAAGACGGGCAAATGGAGTTTCACCACATGGCTTCTAATAGTGATTATAGGAATCTAATAGGACAAACGACGTTAAAGTCTTTACAAGATTTCTCATGATTTTTGCGTATAATCAAGTATTCATCTTGCTTTAATTTGTGCGTAAACTCCACATCAAACTAGATTTTTTGAGCAAAACAATATGATTGTTTGATATGGTCAAAAGCTTATTCCTTTATGCTTGATTACCAAAGGTACTCTTGGAGTAGATTGCAAGGACGATTGTTTAAATCTTAAATCGATTGTAACAAAGGAAATGCAAATGGCAAAACCCTTTCAGCGATTGATAGGCCTCATTCTGAATCTCAAGCATCTAAGAGTCTTTAGATTATGCAAATTCTTAGCTACCGACGTTCAAGTTTGACAAACTTTTCATTAGATTCCTGCAAGTTACCCTTATATGCTATGTGTGACACTAAAAAATAAAAGAGTAGTTCACTCAAAGATGAAACATAACTATGAAGATGAAAGATTCCTAGAATAGTTCTATTCTTCTTTATATATATATTTATATTTATATATAAGTACAAGAAGATAGAATCCCAATGCCATTATACATTTCATCCTCTGTAAATTGATGACTTGGTAGATAACCATAACAAACAAACGGTTGACTGATGTGTGATTCTCAACTATAACACTTATTTTCTACGTATCAAACACACATATTGTTGACGAGGCAACTATGAATAGTGCATATAAGGTAACTAAAAGGAATAGTGCACTATAAGTTAACTATAACTTCATCTTGAATAATCTCTACTTTAGTTATAACTAACCAAAGATAGTCACAAAGCTCCTTACTTTTTAGACACAATTTACTTGTTGCACATCTATTCAAATGTTTAAACTATCAAAGCTTCATATGTTAGATTTCTAGCTGATTTGTTAGTTGATTCGCATGATAAATGTACTTTTTATTGACTCAAATACTCTATTGAGGAATATTTATGGTCTCAGATTTGTTTTTTGAGTATCTTTTCTAACTCAAATTTTTCATGATCAGCTATCAAGGTTGGTAGAAAAGATAACACAGTTGGTTTGTGAATTTTTTTTGTCATGATATATGTGTGAAAAACATGTGTATTTCATGTACATGTTTTACATATACATGAAATACAATATGTATTATCTTATGTGACAAAAGTTGTAATTTGTAGCACATTTCATCAACTTCTTTCAATATCACAAAAGAACCAATAAATCTAGGGTTAAACTTTGGTGTTCTTACAAGAGTCAAAGTTGTTATAGATAACCAAACATGATACTCTATCTAAAAAATTAAAACTCTCTAATGAAAATCTACATGCTGCTTTGTTTTATTTTGAGGAATCAACAAGTTCTACTTCATTTAATGTAAACCAAGGTGAATATGATCCCAAAAAAATTTGACACTACTACTTTGGTTGAAAATTCCTCTTTTTTGAAAGTATCATCAACCTTGATGGAATTATGATATAAACACCGCAGATGAGTAACAATGAAAGAATTGAATTACATTTACAAAATTGTTATATGCCGTGTTTACAAGAGTTAAAAGATTATGTCACTCTTGTGCGTGTTCTAAATAGAATGCCCATAGCATATCATTTATTGTTTTATTAGCACATTTTGTTTTTCAAGTTTTCAAAACAAACTATTTGAATGACTACCTCTATCAATGATTAAAACTTTGCATAATCCATGAGTTACAAAAAATTGCATCTAAGTACAACTGAGCAAGTTGCGGATCGGAACTATTCTTTTGGTAAGCTAGTTTTGAATCATCTTGATCAATTTATACATCAAAACCATAACTAAATAATTTTTTAGCAAATTTTTTTAGAAATCACCCACCAAATCCATAATAATATGCTTCCATGATGTTCTGAAATTGGAAGATGTAGTAATAAATCGGCCGGTTTTTATGACTAATGTTGATTTGTTGACAAGCTAGACAACTTCAAATATAGGTCTTCACATCCTGCCCTATTTTGGATCAATTTTACATTCGTAAGATGACCTCCGGCATCCGAATTATATTTCTCTATTATCTTTTTAACTCAATGATATAATATAACTTATCTATGACTTTGACTACAGTAACTTTCCTCGCTATGTAAATGTTTATTACCATGTTACTTGATTCTACATATTTACTTATTCAACACATTTTACCCATCGTGCTAGCCACATGCTTGCATTTGGTATGTGCTAATCCTCGTAACTGTTACTTTTTTTAAGGCATTGAGGTGTCTTGGAACACGGAATCCATTACAACTCCCTCACTTCCAAACTTGACGATCATTATTGTTTCTAAACCGCGGACTACTTCGGAATACTAACTGTGGAGTTGCCCCAGAGAAAGGAAATTCAGCTCAAAATGTTTTTTTCACGTATGTTTCTCTGTCCACGCGCATAGATGGTCCAACTCCAAGTGGTCCATTTGTCCTTCACATTCATTACAGTCACTGACCCTGTCAGCCGCATGCTCTCACTCGTCTAATATTGCAGAATTTGTATTTCCTCTTAGCGCATAGCTGGACAGTAGCTCACATTCAAGAGCTTCCTCTGCAATAAGGTAACAATGGCTGAATGTGTCCATGGTTAATAGGCCTAGGTTCAAAGTTCGATGCTTCTACAGCTTTTCTTCCCATGTTTGAGTTATTCTTTCTGCATGTAGCTTAGAAACACCGGAATCATTGTGAAATGGATATATCTCCATGTGATGGTTTTGCCATCTCATGCTTACAGATAAGCAAAAGTTACTCATTCATTTCCATCAAGCAGAAGATATATGCTAACAAAGTATATACAAGCTAGACCCACATCGAAGACCATGATTGCATCAAAATTTCCTCTTATTATTGTGCTCATCACGAAATAGCTACAATTCTCTTCACTAATTCAGGGTGCATGCTCTTTATTTGACCGTCAATCGCCTTTGAACCTGAGGATCTTTCAGTGGGTGTAAATCAGTATCATGAAGTCATCCGTTTCACGGCATTCATTGTACTGGTAAAGGATAGGTCGTTATGTTGGTTACTTCAAATCTTGTACCCACATATATATATGACACCTGAAACCCTTGGTTTCGATTACAGTGTGAAGTTGGCAAAGCTACTGGTATCCCTGATATTGCAAACTCATCTTAAATCTCGGACGAATGTTTAGAGCACATTCACTCTTCTTGAATCTCAATGAACTTGTATCAAAGAACTTGGCTATTAAGATTTTGATCGACCACTGCTTCTCATCTAGTATTAGAAAATCGTCAAACACTATGCACATGAGCAATCTACCAACAATCAGGATTTATCAGCTCAGAGAGACTGAACAATGTATCAAGTATTAACGTAAACAGTGAATCTTACTTGAGTAATAAAGTACTGCGATTGTTGAGTATGTTTCAAACACTTCCATAGGGTTTAGCTGGATTCTTCAACCCGTCTTGATTAGCTCAGAAAGACCTGCAACCATCTGCAAAAATGTATTTATTTTTTTCCGGTATTGAGACCGTATACATTTATGGTAAAACAGTGGAGATAGAGAATACAAGATTCCAGTCACCGAACAGTATGTGAAGTTTGGAAATCTGCGGCCATAGGAGGAGGTGAGATGCAGCTCCAATCAGTATGGGCCTGTGAAAATAGGTGGACACGACCTGAGTACCACTGGTTGGGGAGGAGGAGAAAAGCTTCTCTTGTGAAGTGGAATTGGATGTGTGGGGAACACAACAGGAGGTGGATGTGGTGACTCTGCAGCATCAGATTTCATGACAGCAACGGGAGATTTAGGAGGAGGACGGGTGTAGCTGGTGTCTGATGCTTCACGTCCGCTGCAGGCTTGTAAGAATTGCGTCCTTTGTTCCACTTCGAGGCGCAGTCGCTTCCTTCCTCTTGCTTCCTCTTTCCATCTCTGCTACGTTGATGCTACGTTGATGTCGGCCGTCTTTGTCATGATCCCCGAGATGTCTATCAGCATCACTTCTGTATTTGTGGTCGTCGTCGTGGTCATGCTTCTCGTCCTTGCCGTGGTACTCTGTGCTGTTCTTCTTATAGTGCTCATCGTTGTGCTATAACTTGCGGTTGCGCTTACAGGCGCTTACAGTCGCGTTTTCTCCAGCTGAGCACCTCACCCTCCCAGTGATAACAAGTAGCGTCAGATCTCGCCGATGTAGACCTACTGATATGTACATTCTGGAAGCACCCCATGTTTGAATTGCTGTTCCCTCATGAGTGACCTCAGGGTTGCGCTTGCCACAAAGGCAGCGGGAGGCCACACTGGTGACTGCGATGCAAAGATGACTTTAATAACAGGGCTACTATATTCCTGAGATCCACTGTAGTCTGCAACGTGCTATTACGGTTTGACTAATTACACACAAAACATGTCACGAAACGAAACACAAACATGAAACGAAACGAAACCATCCTGGCAACCCCAACTGCTGGACCAAGTGAACTTTTTGGAGGAAAAGAAGCGCCCGGGACAGACTGAGCAGTCAAGTAGTACCCCCAATCCCTCAACCGGGGAATATCTTAATAATCTTCGTTAACGAGGATTATTGAGATATCTGTCCCGTGCGCTTCTTTTCTTCCAAATTGTTTACTTGGTCCAGCAGTTCCTGAACTTCATCTTGCAACTCCAAGATTCTTGTCTGCGTCAACGAGATGGCGCCCGAGCATCCGTAAACCGGATCCTTCATTCTCGCCTCGGCCTCGAAAGCCAACGAGGTCACCGCATCTGCTCGGCTCGATTCTGGCAAGTCCTGCAATATCTTGGTGACATTGCTGGCCCCGAAAATTCTATGCACATTCGCAAACTTCAAAGGCTGATCTGCAGGAAAGTAAGGTGCGAATACGCACTCGGCCGTGCACTTCCGTCGTAGAAATTTACATGCTGCGCAAGGCGAGCTCGAAGAGCTCGCTCCGCTAGTGTGGGACATCGTGCGAACTGGCGATACCTCGCGTGCTGGTCGACAATCTGAGGTATATTGTGATCATTGTAAACTATATGTGAAATCAAAATGCGGTCTAACTCCCCAAATTTGGGTACCAGAACAGTCCCAACTTTGTTTCCGAGCCGCGTTAGAGTCATCAAGGGAGCAGTGGTGAGCATCTTCACATCTGTTCGTTGCACCGACATGTTTTCTAGGATGTTACAGATTTTAGAAAATAACCGATAACGGTGAAGAGAACTAATCTGGGTCCAACGACAATTTACAGATTTTAGAATATAACCGATAAATGCGAAGAGAACTAATCTGGGTCCAACGACAATTTACAGATTTTAGAATATAACCGAAAAATGTGAAGAGAACTAATCTGGGTCCAACGACACTGCACTTCCAACGCATCTTGCGCGACGTGGCTCAAGTCGGCGGCTGTGTATACCAAAAACAAACGGGGAAAATCTCCAAGCTGCGCGACGTGGCTCCCGTCGAAGGCTAACACTACAAGAACTTTCGAAGCCAGCATTAGCAACGCTTCTCGGAGCTTCGACCGACACTCCTGCGACTCCAAGTAACGGGGCGGAGATGTGAAGAAAATCTTCACATCTCCGCTGCGTGAAGAAAATCTTCACGTCTACATGCACGTGAAGATTTTAAGAAAAGCAATCTGAAGTAAAAAAAGAGCTAAAAGTAATCTGAGTGCAGACGAATCATCCTTTATTGTCAACATTCGGATTGAATCCATCATGCATTTCACAAGTAAATAGTCCGTCTGAGTGCTGTGTCCAAACTTCAGGCCAGACAGAAAGCAGTTGGGAACTTGAAGATGTAGAGACCCTTCGCAGGTTTCATACATACCTAGACCGAGGTTTGAGATCTCCTCGAGCTTTTCTTGAGAACGTCAAGATATTGCCTTCGGAAGGTTCGAACCCTCACACTGTCAAGCGCAAGGACTTCATACTTTTCATAGAGGCTGGGATCCGTGTTTTCAGGTTCCCATGCAACGTTCACTTCAGAAACAGATTCAGCTTAGACTGGCGTATTTTGTCCAATTTCCTAATGTCACTTTCTACTTACTACGAATCATAATTAGAATCAATCGTCACGGCTGCGAAGGCTCTACTTCTTCCTGCACGAGTGTTGGACGGCATCGGTTTGACACACCAGGTGCTAGATTTTACGAAGTCTTCAAGCCCAGCCTGCGTCCATGGAAGGTCAGTGCAGTGGTTCCAGTGCAGATAGGGCAACCATGATGCAGGTTCGCCCTCAGTTCCCAGACAGATGAGTATGCCACTCTTGTTGCCTTCCTACTTGTGGTGTTTGGTTTCCTCGTGAGAGGAAAGAGGGCTGCGCCTGCCAGGGAAATAGTGCTATACCAAGGCGACGCTGGCGAGTCGGAAACAGCGAGCTGCCCCGTTGGACTCGCACCCGTGAGAGAAATTAGATTAATATCGTGAGGGTCGATGACCCTCGTATCAGATATTAAACTGATAAGAACAGATACTACACTTGATCTTAGCCAAAAGGCCGAGAAAGGTATAGTTATCTGACGGGGCTCTCGAGTTTATGTATCTCACGAGAAGCGCCCAGGTTCCGCCTCTGTTATGGGTTTAACTCAACGATTTACTGTTGCTTATCTAAGACTTTGACTACAATCCCTTTCCTTACAGTAACCATATTCCTCGACGTGTTCTTGATTCTCTTTCTTTCCTTATACAGTATATGGATAACAAATCGTCGAGGTGCACAAGAGAAAGAAAACTCGATTCAATTTTTTTTCACAGCCATCTTTCTCTATCCACGCGCATAGATGGTCCATATCGCTCGACGTATTCTGGTTTATTTTGCCACATTCATGCATAACGTCCTGCGCCAATTGGGGATTTTGCTCATCAAGTAATTGCTACAATTATCATCACTAATTCAGGGTGATTTCAAGGGTGTGAGCTCAATCCATCGCCTCTGGACCTGAGGATCTTTCCGTGGGCGTGAATCAGTTGCTGCGAAACTGCAAGCAGTTGTGAAGAGTTTCAAACAGCCAACTCAACTGTTGGGATGAAATGGGTGAATGAACATTTCAAGCTATTTATTATAAATGATAATCGATACGTGATAATGTTGGTCACTTTGAACTTGGTACCCACATTAATATGAAACCTGCAATCTTCGGTTACCCTGAAGGGTTCACATACTAACTGATGTCCTTGACCTATATTATTCATCCTGGATCTAGGAAGAGTTGTAAGAGCAAGATTATGATCCTGGAACTAACTCATCGGGCTCATCATGACTAATTATCATGGCTATTAAGATTTTGATCGACCACGACTTCTAGGCTAGTGTTCGGAAAACGTCATAAACAATGCACATTATGGAGTTTCCAGCAATCACAAATATCAGGCTGGGATAGACGTCACGAAACCTCAAATATTTATGTTTATTATTTATATCTATAATACTATATTTCTGAGATACACTGAAGTGGACGTGCCATTACGGTTTGGTTAATTACACACAAAACATGTCAGGCAACGAAACCCTTGACATGCTGTAACCATCTTGGCAACTTTATTACTATTTATGTTATTATTTATATTTCTAATACTATATATCTGAGATCCACTATAGTGGACGTGCCATTACGGTTTGACTAATTACAAACAGAACATGTCAGGAAACGAAACCCTTGGCATGCTGTAACCATCCTGGCAACTAGATTACTAGAGAAGATTATTTACACTGTTCAGGGATTGGGGGTCCACTTTGCCCTTGCCCCTGAGTCAGTCTCATGCGCTTCTTATCCTCGAAATAGTTTAGTTTCTCCTGCAGTTCCGCAACTTCTTCTTGCAACTCCATAATTCTGCTCAGCGTCAACAAAATGGCCCCCGAACATTCGTATACCTGATCCTTCGTTCTCGCCTCGGCCTCGAAAGCCAACGAAGTCACCGCATCTGCTCGGCTCGATTCTGGCAAGTCGTGCAATATCTTGGAGACATTGCTGACCCCGAAAATTCTATGCACATAATAAAACTTCAAAGGCTGATCTGCAGGAAAGTAAAGTGCGAATACGCACTCGGCCGTGCACTTCCGTCGTAGAAATTTACATGCTGCGCAAGGCAAGCTCGAAGAGCTCGCTCCGCTTGTGTGGGACATCGTGTGAACTGGCGATACCTCTCGTGCGGGTCGACAATCTGAGCTATATTGCGACCATTGTGAACTATATGTAAAATCAAAATGATGTCTATTGCCCCAAATTTGGGTTCCAAAACGGTCCCAATTTTGTTTCCGAGCCGCATTAGAGTAATCAAGGGAGCGTTAGTGAGCGTCTTTCGTTGCACCGACATGTCTTCTAAGATGTTACAGATTTTAGAATAAAAATTTAGATGTGAAGAGAACTAATCTGCACTTCTAACGCATCTTGCGCTTCGTGGCTCAAGTCGGCGGCTGTTTATACAAAAAAACCAACTGGAAATTCTCCGAGCTGCGCGACGTGGCTCCCGTCGAAGGCTAACACTATATGTTCTTGTAGTGTCAGTCGCTGCCCAAGAATGATCTACCTATCACAACACTCTCGCCTCGGTTGTCTGATGTGTGCCATTACGAACAAGAATGGCCCATCATCAGCTTCGACTAAGCTCGTCCGGATTCACTTCTCCGTGTTCATTGATGTATGTGTTACGATTTGCTTCCAAAATTAAAGATAAGAGAAAATTTTCAGAACGTAAGTCACAATAAACCAACTTTTAACCACATCAGAGTATATAACACATTTCGGGGTAATCACATACATAAGTTACTCGGCAGAGCTCAATTCACTTCTTAGTCTCAGGATTACTGTCCTTTCCGCTTGTGATTTGTTTTAATGGATACATAAACCTTCAAGCACATCTCGGTCATACATCTCAGACAAATTACGATCTGTGGGAAAGAATTTACTGAAATGTGAATAAACGAAAGTGGAAAATATTCAAGCATCGGCAGCCGCGGAACTGGCACCTTCCAACAGCTCTTCTTTCTTCTATCCACACACAGACCTTTTATTCCACACTTAGATTCACTTCGGATTCTTCTCCTAACCCCTTGCCCTGGATTCAACAGCTCATAAAATGTCCAGGAGAAGAAATTCTTTCATGAGAAAAACATGAGCGTGACCAACATACAAATCATCTTTAGTGTAGTGAAAGCACACATCTTTTTAGACTAGACGGAGCACGAAGAAAATCGGATATTGACTACTATGAATGAGACAGAATGGACGATTCGTTCTTGGAAGAGTACATTTGGGCAGAGAGATCATTTCTCGCCTTGTAGTTAATAAGTAGAAAGAGCACTGTATTTCCTACAAGATCACTTATCCACTTATATTGGCTCCCCGTACGAACAATCAACGCTTATGATAGCGTCAACGATTGGTTCTTGCGTATACCATTTGCAGGCGAAAAATTTTCGGCGTTGTCTCACGTACACGAAATAAGAGGAAGAGGGACAAACCTGACGTACATGTTCCAAGGTAAACGAGTGAGGTCAAGGGCACAACTCCATAGAAGGGTCACGGTCTGCTGTCAAGTCTCCGAAACGCCGGCATAATTTGATCTAATGCAGGGCTTTGCTTTGATAAGCTATTTGGAGTGGTTAGGTTGTGCCTTGATACTTCCTGACTTTACAAATCAAGACATGTCACAACAACACCCTTCCGATTCCTGATTCACTTGCTTCTCGGCTTAGAGTCTTCGTGCAGTCTTTCCTTTCGACAAACAACATGACGACTTACACCTCGCACGTGATTTCAAATCAGACGTTACTGTAATTCCATAACTATTTTGGTATGTAAGACTCGGCGTCATAGTTCCACAGTGAACTTCGAATCTCCTCATTCACACTATATTTGGGTATGAGAGAGTGGGCGTCATAAATTCAGTGGACTTGATCTTCTCCTTACACTTACCTCCTGTCCACAGGAAAGCTATGTTAACTTATTGGGACCTCGATCTTCGAACTCGAATCATGACTGATCTGTGCCGTGCTCTACATGGTACAATAAATACATCCAACCTCTGATGTTTGTTCAAAATTGAATTGAATCCGACACATACTACAAAATGGTGTTCAGTCAAAAGGTTGACTCAGGAAGAACGAGAGAAGCTTCACGACCCCATACACAAAAAAATCGTGACAACTATAGTTTTAGACAAATTTCAGAATAAATAAACGACACATCACTTAGAGTATTCAAATCTAACTATTGACTAGCTATCTTAGAAAATCCATTACTGAAGAGATGACACACAACAAAGCCTTACTCGACGTTGCGGATGTGATCTTCATTTCTGAGGATCAATTTCCACAAAGATAAACAAGACGTATGCCAACAACAGACGTGCGCAGGTGAGAAGAACAAATTTGCTGTAATCTTCTACAACAAAGCATCAACGACAAATCGTCTGTACACAAATGAGAACATTATCACACAGGTATAATACACCTAAATAAGGTTGGAAAAGAACTCACAAGAGTGCAACTCACGACAACGAACAAGAAAGGAAAAAACATTGCCAATGTCTACATTAACGTTAGTAGATACGGCACCCAAGTGAGGATATGGTATGCAAGAGAACGGATGTAAGTAAGATGATGGTTAGAAGATTCATGTTGATGAAGATTTTACTAGAACGAAAGTAGAGGAGGAAAGTAACAGATTGTGAACAGTATACGAGCATACTTAACAGAAACGGATCTGCAAAATTAAGTGAAAACACACATGATGGAGAAAATTCAAAACTGTCAATGGAGAAACCAGTACTCGATAGAAAACTGTGGAGTTCAAGTGAAGAGCAAAGGGAATGTATTGTGAAAGTTACATGTACTTAACGTAAGAACTAGGAAAGTGCAGTGAGCATAAACAAGCACATACCAAAGTAGAGTAATAGGGAGAGTCGATATAACCCGTTCGATGCCCGTGCATATTAATATCGCTTCCTTAAATAGAACCAACAGCTAGCACCTTGGAAAATTCGATGTAAACGTAATGACAAAGGTAACAAACGTAATGACAAAGATAACGAAGCAATGAAAAAGGTCAGTCAGATGCAAACCTTACCACAAAGCACGCTTACTGCTTTGCCTTCATCACAGACCAGATGAAAACACATCTGCATACGGAGGTCCAAGCATCTCATCGTGGTAAATGCGTCACCTTAAATCCGAAGGATGATGGAAGTGAGTGGCACTTAAAGCTCCGTAACACACGGACTTGATCTCACTATTAGTGGAGACTACGTGTCCATGCTAGTACAGATTCAATTCGCCTAGAAAGAATGGTTTATAATCCGAAATTTCTAAAATTCGAAACAAAATTACAACAGCCACTTTCAGCTGAAATGCACTTGTATCATGGACGTTCTAGTTCACTTTTGTCCATGCCTGGTTTATCTGTCAAATCATTTTCACTGTGCTTCCCATTGCCATCGTGATGTCTGTGATGATGATGATCCTTCTTGTGCCTTGTACTTCTCTTCCTATCTCCTACAATATCCGTATCATAGCTATCAGATTCATCATCTCCAGCTCCTTGTTTCCTCCTTCTCGACTCCTTACGTTCTTCGGACCCCGAGTCTTCTCGATCAGAGCTGCGCCGTTTTCTTCTGGGTCGCTCTCTCCTGTCTATGTCTGAACCAGAGTCGTCATCAGGGCTACGTCTTCGCCTATTCGACCTTCCCCTGTGATATTCTACGTCAGAGCCCTCATCTTCAAAACTGCGCCTCTTTCTCCTGTGCCTATCCTTATGTCCATCCGAACCTGATGATATATATCTCTCGGAGCTCGAATGGTACCGTCGGTGATGCCTCCTAGACCGCCGCTTGAGGGTTTTCTTCTCAGCCTCCTCGTCAGAGCTCCAATCTTCAGAATCGGAACTAGAAGTAGAATCGTCATCCCTTTTGTGTTTCTTCGACGGCTTCCGCTTCTGTTTCCTACGCCTCCTCTTCGATCTCTTTTCCCTCTCGGAATCACTCCCGTCGTCGCTCGACTCTGAGATTGAACTTCTTTTCTTCTGTCTCTTCCGGGCCTTCTTCTCTCCTCTCGCTTTGGCTTCCGCTTCCTCTATAGCTCTCTGTCCAGCTTCGAGCCTCTGCTGCCACTTCAAAGGGGCTTCTTTTTTCTCAAGAGCTTTCTTCTTCTTCTCCTCGACCAGTTTAAGGAACTTCGCGCTGTCCATACGTCTAAAACCTTAAAAGTAGGAACTGAAACCCCTGCATTATAGGTGACGGTAGCAGATGCCGGAGAGTGCATCTCACATAAGGTAACAGACCATGTTAGCCGATCGTATATAACTGGCTTCCAATAAATTCCGATTATCAAGAACACAAGAAGCGCTCAAGATTCACTCATGGAAAACTTTCATTATTCGTCCGTCAATGATAACGCGTGGCATATCAAATAATTTGGTTTCCTCCAGTGTGCAATAAAAATGAAATACATGATAGACACTGTGCGTACAAGTTCAATCAAAAAGCTGCTAAAAGCTTCATGACCACAACTCGTTTCCACCTCGGGTGGAGGATTCTTTCACATTGTAGGCAGGAGAAAAGAGGATCAGAAGCTTAGAATCTGGACCAAAGGAAGGGTATGCGAACAATTCCCAACAGCTATCTCAATTGTGAGATCTTCAAACGGCTGATTTAATCTCCGGCTGGGCCTCGAGAGGAGGTAAATTATGAATTGAAAATTAAAATTAGAGGAGACCAATCACTTTACGCACTCAAGGAAACCCACCCAAATTGGCACACTCTCAACATCTTGTAAACTTTGGCAATTTTTGGAGCGCCGAATGGAGAGTGCAAGAATTGCAAAAACACACAGAAAGATGGCCAAGCAAGAAGGTGGTAAAACCAATACTGGCGAAGATACACCACAACAAAGAGGACGACTTCGCACAATAGACAGGAACATGCCGAGTACGGTGTCCTTACCTTATGCAGCTGCGAAAGAAGCCCCCGCGTCTTCGTTCGAGTGGGGAAACCGCGCCTGCACGAGACGGTCGACGCTCAAAGCGGCTCGAAGCGACTGCCTTCGACACTCCGCGCGCACTTCCGCAGTCTCAATGACAGGCCTCGCAGGGGCGCCAGATTCCAGCTCGAGCGGAAGAGCGGATCCGCGGAACGAAGCCTCGAGCTTTGCGAGGGGATCATAAACCCTAAACAACGAGGAGAAGCGGAAGCACCAAATGCAGCACCGTCAGAAGCAGAAGCCGAATATCGACGCCTGTGCGTGTTCACACGCTCGTCGGTCGCCCGCTTTCCTTCCAGTGCAATCGAGGACTCAGAGCGGACCAACTCAATTTAGAAATTTCGGCGGTAGTCTCTGACTACGCACAGTCGTACATGTGGTACTTGGTCCGCTTCCTTACTCCTAAGCCAGTAGAGCTGTACAACCATGTAGTGACGCAGCGGAGCCTCAAGCTTCAAAAGTCGGCACACGTCGCATTCTAATTGCGTCTTGTTCTCTGTCACGTCAGTCCCACAGGACTCAGGCCATGTAACCATGCAAGAAGAGGAGCCATTGAGTCAAGGGTGTGAACACCGTGGACACTGCCCATGGACGAAACCACAGGAGTCATATAGGGCTAGCCGAATGAACAGAATACCGCAGGATTAGTCAGAAGGTTATCCATTTCATTCTCTGCCCTCATTCTTTAACCTGCAAACAAAATGGCTACTTCATAAGCCTCGAATGCGAAAATAGTAAAATTATGGGATAAAGTCGACTCTTCTGAATAAGTGACAATGGGTAGCAGTAGAGAAAGATAATTTCCTGTACTATCAATATTTTAGTAGTCAAACTATCTAATGACCATGAGCACAATGTAATTTGTTGACTTGAGGAATTTTTTTGCAATTCAAAGAATGAGGATGCAAATAAAGTTTGATATAAAGATAAAGTAGTCTATATTTGATGACAGAAGCTCTAACATAAAGCCTCTCGATATTCCTAGTTTTGCATTATTGAGTCTAGTTTGATGCTCTTCTCATTCATATATTTTCTTGATCTTTCACAATAAAAAATAGAAATCTTGATTTGAGTCTAAAAAATTTCATCATTTGATTCAAATTTTACTTTAAAATGAATTATCAAAATGAAAAGTGAAATATTTTATTTTAAAATATCAACATCAAATAATACCAATGTTGGAAATATAACATATATTTGATTTTTGAAGCTCAGAATATTATAGATTTCAACAGGTCAAAAATGTAACAGTAACAACATGATAATAACTTTAAAAAAACTAATTACGTAATGAAATTTCAAATGACACAAATTTTAATATTCTAAGAATGCATGTGATACAAGATTCATAAATCACACAACAACAAAGAATTGATCAAATATTATTTATCATGTATGTTTGCAGTTTTTTGACATTCAACATAAATTTTGTTTATTAGTATTTTGCATACACATCATCAATTTTTGACTTCAAATATATTTTCAAAACTCAAAAATCATTTTTTGTGTTTTAAAGTGTTTTTTTAATTACATTTGTAACAATTGTTTATACAAATAGCACACTTCATCATGTCAACACTAAAGTACGTGGTTTGTCAACGCGGACTACATTTGCACAAACACAAACAGATTTTATTGATAAAAACCTAAAATCATCATCAAGAGTTTTTTTCACAACTTTTTTATAATAATATCATAACATAAATTCTAACTGGAATATGACATGAGCTAACTATTAGTAATCTAACTCTAGAACTACCATTTTATATTTGCTAATCACACTTTTAATGTACTTGTCTTGAATCAATCATAATTTTTTTTACTTCAAATCCTTACAAACATCAATTTGTAACATACTCTTTGATTTATGCAAGTCCTTAATCTCACATGAAAATTTCAATTCGTTTATACATCTTTTCACGTTTAATTGATCATACAATGTCAAAGTAATGAGATAAAAAATCTCATATTTTTCACTTTTTTTAATATCTTATACACACTTGTATCAAATCTTGGATTTTTAGATGTTTGTTTTGATACATATAATTAAGCAATTTACAAATAAACTTCTCTTGATCTTTACTCTCAAAGCCAATTGATGATCTCATGTAAATTTTTCTTCTTCAAATATACATAGAAAAATGTTGTAACTATATATATATATATATATTATTTACAATTGGAATATATATCACAACAGATGCATATAGCATTGTAATTGTATCATGTTGTTCATCATGCAAAAATAACTTTGTTGTAGTGCACAACATTTTCTTGTGTGAATACTCTAGCATCAACATAGTGTTGAAGATTCTTCTTTCATCATTTGATGGTTAATTTTTCACTTTGTACATTCATTTGCTACGAATCAAAGTTTAATCTCTTGAAATCTACTAGCTTTCACATTTTCTCTTTCATCAACATTTTTATCTTATGATTCATAATAATTTTGCTCTATTATTGACAAAAAGTGTGAGCTTTTCTATTAAAACAAGAGTCTACTTCTTTTAAGATAAATGCAATGTCATCATCATACTTATTCTAAATATCATAATTTTTAAAATGAATACATTAATGCATAATTCACATTTTACAGAATCTTTATCAATCCAACTTGATGATATTCTACTTGCTTTTAAATCAAACGGTGTAGTTATTGAAAGTTTATCAACAATAAATTTTTCTCTCCAAATCTGCTCTTCATGAATTTGTTCAATTTATTTTAAAATTGTTCATTGTATCAAATCATTAAAATCATAATGATCAATCTTTCACTCAACAACAAAAGTTAATACAAATTTGTTCTAAAAAAATGCGGGATTATTTTGATCAAAATAATATCTCTTTTTCGTATGCATAGAAGAATTATGAATGAAATTTTGCACAAATTTTGCAATGAAAGTTTTAAAAAATTTATTCATGAACTTTTGGAAAGTGGATTCAGCATTACATATATAAAATTGCATCATGTTAGAGTCAACAATTTTTCTTGATGCGATAAAAATAGTCTATAGTTTGTACTTTGAAGCAATTTGAATTTGATTATAGCCATAATAACCAACTTCAAAATTATAAAACTCATGATATGCAACCTATTCTAGAATCTCATCTTTGACATGTGGATTATAATATTACTTCTTTCTGACAAATATATTTTTTTTGTAATTCATGCAAAAATGTAGCTTATAAGTATTTTTTTAACAATCACAATAGGAAATTTTCAAAATTTTTTATTTCAAAGAAAATATTGATTTTCTTTAACTTTTCTTTCATCATCACAACCATAGATTAATTTATCTAGCTTTATTATTTTTGCAGAATAGGAGTAATTTTCTACTCCAACTTAATGTGATAAGTACTTAATAATACATGCTTTATATATATGTACCAAAAATTAAAGACATGCAGAATATATGCAAATAATCTTGTATGTTTTTACTTAGTAGACTTTGTATCAAAATTGAAGTTGAAATATGGTGTACACATGTATTCTTCATTCATCTTGTCAAAATTTTTCACCACACTATATCAAGAAAGCAATCTCATAGCAACAACTTGAACTTAAACATCATATGAAGAGTCATCCGATAAGGTATTTTTATCAAAATTTGACAGTTTAGTGTCAAATTTTAACAAACTTTTTATATCTATGTTCTTTGATTTTCAATATTCACTACTTGGTAAAACCAAATTTGTTGTTGCATCTACTTTTCTTGTTAACAAAATTTTCACATGATGGTTCCTTGTACTTCTACAAATATATTTCTTGTGTCCTCAATTAGTAGTTTGTATAATCCTCAAACCGAAAAGGTTTCAAAAACAAATCAAAACTAGCTTACTTAAACACTTGATAAACATAATACAACTATATTTTTTTTCCTTGTTGTTGAAAAATTATATTGAACTTTTTCTAATACAATATCAACACCAATAACTTCATCCTATAGTAATTAATCAATGAAAATACAATTAGAATTGATTATTATTAATTGTCATAATAATCTTCTCTCCTAAATAATCAATGAATCTTATCGGCATCAAGATATTGTCAATCATATAAACAATATCGTCATCTTTGCTTAGAACTTGAGTCAATCTAGTTCCACTTATATGTTTCTAAATTAAGCTTGTCATCCAAATTTTCAATAAATGATTCAAAAATGACTTTACAGTGCTGCATTAGTGTTTCATTGATACTTCCATCACAGTTTGTTGCGTTTTGAAAATCATTTGGATTAGATGATCTTATATGAATTTTCAATTCTTATATTTTTTTTTCAATTCCTCAATATTTGATACTTGTTGCACAAAAAACAATTAACAACATTATGTTTCTATTTTTCACAATAAAAGCAAGTCTAGCATTTCACTCTTTAAGACTATTATTTCTTTGAGTTTCATTGCGTTATAATCAAGTAGACTACTACATGGACATTGTTGTATTTTGAATTATCTAATATTATAGTTGATTTTTACATTCATCATTTCTGTTGTTCAAGTTATATTGAGAGCTAATCTTTGTACTTGTAAAATTTTTTGTAAGTTTTGATTTTCATAATTTTGTATACAAATAAGATCTAGACTTTAAATAAAAATTCAGATTGACTTTGATTTACATTCTATAGTAAATCAAAATCTTGAAAAATGTTTTCAAAACATAATAACAAATATAATAGTAATTATATCATAACTAATTTTTATTGAAATAAACCATTGTAGGTTTGACTAGTTTTTGATATGTGTCAACATATCATTGGCCTACATAAATCTCTTAAAAACTTATTAATCTTTCGCTTAAAATGGCGACATGTCATTTGAGACCTTCAAATTTTTAGAACCTACAGTTGTCATCAAATCAACTTTAAATTCAATCTAACCAATGAATTTTACATCATTTAATCAAACCATCAAAAATAATCATGTGATCGAAGTCTTTTATCTTGTAATGTAAACTTTTACAAGAGACAAAATAGTAATGTTAGATCAAATCTTCTACAATTTTCATAAGTAATATGCCAAGTATAGACATGATAGCTAAACTTCATTATAACTAGATAAACTTAGTCATATCTAGCTAGACTTAATCATATCTAACCTAACCATGATCAACTCCTTTGTTAATTTCAATATTACTTTACATATGTCATCCGGTTTACAATACTCTCATTGTTATGTTATTTTGGGCAAAAACCAAATTCAAAACATTTTGACTTTAAGATTAAAGTTTCGATAACATAATGAAATATGTGAATTTTATTTCAAATGGATTTTTGGTACCTTATCATGATTCTACAAGACAAGTATTCATATACATGTTTACATATTAGATATTCTTTCATGCTATTTTTTAAGTTATTGTTCATTGTTATTCCAAGATGATAATGTGATTCAAACTTCTATAGATCGAGCAAGTATCCACTCAATGATATCTCTATACTTCTCCATTTTTACTAAATAAGAAATTATTATAGTAACATTTAGTAATTTAGTATAAATCTTGATATATTTGATTAATTTTCATTATATTACAACATATCATTGATTTAACTAAACCTTATAGAATCCTATTTGTACATACTTTAAAATTATGACATGACATTTGAAATTTTATAATATTTATTTGCCATTTAATCAATTATAGAATTAATCTAGTCATGTAATTTCTATTAATTAGTCAGATTAATCAAAATTAAAATATAGTTTAGAAAAATTCTACTTAAGATCTATACTCTGAAGCAAAAAATAATAATGCTCATTCATGACTTTTAGAAGTATCATGATTGCTTTATCAAATATGAAATTAATTTAATGCTAACATTTTTCATCTATTTGGATATTTTTATAATAAGTTTTATAACAATTTTAACCCTCTTAATCTTACAATTTACATTTTTCTTGTTAAATTCTTTCAAATAGTAGAAAAATTACTAAACTATATCATAAATATAGCATTGAAATATACAAATCATTTCAAAAATTATACATTAGCTTTAAGATTAAACTTACAATATTTCAAAGAAAAATACTATCAATAAAATAACTAAAAAAGATAAGAAATTAATCTACAATATGTTATGTAAAATATATCAAGATCACATTATATGTTTTATAATTTTTTTACTCGTAATTTCTTTATTTCAAGAAAAACAATAAATATTATTAATTCATTAATTTTTTCAATGTAATAAGTAATAATGAATTTTTATTGTTTTTATTAATAATAATATTATTATAAAATATTATATATAAAAAAATAAAAAATAATTTTACCACATAAAATAAATGTAATATTTATATTTTTATTGAATATAAATTATTTTAAAAAAATCAATTTAATAATCACTTTCATTTAATATTCATTCAAGATGGCTGATCTAAATATTTTTCTCAAATTTTTTATAAAGCATATTATTTTTATCTGTTCATTTAAAAATGAGGTTATTTTTTAATTTAATATTTTAAAAATGATCTAATCTAATTAAAATATAAATTATTGTGATAGGATAAATGTGTTGGTATAAACTTAAGTCCAAACTAAATTCAGCTAACTTAAACCTAATTAACGTTATGTTTAAAGTTTATTATTAAAAAAATATGTTGAAAACTCTTCTCAAACATTTTAGATTTTAGTATAATATACCTCATGTTCTAGCTATTTATAGCTAGTTTGATCCATGGTCTGGGTATGTATAAACAGGTCTGTGTATAATTAAATAGAACGGTAAGTACAACCTCAAGAGATTCTTCCCTATGAACGAAGTACTTGAGGGTGAACCACATTATACGCTGGTGTTTTTCGTCTTGGTGTCTTATCTTGGTCTTCACTGTTTACTATCACTTTATCTTGTGTGTTTTATACTTACATGTAGTGCTGTATAGTAATAACAAATCACATATTCTCATGTTGACTTTGTGTGTGTGTTTTAGCATATGATTATGTTCTCTAAGTATCTAAGTTTTTTGTGTGTATGTGGATTTATTATGATATTTTTAGCAACAATTTTGTTCATGTTTGCAATAAACTCTAAAATTTATCACTATATATATATATTTCATCTATTTATTTAAAAAATTGTGATCTATAATACAGTTTTTAAAAAATTAATAATTTGAAATGTAAAAAAGAATTCAAACTTTTGTTAATAACGACAAAAACACATAAACTGCAAAAATATATATAAAAAAATACCTGTCATTTTTTGGTTCATATGAAAGTTTTAAATAATAATTTTTTCATATATCATTAGCTCTATATTCAAGAATTTTTTTGATGTAAACAACATCAATTTTATATACTAATATTTAAAACATAATGTTCATAAATCTTCAAATTACTTTTGATCAAAATACATGACAGTTACCAAAAAAAATCAAATTTATATCGCTTATATGTAATGAAATAAATTTATCATGTCATTTTCTTCAATATGTTTGAAATTTACTTCATCACAAATATGCTCTGCTGTCTAAGCAAATGCAAAGTCAAATACCCTCTTGTTTTGTATGTTGTGTCTTTTATGCGTGTGGGGGGAACTTACGAAAAGTTCTAGCCCTGAGTTGTTCTTTTTAGGCTGTATTAAAGAATTAAATAGATTTAAACCTTGTTCCTGTTGCTTAAAACCCAACTCTGTGTGCTTAGTCAGTTTGTTTGCACGTATACCTTCCATTACGTTTTAGCATATACAAAATTCTATGTTTGTATTTTTCTAATATGATAATCTATCTAGTTTCATGTTTAGTTTTATCTGTTAATTGTTCATTTCCTGGCTTTTTGCACAAGAATTTTTTTTTACTTTATCTTGAAATTAGCTATGAACTTAAGCTGAATTGGTACAAGTTTGACTAAGAAAATATGAATCTGAAGATCAACAACTTTATTTTCATGAGTTTGAACATTCTTACGGTTATTTTTTCACAATTAAAATCATCACTTGTAATAAATATGAAAGAATTAGTTGAAATCTATGTACAATCAATTCATGAGTTGCATAGAACATGTATGTAATTTTAAAGACATGCTTGGTGAAATTCTTCTTCATATCAAAACTTGAAGCCACATTGTTGAAGAAGATTTTAAACTTTACTTTATGGATCTTGTTGTGGATTTTTGCAATTTTTTGAATCTACCATTATTTTTGTCTTTAGAAATTTTAGTCAAATTTTTTTCTAGATCTGATTTTTTATTCATATTAGATCAGTCATTGTGACTATACTTGAGTCAAATTCAACTATCTATAAGATGAAAAAAATGATGTAAAAACCATCATAGATTCTAGTTTATATTCTGCAGTGATTGCTTGTAGATGCATTTTTTTCATATATTATTTTTCTAAATCTGAAGAACAAAGTTTTATCATCACAAACATTAATACAATAATCTATTTTCTATCGAAACATCTTATCTTACTTTTTATTTTTTAAAATTTGTGAGCTTTAGCTCATGAATAGATTATAGAATAATAGATACTTCTGAAATTACATTAAAATCAGAATAGAAAATAAAACTATTAATAGATTATTCTATTGATAGAATAATTCTATATTATAGATTTTTCAGCCAAATTATAGAACGATCTATGATTTGGCTGAAGAAAAATCTCAAAAACAAAAAAAAAAAAAGTTTCAAGTGTTGAGCTAAATATATATAAGAGTCAAAGATCTAAAGTAACTATTTTAAAGTCAATATAAATATGTATGTTTAAATTCACACATAAAAATTTATACTCAATATTATATTTTTGGATAAAATACAATCAAAATATGAAATGATGAATTAAATACAAAAAAGAGTACGAGCATTTCCTTTCAAATTCTAAATTAAAATGGAAGTTTTCAAATGTCCATTATGAACTTATTTATCTATTTTCTTTGCAATTTTGAGGCCGTTTTTTATTTTCACAATTGTATAATGTTTAAATGATTTTTTTTGGAAATTTATTCTATTCAACATGACAAATTCTTTGATGCAAAACTTGAGCTCTATTTCTTTTATGCTAGTATGGACTGCAGGCACTCTTTAATACAAAAATAAATTGCAATCCAAATCCAATATTTAAACTTTGTGACTGGTGGGTTTGCAAAATTGGTGCAAAAATTTCTTTCTAGATCTAGCAGCACACAAACTGGTCTTGGAACATACATGTTCACGCTCCACAAGAACTCGCAGCAGATGTCATGCGACAATCATCAGAGTGAGTTAATGGTGCCAACATGTAGATTGATACGCAAAACCATGAGAAATCGAATATGCTCCATGGTTTGACAGAATAACTACTTGCAATTTAGTATACAAATTGTATGGTGTACAAAAAGAGATGGCTATTACAGTTCTTTTAGTCCATTTGGGTGAGGGGGCCAAGTGGATAACAAAAAAGATGGGAAGGCCCCATTTGGGTTGTTGGCCAAATGGAAGAAAAGGACTGCAAGATCTAAAAAGCCTACACTAGGATGACCATGCTAAGAGTGGATACCCCAGCAGTGCGTATCGTCATAAGCAGGAGAATTAAAGGGTGGATAATTAGGATGTGTATAATATAACGATGATCCCAAACTTGCATCCCAAATTCCGAATCGGTCCAATCCGTCCAATCCAGGCCAGTCCTGGTCACCCGGTGATGGTATGGATATACTAGCAGCTGAGTCCATGTATGCAGAATCCTCTCGCACAGTTGGTGAAAGGACTTTCACATCGGATTGAATTCCTGTCATGTTTTCCGCTACACCATGGTCGGCACCGTCACCCCGAAAGATCTTCATGATCACAGGTCTCCGAAGATTAAATGGCTCCTTGCCTCCTTTCGTCAAAGTGATTCCCTTCGAAGCTGCAAGCTCGGTGAGAGCCGTCTCATCTAGAAAGTACTCATGTAGCGTCCAGTTGTCTTTTGCTATACTCTGCCGTCTGGCAACGGGCTTTTGTTTGTTCACACTAGTCTGCTTGTACCCAAAGTATTTGCACTGAAGTCCACTGAATTTTCGATAGGGAGGGCCGGTTTGTTTCCAGCACCGACCTTCCCTCGTCTGCCTGGAAACTTTAGTTTTGCTCGTGATGGTAAGAAGGTACCTGGGCTTGGACCCTAAAAGCCAAACAAGCACAAAATTGATCAGATTTTGGAGAATAGCTACACGATTTAACAGAAACGGAAACTGGCAACTGCACGGGCGGCACTCTAAGTAGGAGTTCAGCTGACGACCTAACGTGCAGCGTTTATTTGCTGATCATAGAGTTTTGCGGATTTTTTTCAAGTATGTGAGGTACGAACATTCTGTGCGATCCCAACTATCCCCGTCTCTCAGATGATTTGAATATGTCACTGAAACAAGATAAGCACTTGTGTGATGTCAACTGCAGAAAATGAGGAGATGTGGGTGTGAGCTAGTATACCGGGGACAATCTCCCAAGGATGCAACTTTGATATCTCTGCTCCTTGATAAATGTTGATTTGACGAAACCTCGAGGCCCCTACTCCCTTGAAGATGTCAACCTTATTCGGGTTAGCATCACTCGTCCTTCCTTGAAAGTAGTCTTCGAGAAGTACCAACTGAGCTGCTCTGAGGTAGTCCCGCAAGTCATGATCGCCGATGTGTCCATCAAAACCACTGTTACCGAAATCATCTTTGATAGATAGTGAGTGCTTCTCACTTTCCTGATTCTGCTGGTCATAGACAGACAAATTGGATTAGTGTGAAAGGTCCACCGGTATTGAAAATTACTGGAAGGAGAGGTGTACAAGATCTGCCGCTTATAATTTCCTCCCCGCCCACCCCCGAGTTTTTGGAAGCTACTGTTCAACAGGGCAGCCTCTAACCCCAACTGAAGGCTAAGATGGAAGACTCTAAGGCTGGACTAAACTCCTTCCAGAGATTTTGCGGCATCTTGTGAACCACGACCCCGGTATTACCCCAACACGTTAACCAATGTCAGATCTCGAACTACGTTGCAAATTTTCCTAATTTTCCGCCGAATACTTTCAGTGACTACTAAGTACACAAACGGGATCTGGAAGAGGAAAATACCGAAGTGACCAATTCCGAGTCTTGGTCCTGATCGGAATTGGAGTTGATTTCTTCGCCAGTCACATCCAGCATCTGATCGTCCTTCTTATGCACGTCTGTACCTGCACCCTTCGCAGCTGCAGCCAGTTTGGCATGCCTGAGGCCACAGTAGTCGTGAACCTTGGTGTCCTCGACGTATGTAAATCGATAACAGTCACGAATTTTGCAAATCCTGCCCAGCTTATAATATTCCCTCGTAGACCTCGTGGTATACTCGAGCATGTGCGACCTGCAACAAAAGTCGTGAGTTCTGTAGGATTCGACATATACTGGATTGTCGCAACCAGCGAGCCTGCACCTCTTGTCTCGGCTATATCCATGGTCTCGTGCAGCGCAATTCTCCTGCATCCCGTGTTCCTCTTCCATATAGAAATTATAATGCATTTTGCCACAAAACTGATGAAACACACCGGGTGATCTCTCCCAGCGGGGTCTGTCACAATTCCGATACGCACAAAACTGACTTCTACTTGAGCGCGAGTATCGGTCGTCACAATGGCGTTTAGAAGGAGGTGAATGCAAGCGGGGAGATCTCTTCATCGCAGTGCGAGCAATCCGTCAAAGTAAAAAGGTGACCTCGTCCACTCGCTTGACGGCAGCTTACAGTTCCATTCCATCGCCCAGCCGATGAAAAGCTAGACTTCCACCAATCCAAATTCCACGCCCGCGATCTCGGATTTCTGGGACATCACTGCAAACGCTTTCTTCACGTGAGTACGAACTCTACAGCGACCGGCGGTGCAAAAACCACACAGATATCTGAGCGAGGAACAGAGCCATGAGGAATCCAAGTCAATCAATCCCCTTGCTGCTTTCTGCCCTCAATCTCGAACCACAATCGGCTTCAACATCAAAACGCAGGGGCAGCAAACGCGTGACACCGTCGGCGCCACGACCGGCTGCTCGGCTGGCGCGAATTGCCGCGCGTTGGATCGGAAGCGAAGGAAGTCTGCGGAAGGACAAGGATCTACCTCGCGGTGCTCGGAGAAGCCCGCAAAGATGCGCAGCAACACAGCGGGAAAGACGATGGAAAGAGACGACAAGGAAAGCGACGGGCGAGACGCAGGGTTTAGCACGCCCCAAACCGAGCGTGGGGCAGCAGGAGTGCAGGTGAGCTTCGACAGCCTCTTGCTGGGGCTGCGAAGGCAGAAGTCAGGGGCTGTGGCGTGAAAGTGTGCATGGAGAAAGCGAGCGCAGAGCGACGCCTCATATATGTCAAGGCCATTGACCCGAGTCGCTGCGAGAGCGCAAGAAATTCAGCTCCGCTCAAGGGCAGCTGCGAGATCCGACCAAACGGAGGATCCGTCGGCGCAAAAGTGTGAGCGACATCGGAGGCGCTGGGAAAGTGTCAGGCACGGACACATTGCCGACGAGGAACGCGGTTGCGCTGCAGCACAGTGGCAGCGGGCTCGGCCGAAGATGCCCGGCCCGAGCCCTGTAACGGAGTTGTCGGCATCGCCCCATCGAGGAGAGGGGGGCCGACGGATGCCTCGCAGCCAGCCAGCGGGCCCTCGACGCCTACAGCGTCGCGCTGGGACTCGAGACAAAAGGGCTACAGTGCCCAGGACACGCATCAGCTCGACGGCAATTCATGAACGCACACGGAAAACACGGCGCCCGCGAACGGATCGGCGGGGCCTCGGATGCAGCGGAGCCTGGTGCACACACCGAGAACCGAGAGGCACAGGGGCAAACCTCAGGAATTCGCCCGGAGCGAGCTCGGGGCACTGTCGGCGTTCCAGGAATCCGGGGCCCTGTTGCTCGAGCAATCTCGGCGCGTCTCGTGACCCCGACGGAATCTGTCCACGAGGCAAAGCTGAAGCCAGCCGGGCGCCTCTCCCTAAGCCGCACCCATTCGCATTACCGCAGGTTCGGCCCCAGCTGACCCGAACCGAGCGAGTCCGCTCGATCCTCCGGCCGAGCGGAATTCTTTCAACGAGGAACAGGCGACTGCTGCAACTCGAGCTCAATATAATTCGTCGGATGCGCGAGCCGCTGGACCACCCTCACCCGGTCCGGAATCATGCCGTCGCCACGAGATGGGAGGTGCCGCGCTTCAAGAGGCGAAGATCGAACTGTTGCAGGCGACGCATTGCACCGGCGGAATCCAGCAATCGAGCTCTGTGTGGTGCGCGAGGCTGGTGGCCAAGAGTCAAACGCGGAACGCTGCAGCTCGGTCTCTCAGCCGGCGGAACGCAGAGAGCAAGAATGTGGCTCAGGAGATACGCTAGGTCGGCTACGGACGAGTATAGTACCAGTCAAAAGGCTAGCGTCGTCGTAGAGGCATTCCGTGCTCCAGGAATTTCAACACTCTGAGCGGGGCTGATGTCGGAGAAGGACGGAGAAACGGGGCGAGGAACGTCGTGATGTGTGTACCTGCGCGTAGTGTGCGAGTCGCTCGTACACTCTTATAGACACGTTACGGAATGCTGATTCGGGCGATGCCCGCGTTCGATGCCACGGCAGCGAACCGACGTCGGACACCCACAAGTGACAGTGCACGTGCAGGCTAGAACGCAGTACGAACTCGCCAGATTGCGGGACTCGGTAGTGCGTATGCTTCCCGGGGCATTGGAAGCCCGTGACCTGTCGAAGTGATCATTCGCCGCCCCAGGTGTCAGGCAGACGACGGGATAAGAAAAGGTCTGCGGTAACCGCAGAGCGAGATCTGCTTGGCAAGGCTCACGATCTGCGGCAAGGCCGCGGAGGAAGTGTAGAAAAGTGGACGATTTGCATATTCAGAGCCCGATGCCCGTTTGAGGGTGCACCGCGAGGCGGGACATAGAAATGTGATGGCTTGCCTTGGCCTCCGGATGTTGCGAGCCATAGCGGCCCGGAATTCCATTTTATGGTGGAAGGGTTGGGGCCGAGGCCGAGGATATGCGTGTGGAAGTCCGCGCTCCGCACGACCCTCGCGCCCGAAGCTTCGTCGAACTGGAGCGCGTTCGCTGTGCTGAGCGTCGACGCAGTTTCTGCAGAAACTGAGGCCTTGCCGATGGATTTCCCTACGGCATCGGCCATCGCTCGAAAAGCAGTCCGTGGGTCATGTCCAGACCTTTCCCAGTGGATGGGAATCAGTTCCCCGGCGAGTGAACCGCTGACGCCGCGGAATCGTGGGCCGGTGGCCTGTATTAATGTCTCCGCCGGAGCACGGCCGTGCCTCAGACCTCCTCTTCTCCCTCTCTCTCTCCCTCTCTGTGAGGGAGAGCGAGCGGACCACCGGTCAACGCCCTCGCCTTAAAGTCTCGGGACACAAAGTCTTCCCCTTCTTCATCGGCCCAGAATCACAGACCTGGATCCCCGAACAGCAGCTGGTGCCACTGACTGCGAGCGAGTGGTCCTCGTCGGCTCCCGCTGCCGCTGCCTTTTCTGCTTCTGCCGTCCATCCACGCCGGGGGCGACGGGAGCAGCTGGAGCCTCCCTCCCTCCATGGCCTGCCCGCGACGCTCCCGTCGACACTGAACTATTCTTGTGGCAATGCCGGCGGGAGCTGCTGCTGGCCAGAGTTCGGGCCATCCGGTCTTGACTGGAGTCGCATGATGGTTTACCTTCTCGTTTGCATATTCCATTCGATCTCCTAGAATGCTCCGCGGGCATACCACTCCCAATAGTTCCGAGTATTAATGATTCCACTGTGCTGTGCGACACCTGGAGATTGCAAGTGCACCGATTTGTTTTTTTCTCATTTTCGAACTGTTGCGCATCTGCCTCTTCACGAAGGCCAAAGAGATAAGCCCGAAATCTGAACATCCTTCGCAATATGTACCCCACAGAGCACCACCGATCTCGACCGGAGCAAGTGTCGGAAAATATCATCAATCGCCATTAGCAACACCATTCCTATCCGAATTTCCCCAGTTTTTACCGACGATGAAGTAAAACATCTGGCTGCCAATTGGATCACCCCCGACCGATCAAAGCAAGATGACTGAATGCTGGAAAGTCGTGTGTACTCGTGATAGCGTGCATGGGGCGCCAAATTCCTTACCAGCCCCAGTTTTCTACCCTGTTTGCCCATTGGCTCGAGCCGCCTTGCAACTTCTTCACGGATCTGGGACGGACGTAGGCCTGATTGCCCGCAGCTAGTAGCATTTATGTCCATGCTTATCTTTTGTTCTCACTATGCCATATTCTCTAAATTTTATTCGGAGGAAAATTTTGCTTTCTGCAGTACGGCTCTGTATCTTAAATTCCTTGTATGATGCCTTCTCTCACATGTGATAGCTGCCTTGGGGTTCTTTGCATTCTGGAGATCCTCTAAAGTGACGATGCCATCTGTAGCCTTCATTGCCCTCAACTCTTAGAGGATCGTGTCCAACGTTGAAACGGATTTCAAGCTAGTTCAATCCATATCCCAAAGCATGATACAGACACTTTCCGATGTATTTTTCTCTCTCTTTTTGGTGACATCATCCTACCTAGTACCTTCTTCTGCGTGACAACATATTTGGCACACATAGGTACATCTGTACTTCTTTGCATTTCATGTGGATGAGCATGATGATCCATCTATTGAGAATACCACATCTGAAAGATGTTTTGGCTATCCGGCGACTCTCCACAATTAATTTCATATATATACGTCCTTGAGATATATTAAATGAGAATGCATAAACGGTTTCAGTACACAAATTATCAGTACATAGAAAATATGCAGATGATATCCATGGCGTCCCCATAGATATTACATAGAATGTCAATGTTCACTTTGCCCACCGAAAGGACTAGAGTTATACAATATACTGACCGACGGTGTCATTCGACGGATGCAACTATTTATGATTTCGAGCTTCTTAGATGTTATTGCTCAAACAAGTGCGAACATAAGTTTATCAACATCACCATGCATCGAGTTTTTCGAACTTGCATTGGTATTTGTTCTGCAAACTGAGCTACTGCCCTGGCTTGTTCTATCTTAGATGCATGATGGATCCATATGACGCATGAAGTAGACGTTATTTACATATGATATAGTTAGAGATGTTGTGATTGTTACAAAAAGATAGAGATAATTTCACTTGCATTGCAGTGGATTTGAGTCGGGAAAAATCTAGATTTGATCAACATTTCTGTTATTGTTGTATGTGGTATGCTTACATGTATTACACATGGAAGCATACAGGGATTGACTATCCAAACCCAACATCCTAGATGGTCAGCGAGTTAAGTGACATCATCCACGAGCAAAATATATGCACGATCTAGAGCTTTGGGACTATACTAACTTGTGGAATATAAATTAGACATGTTAGTGACAGAATCTTCAAGAGACTGCTATGCTTAATGTTTTTTCAGGTTTTCTTATAGCCTAGTCTAATCAACTTGCTTTTATTGTACAAAGAGCATCAGCTCAACAATCCATAGAGATGCTAAACTTAAGTCATGGTTATTCAAATGTTATGCTACATGTAGTCAATATAAATTATGCAGTTTTGATATCTTCGCTGCACTAATCACATTTCCTACGTTGATTCTATTGGAGTCTAGATCCATGTTACTAGTTTGGTTTCATCCATGAAGCTCTTGATGGAATATTCCCAAGCTTTTTGTTATTTTAATCATTTCAACTCATGCAATACCGCTAGGTATCATTCTCAATCATGACGGAGACAAAATAAAACCTGACCTCTGTTTCGTGACAAAGCCAAAGAACAATCGAGCGCGCATAAAGAAGAAACCTTGCGGCCTTTTGGTTAATGCATCCCCGTTTCTCGGCGTGAGAGTCATTCTCATTTTTTGCTCTCTGTCTGCTTGTGTGCCATCATGTTGAAAATCTGACGCATGCATCTATTAGTTGTCACGGTTCACACGATGAGGATGTGAAGTTGAATGTTGCCTGGGCATCTTCGTCATCTTTCCTTTCGCGGGGAACAACTAATAGCAACTGGATGGGAAGACCCTATCTTCATCATCACTTCTCCTTTTGTGTTGTTTATTGTAAATGTGTCCAACGAATGTGAAGGAAGTTAAGACTTGCAAACATTAAGCAGAACAGACAATATTGTTCGAGTCGCTAGTGGATCAACCGCTACGTTACGAGCCTGGAGGCCCTACAGCAGTATGTTACTTGAGCTCCTGAGGTTCATGAAGGGGACATGGCCAGGATGGAAGAAATGAGTACGACCGAGAGGTGGACCGAAAGTCAAAGCGAGAGGAGGAGAGAGGAGAGGGGAGCGGCCGGGGTGCGGGATGGCACAATAATTCACTCACGAGGTTAGAAAGGATGGAATCCCGAGTATGACGATGCCCATCGGGATCATTTCTACTTTTCTTCATTCTGGTTTCTGCGTCATAGCCTTGGGGCGGAATCGCAAGATGAGACGCGCACAGATTGAGAATGATTCCCGCGCTACCCGCAATCTCAGCTCTGCCCCCGAAGTCAAACCTCGTCTACTCCGTGGCAAAATGGCCACTTTATGTTCCACTTGTTGCTTCTATGTCGACAGCCATCTACAGGACGGCCCCTTCTTCTGCTCAGAGTCTGCTGTACAATACATCGATGGCGAGTCCCAAGGTCCGCAATTCGCTTCGCCACTGTAGTGAGCGATGCGGTATTTCTAGGATATTGAACGTGTAAGGGAACTCCAGGTTCAGACTGACTTGTCGTGCCATGCTCATAACAAACTGCAGTTACGGACTCAGGACAAAGAGGATCATGTAAGGACATGGTGGAGTATTCTTCGGAGAATGAGAACGAAGCCTTTAATGGGCATATCCGCTACCTGCGACGTTGCGACCCTATAAGACAAGCGGGGCCTTGTACACAAGCACCGTACTGTGCGATATTCCCCAAGAAAAGACGAAGGGAATCATCCACACTGAAATTCTTATACAAACCCCGCAACAGAGCTGCACTTCGTGCTGCGACTTCTCGACAGCTCTCCTGGATTCAGACGCGGTCTATCATGTCACTCTACCGCACGTCTCACCATTCGATAGCCAGACTCCAGTCATGGGTTATTCATTCAAGGGGATGGCATACTCCCGACTCGGTATGGTCGTCTTCTGCCAACAGAGGAGATTGACGAGATCTGCCAAACTTGTACACGATTTGCAGTCGTTAATGTCCCTGCGGTCTGGCTCAAAACTGGTCTGCGGCAGGTTCGTCATCAACAGGCGATGCCGGGGGATGGTATCGTTATGAATCAGCGGGTTGAAGGTTCAGACCAACTCGTCGCATGAGGGCTGTTTCTGTTCACCACTGTCGGCAGCATTTGGAACCCTCAAGGACTGGCGCGAATGAACTGAGCTTCTGATCTGCTTGTGCTGGCAAAGTTTGTCCGAAGCATCTTAGTTTAGGACGATCGATGCACTCGTGGAAAGCGAGTGCTTCTGGACTTTCGTTGTGCCACTCCGCCATGGTCTCCGTCATCGACGACGTTGCGAATCAGAATACGGTTATAACATTATTGTACGTACCCATACCATCCTGCTCGCCATGCCTACGGCCCTCCTCTGGGGTGGGCGACTACGATGAGCAACACGCGTGGTTGCGTGAGTGCTGAGATAGCGACGTACAGTTCTTGATGGAGGCCACACACTTCGAGCTTTCCGGCACACGCCACTCGCGACTTACGGGCCTGAGAAGCGATCTGTGGGACTCGGATCGTCCTGCGGTCCCGACATTTGCAAAGCCGGTTGATGTTGTAATTGATCCGTTTCTGGATTTGGCGACGGCGCTATCTTAGTCGGCGCAAGATATTCTCCTTGCTCAATCTGCCAAGTCTTACTCCGCCGTTAACTAGCCCTACCCTTCCCATTCTCCCTCTCTAGGACTTGTCTTTGACTTTCACTCTCCCCCGTCGGCGCTATGTTAGTCGGCGCAAGATATTCTCCTTGTTCTTTCTGTTCCTAAAGCAAAAGTTGGGAGGGGAATTTTGTCGTCATGGAACATTCCGATGGGGGAGAATGTATGTCCTTTCTCGACTATATCTTGCCTATAGTAAGCAATGAACAGACATCACCGATGTAAGGGTAGATTTTTTTCACTTTTCCTGCTCTTCACCCTCGCACCCATGACAAATGTATTTGAAGGTGTGATCCATGAGATGTTCCGAAGTCCATCGAGCTTCATTTCAGAATTGCGATCCTTTCACTGAGAAAGTACTGTAGTGAGTGAGCAGGTACAAGGGTCCCGCCAGTCGCATAATTTACCCTTAGCAATCATCGGAGATGTGACCTCTAGGACTATCGTCTAAGATTTTATCTACCTACCAAAGGTACGTCTCAAGACAATATGGGCAACACACATATTGCGCAGAGAGTAAGGACCTTCCCTTCCTTGATTTCATGAACACGTCGCGAGAGTGGAACAACAGAGTCCAAACGCTTTAGCGCTCGACCAGATTCTCCGAGCACTTTGGAGCACTAAAGATTGTAAAATGCTAAGTTATAATAAACGATGGCAAGTGCAACACAAACAAAAGGCTACGCGTATAGAAGACATTTTCTTCCTCGATACATACATGAGATTTTTCATTCCCCATAAAGTTTCAAGCTAACATTATTCCACATAGAATTGTTAATATTTATTAAGTTGATATTATGCGTAAAGGCATTTATTGCTTTGACTTAATGTGTTTCATTTTCAGAGAAGACGGGATTTGAACATTGGCTACGCCTATACATATTACAATATTAGGTGATATTTTTTCCGATGTTAGATCATGTGATTTAGATATTTTGTAAGTTAGAGATTGTACAAATAAAAATTTCAAAATGGATGTTGTTGGGTCTAGTCTTCGATTTCCTTTTTCCTTGCATCCTAGTTAGGCCTGATAGATTCTTCGCATATCACTTAATATATACTTGACCACGGTCATTGGCATGCAGTCTAGTAGATGGCTATATTTACACGTAGTAGGACAACCCATCCGACGTTCGGACTTCACACTCAAGTTAAAATTAACTCTAGAATAGAAGTGCATTATCTTGTTTTCTTAAGGCTTAAGTTGTTTGACCAACAGATTCAAATTGTATGAGAGATTTAACGATAATATTCTCATGTGCCGTATTTCACTTGTTAAAGCATCACAACAAGTGAAATATGTCATTTTTATTATATCAATTCTTGAAATTTAGACTTCTCTAATTGTAGGTGAAAATATCAATATTCACGACTTCATTTATGACACACTGTCATATAGTTGAATCCTAACTTGAATCCCAATGTGGCTTGAATAAATTTCTCTAAAGAGAACGTTTATGAACGAGTTTTCAAGAACGCCTTTGTAAATGAAGATGATTTGTCAACGATCATTCATACTTTGATAAATTTATCAAAATTAATAAATAAGTGATTGAATTAGAAGACTAAGTTTTCTCACATGAAAATAAGGCTTGCATTTTTCATTTACATGATGGATTAAATTTAGCAATATTATAATTTTTTTGTATATTATGATGACGCAAACTTATCTGTGGTCAAAATAATCAAGGATAGACATATGTGGTTAAGTTTAAGTTTTTTTTTTAAATCTAAAAATTACTTACTTCTACTTCAAATCTACCGTAGTTAGAACCTAGACTCTTTAATCTTGATTTAAACATGACATTATTATATTCGCTTTTTTTTGAAAAGAATTATTTTCTCATCAAGCTGAAAACACTTGGTACCCTGATAGAGTTTCATTATTATTTGTGTAATATGATACTGTCATTAAATAACACATTACATATGTTCACATAAAACTCTGAGATTTTAGTTTACATAATTTGAACAGATGAGTTAATTTTAGTTCAAGGGATCATGCGTTTAGACAGAATTTGCCCTAGTAGGAACATAGTGTGCAAAAACTGTAACGTAGAAATCAGAACAAAAAGTTGAAGTTATATCACGGACATAAGCATCTGAAATCTAATGGATTTTTGTTGCATGAGAACATTGTGTATGATTTCCTTGGATATAGCTTTAACTTTCTCACTTCTTGAAAGATATAGATAAAGATATATATATGGATGGAAAAACTGTAAAGGTCATTGCTGCCGAAATCTATGTAGGTAGTATGACTTGTAATATTCAACAAGTTTCATGAGTTATCATGAAAAGTGCGTAGGCAGATGAAATATAAGACTCGATTTCATTTCATAAGATTAAGTTAGATAATAAGGTAATCATATTCAATAAAATATCACTGTTTTTAGGAGGGTAGTTCAGAATAAGAACAACGCACATATATGTTGCCTTCATGTGAAGAATAATAATCTAACAAAAGAAAGACAATGGTTCATATACGGCTAAAAGTGATGGATAGAAATGAATTGGAAAACACAAGATAATATATACTAGGAGGAGGAAGAGATAATGTGCGTATCTCCATGTCGACTAAGGAGGAGGAATGTCAATCAACGAAGTGACTTGAATCAATAAAATCAAGCAGAAGTGACTTCACTTTCCCCAAAGATGAGATCTCACTTCATGCTCTCGGATCGGAAAATATATGCTGATAAGAACATCCAGTGTCGTGGTTATGAGAGCCCCAAAACTTCAAGCTGACATCAGCTAATCTACTGTAATGAAGGAAGAATTAGTAGTTTGAAGGTGCTTTTACAGTTGAAGGTAAGGAAAAAATGTATGTCCAAGATATGGATCTTTTAGCATGTCATGCATACGCCTATGAGGGTAATGTATGTATCGCTACCTAGAAATAGTTAGCATGAAACTCATCATCATACAATTTAATTTTTGCAGAGGGAAATATATCTAGAGAGATTTGCTTGATGGACCCCTGCGGAAAGTAATTTGCTTGATGTGACCCCTCAGGTTTAGTTTTACCCCAACTACGGTGTGCCGTCGGACATAGTTCTTGTAACTACGATTACTACTAGTTATAATGCGGGAATTACAATCAAAGATCAATCCCTGATTATAATTTCTGGTGGATTATCACGGGGACAAATATCGATTTTGCTCGAAGTGCAATTTGTTATGCTTCAATTCTTCCGATCGCAAAGATTCGCGGATTTCTCTGTTGCCTCCCACCTGCACACTCTTTCCGTAACCCAGCGTGGTCCGAGCTCAAGTCTCGCGATCACCCATTTGTGGTGAACAAATAAACTCCGGATGAACATTTCTTTGCTCGTCTACTTGGAGAGTGGCCGGATACAGAATGACAATATCAAAACAAGTGAGTGTGATGGAGTGCGAAGTCCACTCTGTTTGCGGGTGTGGTGGATTCGATGGACTCGTTGCACTCTCTCTAGTTGTTATTAGAACATGGGTGACGGTGCATCGTTCATGGGGTCCCATCGGGTAAAATGAAACCTGAAGAGTACCATCAAGCAAATTACTTTCCGAAGTGATCACAACAAGCAAATCTCTCGATATATCTATATGAAAGTTTCCTTGTCAATATCTATTGTAAATACATTCTTCTTCCTCCTAGATCCAACAATCTAAGCTCGTTGACTTAGCTCTCTAACTTTTTTCCAAATTGCACGAGTACAGTAAATTTGGACATGGAAATGATAAGGACAAAGATATGGAAGAAGGGATCGCGCGAAAGGTGAAGGGCTAATACCCAATACTCGTTTGTTTATGGATAACAACGATTTGTAAAGGAGTGATCAGTTGGATTGGGGGAGCTAATCGAATGTCAAAGGGTAGTATCGACCAATTTAGAAGTGGACCAGTTAAAACAAGCACGCATCAGGAAGGATCGTGGATCAGCAAGGCAATTACACGGCATGTGCTTACGCGAGGGTCAAAACGTACGCCGTGAACACTCGATTCTTTGCGACTTTCAATGATGGATTCGTGGAAAGGTCCCGGCGGGAGAGCACGGGAGCAGCGAAGAAGGCATCATAGTCTTAGAATCCCACGAAGGGCAAAATACATGCTTTCCGCGTTGCGGCGTCGCACAAAGCTCCATACTTGTTCGCGATTCCCTCGCTTTGAATGTTCCCTCGCTGCCAGATACAGATGTTGACAATTGACTTGGTGGACATCTCTGCCTGCTCGACGTACCGTAGGCTGAGGATCCGGCCATCAATATCTGGTCGTACAATCACGGATCTCCTACGACACCCTTGAATTTCTTTTAGTTTCTTTTCGTTTCCGTTCGTGCCAAGTAGGCAAAGTGATATCTGTTGAACAGCACAACTGTGTTAATCGTGAGCTGTCTGGGCTAGAGCGGAGAGTTCTAGATTCAAAGCCGAAGGTCCCCCTCTGCACCGTAGCCTTCAGTGCGAAAGGGTCATTGAATCATTTATACCGTCGGCAGTTTTTTATTCTTCTTAACCTACCCTGTGGGCCTTGTGATGGCCAAATGACGAAATCTCGGTGACAGTCCACGGGAAGCAAATCTGTGAACTAGAAGGGACAATCCAAGAACAATAAATTGCAGAGTACGGCATGCTTAAGTCGGCAAGCTCCGTGAGCGTCACATTGTGACGCAATTTCCAATTGCTCACATTCCTTCAAACACTCGCGACACAATATGTTCACAACAGCTGATTTCAACTACTGTTCCTCGAGTCCATGCCTAATCACGAAGGCGCCACGGAAACCGAGTCCGTGAGTTCTTCGAAGCCTTTCACCAGCAAAGTCTTGAACGAACAGCAAGAGGAACATCCGACTTCAGGCACATGTGACAGTCTCCCCAACTCCCTCAGCCGTCTAGAGCCGTCGAATTCGAACGCTCCGTACAATCACCACCGTACCGACTCGGTACTTGCAACTAACAACAGTAGGTACGCCCCATGGAAAGATGGCGCGCCCAACATTATACTGCGCTGAAACAATCTATCCCTCCAAGTTCTAACGACCTCGAGGCACTTAAATGGCCGATTCGTCCACATTGAAGGCCGCCGTGATATACCGGAAGCACACCCGGTCCACCACCATCCAAAGAAAGACCTTCGGACAGAACCATAGCGCGGCCAGCGCCTGTTCCGGTAGCGAGGGCAAGGAACATACCGGCAGTAGTAGGTGCACAAGCGGCTGTAGAGCTCTACCGTGACTGGCACCGAGCGAGTCAGCAAAGCGATCGTGGAATTGGAAAGTGCGCGAGTCGTCCCACTGTCCTTGTAACGTCTCAATGGCTTGGGATCACGGCTGGCTTAAGCCGTTCAACACTGTCACGCGCCAAATGATTTCCGTGGGAGGAGTTGAAATCATTTGCGGGTAGAACTTGTGCCCATGTAACGCTTGCGTTCCCCAGCCCAAGAATTGGCTCCAAGACCTCAAATCTCATTCTGCCTATTCGTTTAACACAGACGAGTCTCCTGAGCCTCATTTGCCACCTGCATCGAGCTGCAGATGGTTTTAAACGTCGAGCGGGTTGACAGGGGGGCGCTACTACTCTCCTCCTCCGCTGAAAGTGGTCACAGTCGGGGGACTAAGAGAGTGAATTGTGAAGAGGTGTAATCAATGCTCCAGGACATGGATATCTTGTTCTGACACGGTGCGTTTGATACCCGAGCCGCCGGTAGTGTCACTATCATGATCGGGGTTGTTGTCTAGAGGAGGTTTTGCCTCAGTGGGTCGTGCTGATGAAGGGGTTTAAGGGGTCCGCATTCTGGTACTTACTCCGCGGGTTTTAGGAAGGTGGAATATCCAAAGCTGGATTGGGTGCTTTCGAACAGTGTGCTTTTTGCAGCGTTGGTGTCCCTTCCCTCGGGTTTAGAAAACGACGGTCTTGGATTTGGATTCCCGCGAGCGTACAACCCTGCATTTTGTAAGATTTCTGCATTGCTTCTCCAATTATAAACAGCTTCGTTGTCAGGAGAAGAATTAGAGTTGGAACTTGCATAAGCCGAGAATGATGGCATAATCCGCATGTCATTTTTAGTTTAATATTTTCAGTTTGAATTTCGACATTCTTACGTTCAGCTGCTCTTATCGTACGTACGAATCAAATGTATTTAATTGCTTGTCTGGTGCATTCCTCGATAAACTCCCGATCGCCCCTTCGGTGTGCTTGAAATCAATATTTCTTTTATGTAAAGCTAACGACGGAAATCTGTTAATTAAATGCGGACGGTGTGCTTCCTTGCAGCGGGGTATCTCCGGCTGAGTACAAATGGACTGGGGACAGCCTTTGAACAACGACGACGCGATGGACGACGAGGATGGGGGGTTTGGAGCCCGAGGGGAGCCTGAGGAATCGTATCAAAGCAGAGCCGAAGAGTTCATGGACTCCGAGCAAGAAAATGTCTTTGTCAACGGCTTCGGTGAGCCTAAGCAAGACGAGCTTTCTTACCAACGTAAGTCAGAAATTCGCGTTCGTGAATTGAAGGATGACTATCTCAAGCTCGAGCTGAGGGGAACTGATCCCAGCGTGGCAAATGCTCTCCGTCGAATTATGCTCGCTGAGGTTCCTACCCTGGCTATCGACCTGGTCTTCATTGAGGTGAACACTTCTGTTCTGGATGACGAGTTCTTGGCACATCGCCTGGGTCTCATTCCCATTTTCAGTGAGAAGGTGGCAAAGGACCTGCTCTTCCCTCAGGAATGTTCCGATTGCGAATGGGAGAACGGGTGCGTCTAAACAAAGACTTTAGAATTTGAAAACTTCATGATGTGGAACTGTTGTGATTTCTCAGCAACGAATGAACATTTAGACACACCCCTGCAAACAGTTGTATTTATCAGTACTGAGTAAACCAGTTTAGGGCGTGTTCTGATAAAAGCTCCAGTTTCTATGAACGCTTTGTGTTAAAAGGCTTGCACTAAACTAGCTAAGGGATTACACTTGATTGGTATGGTTTAGTAGTCTCCAGCTATTCATCGATCAAGTTTGGATAGCTCCTCAAGAGTTGAGAATTAACATCAATGCAATATGTGCAGTTGTGAACAATGCTCAATTTCGTTTACGCTGGACGTGAAGTGTGAGTCGGCCCAGAATTTAATTGTTACAAGCCACGATCTTACTTCATCAAATGTTGAAGTTTACCCTGTGTTTTCGAAGAGGAAGGCAATCGAAAGGCCTAATGGTTTAGGCGAGGATGACTTTGAAGCGATGGAAGAGGATGAGCATGACGTAGATGATGGAAAGAAAGAGCAGTAAGAATTGTCGCCTTCTCCCGTCCTCCAGACATGCGCATCGTCCGTCAATTCCTCAGCGTACTCACACACCAATTGCAACAACCGCTGCATGTTTCTCGAGTTGGTATATTGTTTTGCGATACAAGAAGCTGGAAAATTGCTGTTTACTTACACGGAGCTTACGTGTACAGGGGCATATTGATAGCGAAGTTAAGGCGAGGGCAGCAGATAAAGTTGCGAGCCATAGCCAGGAAAGGAATAGGAAAGTTTCATGCCAAATGGTCTCCGGTCGCAACTGTGTCTATGTTTTACGAGCCTGAAATCATAATAAACGAAACTCTCATGAAGACCTTGACACTCAAACAGAAAGGAGAGTGGATTGCTAGCAATCCCACTCAAGTTTTCATGATTGATCCAGCTACCGAAGAGGTGAGTGGATTTTCTCGTCACTCGTGTTGCTATGTTTCTGGAGCCTGAATGAAGTAGATATCTTATTTAGGTGGTCGCAATGAGTTCTCACCTTCAATTCAAACAGGTTCCTCACGTTTGAGGGTTACAAGGCAGAATTCAGGAAACTGAAATTGCTCACGCGGAAAGTTACCGCGTGAGCAATTTTGAAGTTTAGTCTATTTCACGAATCTCCTTAGAGTCTCGCCTCAGGCATGACAGCTAAAAATTGTCACTACTAAGTTTGGTTGTAGCTAGGAACGTGAAGAAGTGCATACATCATCTTCAGTTTTTTTAGTATTGGCTTGCGCTGTCTAGCAGGTGAAAGTGATCAATGCCGAAGCATACACTTATGATGAAGGCATATTGAAGAAAGCAGAAGTTATGGGAAAATCAGGACTAGTGGAGATAGTTCGAAGAGAAGACATCGTCATATTTACAGTGGAGTCCACTGGAGCCATTCCAGCTTCTTCGGTGTTTTTCAACGCACTAGAAATTCTACAGAGCAAGCTGACGGCAGTCCGTGATCCTGCTGAGCGTGATCTCACTGAAAATGAAGAAGAGATAATGATTCGAGTAGAATACGCGAAGGCTGCTAAAATGTACCTTTTCCCCATAACTGTGTCCTTGAGAGTGTTGAGCTGATTTGACAGCTAAGTTGACCTGAGTTTAGACGATGCTATCAGCTGTGACTACTTCAAGTTGTTTACAAGTACATCGTTTGCCTTGTGGCTATCTTGGTTGTATAACAGTCTAGATAAGTTATTGCATCTTGGACCCCAGGAAAGAGAAGAGAACTAAAGCGGCTAACGAAAGAAAAGCGGCTGAAAAAGGTGATCCTGAAAAAACAGTTTTCGTTAAAGGCTTCGACAAAACCCTGGGCGAAGTGGTGGTACGAACGACCTTCATGTCCTTAAGGATATTTATGTAATCCGTATTAGTCGTATTTCATCTGCTAGGTTAGTATATTATTCTCCCTGTAAAGTGTGCATGCTACATTCACCAGCTAACATGAGTCTTCTTCTGCAGATAAGGGACAGGCTTAGAGAGCACTTTGCTGCTTGTGGTGCAATTATTAGCGTTCGCGTTCCGACCGACAAAGATTCACAGGAGATTAAAGGGTCTCAATCTTTCCGCGGCCCTAATTTTCCATTGCATTGTACTTGTCAAAGTTCATACTTTGTTGTTTGATGGCATTTTCGTGTGCTCGGACGTGAAGGTTTAGTTAAGTTTTCGTAAACTGGATCGATGACAGGAAAGACGAAAAGAAATTTGCTTTGTCATTCTGTTCCTGGGACTTGGTTTTCTCACTCTGCTTATGTTGTAGGATGCCCGACGGGGCAAAGTCTGAAGACTATCTGATCTAAACTTAATTATATATTTGTGAGTCTGGTATGATCTTTTAATATTATCATAATATGGTGAGGTTTTTTCCAAACGGAAGGCTGTCGCAAATGCGGCGGCGATCTTTGAACCTTTCTGAGTGTCCTCTCCTTTTATGGCTCAGATTTGCCTACATCGCCTTCAGAGACAGGGAAGGTTTGGAGAAAGCCTTGGACCTCAATGATTCAGAGTTCGACGGGCAGACTCTGGTTGTAAATGAGGCTGGACAACCAGGAGGTGGCGGCGCTGGAGGTGGCGGTAACCGTGGTGATCCAGAGAAGACAGTATTTGTGAAAGGTTTTGACAAAAGCCTTGACGAAGACACGGTATTACTCCGAATCATAGACTCAGAATCGTCTTGCAACCTACTCGATTTTATTTATCCATTCTGTACTGCCGTTGGGGTGAGTGACACGTGATACCCGGCCTTAATATCAGATTAAAGATATTTTGAGGACACATTTTGAAGGATGTAACATCGTCAAAATACGTGTACCCATAGACAAGGACTCTGGAGGTGTTAAAGGGTACGTTTTTCTCTGCCAGTATTCTTCTCTATTTTACTTCTTTCCGTGGCTTTACTAATCGACAAGGCAGGAGCGAGAAATTAGCTCGTTGTCTGTTTCTTCTAGGATAAGCTTGTCCTAAACCTTCTTACACTGATGACAATGATGCTATCCAAGGTCTTGGTTCTCTTCACCTCCTCCTCTCCCAGAAAGTTCCGGATCTCAGTGGTCGTTGATGATGACATTGGACCTACGCTTTTTCATCTTGTATCTTTAACTTTTGTTTCCACCATTAACAAGATCACTCATGCGCGAAATGACCCTTCAATTGGCAGCAGTGATCCTCCCTGGAACCAAACCAGGTATTAATCTTCAGATTCTTGCCCTAGTCGATCATCTAAAATCCAAACATATGTTGAAGATCTCGCGCTGACCTGTTACTCGAAATGCTTCCCCTTAATCCCAAACTTGATAATTTACGGATGCCCATCCTCTGAGTTGCCAAAAACAGCCCTCATGGTGCCCTGCTTCAAGTTACAGCAGCGTCAAAGCTTCTGCTTCTTTTCCTTATTCTCAAAGCAGGGCTATGGTCTTAAAACTATGACAGGGAAACACATATAACTTTTGTCCGTTAATCTTCGCGCAATAATGATTGGCAATTTGTACATCAATCCCCTTTTTTAGAAATAAGCTAAAATCAGGGCATCTGCTGGCATTGGAATCTCTTAAGCACTCTTATACAGTTTTATATTGCGTTCTACAATAGAGCTCTCTCGTTCACAATCTTAACTAACTAATTAGGAGAACTCTGATTCTAAGTTTTTTTCTACACAGCATCAGCGTGAACACTGTTTCCTAAGGTTTCACTAAGTTTACAGTCAGTAATTAGTTGTTCCCCATAAACAGTACCCCGTACAGTGAAAACGAACAAGTCTTTTTTTGTTTGGACCATCTTGCTTATCCGATGGGTGATTTACAAACATTGCCCTATCGCTTGTTATTTGAGGTCGTTATCACAATTCTTGGAAGTTTTTGCCACTACTTCAGAATCACCTCCAGACTTCAATTTCTCTCTGGAGAACTGAAGGTAAATGGGGCTGGATTCAGTTGGACTCCTCTCTATTGTAATCACATGCACATGGGCTGAGTTCAGAGAGCTTGTATCTCTTTTCTTTGAATACCCACATGGCAAAGGTACGTTTTTTCCATGCTGGTCAGACAACCCTTACTATGTTGAGCCTGTGAAACTCATAAGTGGCATTCCTTTCCACTTGCAGAATGGCCTTTGTGGAGTTTGAGGATATGGAATCGTTGTACAAAGCTACAGAACTTAACCAAGTGGAGAAAAACGACATTACTTTGACTATAAATGCAGCTGGGCAAGTTGGAGGAGGTGGCGGTGGTGGATATGGAGGAGACGGCGGTGGAGGTGGTCGTGGTCGGGGTGATCAAGAGAAGACCGTATTTGTCAAAGGCTTTGATAAGTATCAAGACGAAGAAGCGGTAAGGCCGAAACCTGCCCATCTCCAAGAATTGATATTTGGTGAATGGAGGGCTTTTGCTAATGACTTTGAAAAAATAATAATCTACCATCTATTTTTTGTCCACGCTTGTCCTGTCCAGGTTCGAAGCAGCTTGACGGAACATTTTACTGACTGTGATATTGTCAACATTCGAATTCCTACGGATAAGGAGACGGGAGAGATTAAAGGGTATTGTCCTGATCTAAGACTGGACATCCTTGAGTAGGAAAGCTAGAATAATTCAGAGGTTTGCAGTGGTCATGTAGGTTGTATAAATCTGCTAATGAAGAACCTTTCTGGAATCTTTCTCTGTGTTTCAGTATAGCGTTCGTGGAATTTAGGGACTTCGAATCCTTCAACAAAGCTGTAGAGTTGAATGGAGTAGACAAGGATGGACAGACCTTGACGGTTAATGCTGCTGGAGGAGGTGGTGGGGGGGGAGTTACAACTTACGGTGGAGGTGGCGGTGGTCGTAATCGTGGTGATTCTGAGAAGACTGTTTTTGTAAAGGGTTTTGACAAATCTCTCGAAGAAGATGAGGTGAGGCTGACAATGTCCCCTATTTAAATGCACAGAGAATTCTAGAAACTGGATTTGAGTGCTAAATTGGTGCTTTGTTCTATCTGTGCAGATTCGTACTATTTTGACGGCGCATTTCAGTGAGTGTGATATTGCCAGTATCCGGGTCGTTACTGATAAAGACAGCGGTGAGAGAAGAGGGTGAGTGTCCGTTCATGCAGCTACGCTCATTAGTCGGCGAGGAAATCTGTTCGCATCCTCTGAGAGTGTCTTCTAACCATATGATGATTAGACGAATATTTATAATAAACCTATCTCCTTCTAATCGCTATTGATGCTCTTGACCAAGGATCAAAGTGGCAAACAACCTTCAACCTGCACGCTGTGTAGCATAGGGGACGAAACCTCTGAAAGAATCAGTCTAATAGCGCTAGCACCTTCGGACGGATACCGGTGGTGAAGCCAGCTGTGTTTTAAGAAAGCTGCTTATCTTCTGAAGGATATTCTCTCGGGCAGTAGAGTTAAACATCTAGACGAGCTATTAAACGCATTTTTGCTGACAAACTTTGATACTTCGTATAACTTCATCTGTGGCCACAATCCCTATATAAGAAAGATCTGATAGATTCAAGTTCTGATAGCTTTTCCTCCTCTTTACTTGTCAGCATTCCAAGTCATTTCTTCTTACTTGGACTTTGTCATTAACTGATCAGCTAAGGCGCCTGGTCTATGGTCTTCAGGCCATGATGACTAATGAGTAGAGCTTTTTGCACAGGTTTGCATATGTGGAATTCTCTGACATGGACTCGATGTCAAAAGCTCTCGATCTGGACAGAAAAGATGTGAATGGCCAGACTCTGGTCGTGAATCCATCTGGACAGGGAGGAGGAGGAGGAGGAGGAGGATTTGCAGGTGGTGGTTATGGTGATGGAAGTGGCGGAGGATATGAAGGTGGAGAGTCTGGAGATGGAGGCGGAGGTGGCTATAATGGAACTTTTGGGGGTTTCGGTGGAGGGGGTGGACGCACTCGCGGGGACCCTGACAAGACAGCCTTTGTTAGAGGGTTCAATAAATTCGACTCAGAAGAGTCCGTAAGCTTCTATAAATTTGCTATGCTTTCCGAGTGTACATAATGACAGCTTACAACTCAGCGATCTAGTGCTTCCATCCGTTTGTATTATTTCACGATCAGGATGTGGCATATAGCCAAAAGTTGTTTTTACTGATCAGATGACAAGTGTATATTGATGCACCCTGCAGATCCGAAGTTCCTTGATGTCTCTCTTTTCGGAGTGTGACATAGTGAATGTGCGTATTCCAACTGACAGAGATACCAGTAGTATTAAAGGGTGAGGTGTTTTCGTAACGCTCCTTCTTCTGTACGTGTTGACTGCACTTTCGTTTTGATGGCTTTCGAGTGCGCAGCCACGCTGCCGTAATGCAGTTCTCAGGCTGTGAATTTATTCGCTCCTTATCTTCTCTCTAATGTACTCTGGGAAATAACAATCCAAGCCAGAACCATTATTTTGTGTCTCATTAAGAGAACATTTTAGCAATAGTTGAAGTAAGCGGCATCATGAGTTGGATTGTATTTACAATTTTATTATTATACTTTTTTTCTCCTCAACAGAGGACATAAAATAAGCCAAAGAAATGTTTTGATTTTCTCCTTCTACAGGATGGCTTATGTAGAATTCAGGGACGTGGAATCAATGAACAAAGCTCTTCAGTTTGACGGGCAAGACTTCAATGGTCAGACCTTGGTTGTAAATCCATCCGTAGGGGGAGGTGGCGGTGGAGGAGGCGGAGGTGGCCGCAGTCGAGGAGATCCTGAAAAAACAGCTTTTGTGAAAGGATTTGACAAGGAACAGCCGGAGGACTTGGTAAAACTTTCCATTGAATTCCAAGCATTTTTAATCAACAATTTTATTCATCTTCTACCGACTTCTATGTCTTTTTATGAATTCATTCAGAAACACTTCGAATTGCAGACGCCGGCTTAGTGCCCCAAGTTATGACATGGAGCTTATGCTTTTTATATGACTTTGTTTTCTCAGGTCAAGAGTTCTATTATGGAGCATTTAAGTGGCTGTGATATTATTACGATTCGTCTACCAAAGGATAAGGAGACTGGAGAAATCAAAGGGCAAGTCTTAAAATTGCTTTCGGATTAAAAATCTTGTGAACGGGTTTTAGTGGTTTCGTTGAGGGCTGACAACAAGCATACGTAGTTGATTGTATGACAGATTTGTCATCGTTGTGAGCTGGAATGTTTGGTCCCATGGCTCTGTCTGGTCATCTCGGACGTTTTAGCGTATTCACAGTTCCATGTTTGTTTGTTCAGAATAGCCTTCGTCGAATTTAGCGACTTTGAATCGATGTCAAAAGCTACATCGCTGGATGGGGTGAACGTAAACGGACAGAGTTGGAGAATAAATGCATCTGGTCAAGGTTCTGCTGGAGGTTTTGGTGGGGGAAATCGTGGGAATCCCGAGAAAACTGTATTTGTTAAAGGTTTCGATAAGTACCAGGCAGAAAACTCGGTGAGACCAAAGGATCTTAGGTTTTTACTGACCTTCGTGTTCTGGACACTTGAGGTGCAATTTTCGGTGGTGCTAAAAGTTACAAATGGCTTACTGATGACAGTATTTGTTCGTGCAGATTAGGACTGCTTTGGAAGAACACTTTTCTGGTTGTGACATTGTAAAGATACGCATACCAACTGGGAAAGACAGTACCGAAGTTAGAGGGTATGGCCTCCTCTAGTCTGAGTTCTACTATATATTTTAATCGAATTTTCAACTGTTGCAACCTATATAACCTTGACTACAAGCCTCTCTACAGGCGTCGTTTTTACTAACTCGTCGTATACTTTCACATATAGATTTGCGTTTATCGAGTTCGGCGATATGGAATCACTGGCAAAGGCTCTCTCGCTGGATGGGGAAGACGTGAATGGCCAAGTTTTGGTGGTGAATGCTTCTGTTCAAGGAGGTGGAGGCTTTGGAGGCCGCGGAGGAGGAGGAGGAGGAGGAGGTGGTGGTGGTGCCGGTGCCGGTACTCGAGACTCTGAAAAGACTGCCTTTGTGAAAGGGTTCGATAAGTCTCAGACTGAAGATTCGGTGAGATCTTACACTACTTTTTCTCTACGATCATATCATCATAGTTTTTAACCTATATTTTCTGAGAAAGCTCCTATGCTAATGGACGCAGCTTCTTGCTGCCAATTATGCGCATACTTGCTGTGAACATGGCAGGGCCTGAATGTGTTGTTGCCTTTTGTGGGCTAACTTCTTATTATTTCTTTCATTGTCGTAGATACGTACTACTTTAAAGGAGCACTTTTCCGATTGCGATATTGTAAATATGCGCATACCAACTGACAAAGACAGTGGTGATCTCAAGGGGTATGTATTTGAAGTTAAAGTTAAAATCTCATGTGACATCCGCTGAGTTGCAGATTGTCTTGTTGTCCTAAAGTCTATCATATAGATATAAAAAACAAAGTGTCCGCCGTTATTAAAGTCATCTTTGTTTTCTCCACAGAATTGCCTTCATAGAGTTCGGTGACATGGACTCCATGGCGAAAGCTCTGGAACGAGACGGACAGGAAGTGAATGGCCAAACGTTGGTCGTGAATTCATCGAGTCAAGGAGGAGGATTTGGTGGAGGTGGAAGGGGGGATTATGATAAAACAGTATTCGTGAAAGGTTTCGACAAATCAGACGATGAGAATTCGGTGAGTTGTGGGTTTGAATTCCCTGCTATACTGTTTCGGCTACTGACGCAGTAACTTGACTCCTCGTCCGGCCATGCAAAGATCCTAAAAGTCATCCGGCAGAGCAATCTTTTCGCAAAAGTCAGAAAGTGGCATGCTTTTTAGAAGTGACTCCTGTACACTGATGGCATTCGTATGACATGTACAGACTCGGGAAGGTCTCACAGATCTTTTCTCTTCTTGTGGTGAAGTCACAAGTATTCGTTTGCCTACTGACAGAGAAAGCGGAGGCCTTAAGGGGTATGTCTAATGATAAGGTTATGGGCAGGGGATGGATTTCCAGTATACCCTCATATTGGTTTATGTTTTTTGCTTTATCCTCATATTGCATTGTGTTTCCTGGTTTAGTAATTAGTACAGTGTAAAAATTTAGAAAGTCTTTTCTTTGAATGTTTGTGAGCGATTCCTGCTCCAGCTTACGAAAAATCCCTTGTAAGTTATGGCTTATACGGTGAATCATGTAGAAGGATCAATTCAATATAATCGATGTGTGACAAGATTCATTCCCGCAGGTTCGCCTATGTGAAGTTCGCGGAAAGGGATTCTTTTGTTAAAGCTCTGGAGCTTAACAATACAGAATTCAAGGGAAGAAGTTTAGTAGTGAATGAAGCCGGTCAGCGTGGAAATGGAGGAGAAAGTACATACCAATCAGCTCCAGCGAGCGCTTACAGTTCTGGCAAGTCCGAGATCTTTGAACGCTGGGACCTTTAGGAAGTCGTATATGTTCCTCCACCAAATGTGACATTGACTATTGGAAATAACACTTTGACAATAATTTGAGATTTGTATTGACGTGAATGAACATGATAGTGAGTTATTTAAGTTTTTTCTGGCAGGTGGCTTCAACTGGGACCTATCAGTCGGTGGAGGGGACGGTGGAGGATTTTCTTGGGGAGGGTCTACAGTTGGCTATGATGGAGGGAGTAGTTTTGGTGGTGGAGGTGGCCATGAAGATGGAGGATTTGTTGGAGGGAGTAGTTTCGGTGGTGGTGCTCGTGGCCGGGGAGATCCAGAAAAAACAGCGTTTGTGAAGGGTTTTGACAGAGATCAGGACGAGGAAACAGTGAGTCTTCAGTGCAGATCTGAATTAAGCACCAATAGCTTATGCTACCAGTCTCGATACTTAAATGCTTCGTTTACGGAGGCTATTCGTACAGGACAACTCACACACTCCGTCCTGCAGATACGGGATACTCTGAAGAAGCATTTTATGGATTGTGGAGTCTCCAACGTGCGAATACCTACTGACAGAGATTCGGGAGCAATCAAAGGGTCAGTTGAAACTTTCAGATCTATCTCTGGAATGTCTAGCGATGATTTAATCTATCAAAAATTCACACTCGTGAAGCATTTTAGATTTACTCCAGCACTGCCATTACTGTCCTTGTTGGTTTTATTCCCAACATTGAGACCTTGAGTATACTTATTCATACACATGTAGTTTCTAAAATGCTCCTTAATGTGATTTTTTTCCTTCCGTTTTGGTTTTGTGTCAAGAGTGTTGAATTCTTGTGTCTGCAGGATTGCCTTTTTAGAGTTTTACGACAAAGAAGGTCTAGCGAGGGCCCTAGAGCTAGATGGGCAGGAATGTGATGGGAGAGCTTTAGTTGTAAATCAGTCGGGATCAACAGGGACAGGAGGTACTGGTGGAGGAACTTTTAGTGGTATCGGAAGCAGTCGTGGTCGTGGCGACCCAGAGAAGACTGCATTCGTCAGAGGTTTCGATAAATATCAAGGGGAGGATTCGGTACGACTTAACTGAACGTTTTCAGTTTTGATATTTTGCAAGGACGTAAAGAAAATCAAAAGCTTTCTAACTGAGATTATAATGAATGGCCTCTTGTCCAGATTCGAAATTGTTTGAAGGAGCACTTCAGCGGTTGTGATATTGTCTCAATCCGTATACCGACGGACAAAGATTCAGGAGAAGTGAAAGGGTATTCATTTTCAAACTTTTACGGTCATTTACTACTCAAAACTGTTTAACAGGGGCGTCTTAAACACCGAAACAAAATAGAGTAACCTCCATAGTGAATATTTGTTCAAGACTCTGAAAGCTGATTCTGTACAGGATTGCCTTCGTGGAGTTTAGTGACTTTTCATCCATGTCTCGAGCTCTTGATATGGACGGGGTAGACGTCAAGGGTCAGACCTTGGTGGTAAATCCCTCCACCCAAGGTGTTGGAGGTTTCGGAGCGGGGCATCGCGGGCGTGGAGACCCCGAAAAAAGCGTATTTGTCAGAGGTTTTGACAAGAATGACGCCGAGGATGCGGTGAGTGCTTTGATTGAACGCACAAGGTACATATCGGGAATCATTTGGATCGCATCTTCTGTTTCGCTACTTGTCACTTAAACTGAAGTCTACGCATTAACAATTCTCTGGTTGAAACAGATTCGAGAAAATATGAAACTCCACTTTGCCTCATGTGGGGAAGTTGTCAGTGTGCGGATCCCAACTGACCGAGATACAGGAGAGATCAAGGGGTTAGTAGTTTCTTGTTTTAAATTCCTGCAGAATTGTTCGTCTAGTAGATAATATGAAACTAGGTAATTCATCCTTACCTTTCAGAGATTTGACACCAGGTTATTCATCCTTATCTGGGACACTTATGGAGCTGTCTGCATCATCACTGGGAAATGTCCTCTTCCTCTAAAACCAACTCGGCCTCCGACAGGTGGAAAAGTGGTGTCTATTCACCACTTATGTCCTCAATGAAGTACACTTGAGTGATGTGACGTTGCTTACTTAACAATCACTCTTTCCATCTTTGACAGTCTGCTGTATCTGAGTAAAAACCATACCTGCCTAATTCAAAAAAGTGGTTTCCAAAATTGCAGCATTGCTTTCGTGGAGTTCAGTGATGTGAGCTCAGCCTTGAAGGCCATTGATATGAATGGGGAGGAGTTCAATAATAGGAGTTTGGCTGTAAGCGCGGCTGGACAACCTCCCGGAGCTGGAGGTGGAAGCAGCTTTGGTGGAAGTCGGAGTCGCAGTGATACTGATAAGACAGCTTTTGTCAAAGGTTTTGATAGAGCAAAAAGTTCAGAGACGGTGCGTATTGTCTTTTGAACGTTGTAGGAATTTCTGTATGCTTTTTCGAATTTTTCTTGGAATCTCACTAATTATATCAAGATCTGCCACAGATACGACGGCTGCTCACTAGTCTTTTCGCCGACTGCGGGGAAATTGTCAACGTTAGAGTACCTACAGAGAGGGACAGCGGAGACTTGAAAGGGTATGTCTTTCACTGAGATAACAATCTTACCAATCGAGGTCACACCTTCGTTTTTCGTGCATTGATTTACGATCGACGTAATAACGTGCTTTTCGGGTATGTTCCGCAGGATCGCTTTCGTAGAGTTCAGCGAGAGAGAATCTTTATTGAATGCGCTACAAAAAGACGGCTCTGAATTGGAAGGATACGCGCTAGTCGTTAATGAGGCAGGTGGCGGAGGAGTATTCGGATTGGGTGGTCCTTTCGGTGGCTCACGTGGTAGTCGTGGCGACTCAGATAAAACTGTTTTTGTCAAAGGGTTTGACAGGTCACATAGCCCGGAGACGGTACGAGAACTCTGCATCACTAGAGTCTGTACATAAAACTTTGTTTCTTTACAAAGGTCATTTTCTTGTAAGACCTATACCAAGTGATTCAAATGCCAACTGCTTGATTTGGAGCTGTGTGTTCTTTTGATATTCATTTTGCAGATTCAACGGATGCTGCGGGGGCATTTTGAGAAATGTGGCGAAGTAGCCAACATCCGAGTCCCGATAGACAGAGATAGCGGAAACACTAAAGGGTTCTCTCATTTATCAAACATCATTGCATATTATAATTTCACCATATCTCTATTATACATAGTTATGTCATGCGTATGAAGTACTTCTCTATGTGGCTTTGTGCTATAGTTCGAAACGGATACACTTAATGCACAAAATGAGATTGAAGTTTGGAAGGCCGTTTATATTACACCGAATGTGTTCTTTCAGTAATGCATAATTGCTGTGATAATAGTTTTACTCAATGCACCTCTTACTTTGGTACCTGCAGTATTGCTTTCGTGGAGTTTAGTGACAGAATCTCCTTCCTGAGCGCCCTTCAAAAGGATGGCTTGGATCTGGATGGTTGCGTCCTTACGGTGAACGAGGCAGGACAATCTGCTGGAGAGAAAGTTGGAAGATTCGGGGCAGGAGATGGATTGATTGGCAGCTCATTTGGAGGAAGTGGGGGTTTTTCAGTCAATATATCAGGTCGTGGTGGTCGAGGTGACAATGATAAAACCGCCTTTGTGAAGGGTTTTGAAAGGTCGATGAAGGAGGATTCGGTAAGTAGTAATTAAGCGATATAATTACATGTGTTAGTGCTGGAGAACCAAATTTGAGCATATTGAATGGGAGTACAGAAGAGCTGAATGCGGTCTCAACGTTCTGTTTTGTTCTTTCATTTGTTCACAATCCCCTTCATGTGTCTAACAGCTGCGAGAAGGATTGAGAAACCACTTTGCTGGCTGTGGTGAAATTGTAAACATTCGCATACCAACAGACCGAGACAGTGGAGGCATCAAAGGGTATGCATCAGCACTATAATACTTGTACTTTGAAACATGTGGAGTTGCGTGTCAAGCGTGCATCAGTGCTTAGTTACCAACCTGTCTAGAACAACTTATTGGTGTATGTCTACCACCTTCCAGCTGACCAATATTAAGCTGCTATTTTTTGATTTAGACACTTCGGTTCCGTGTGAGAGTATCTCTCCTTTAAAGTTGAATGTTCCAGGTGTATCCTGCCCCTTTATTAAGACAGCTGGCTTTGCTTCAGGTTCGCCTATGTTGAATTCACTGATCTGGAAAGCCTGGCAAAGGCCCTACAGCTCAATGGTTCAAGTTTTGAAGGGCGACACCTAGTGGTGAATGAAGCTGGTCAACCTTCCGCAGGCGGTGCTGGTGGAGCCTTCGGTGCTGGAAGTCGTGGGGATCAAAGCAAAAGCGAGAGATCAGTATTTGTTAAAGGCTTTGATCGGAGCTTAAATGAAGAGCTTGTGAGGATCCGATAGCACCTGGAATCTGAATGCATTTTTTAAATTCTGGTTTATGATCTCACTCATCAACTTGATAAGTTCTTTCTTTATTAAGTAACTGCTTTGAACCTTACTTGGGGCAGTAAAGCTCCCGAATTTCGTTATCCGGTTGTTAGTTATAATTAAGAGTTGATTGTGCAGACTAGAAAAGCTTTAATTAAGCATTTCGCCTCTTGTGGCGCTATATCTGATATCCGGATTCCAACGGACAGAGACTCAGGAGATATTAAGGGGTAACTCATTTGGTCTCTTCTCCTCTTGTTTTATTTCGTATGATGCTTTCGAGATTAGTATACCAGACATTTACATGCTTGTTAGTCTAATTTGAGGAGCAGATACTAAGAGATATCGAAATTTACCCTTTCGTCTTCCTGATTTATTTCCTTTTTTCTCTTTGCGATTATGAATGCTTGTTAATCTATTCAATGAGACTGATGTCATGTTTTGACAGGATCGCGTTCGTGGAGTTCAAGGACGAGGCATCACTGGCCAAGGCCTTGCAGCTAGATGGTTCAGAGTTGAATGGAAGGTTTCTACTGGTGAACGAAGCTGGACATGGTCAACGAGCGGAGGGGCATGATGCTGGTGGGTCACGGCATGGAACAGTTATGGATATCGATGGAGGTTTTGGCTGGGATACACCTCTGCCTCCAGCTGAAGATGAGATGATTGATAGCACTGGTAAGTTCTAAGTTTCAAACCCACACAGCATTTGAACAGATCTTATGGTTCCGCGGCTTTTAAGAGACTCTTAACGATGTATTCATTTGCGTCCTGTCCAGATCCATCGTTCTTTACGTGGTGAAATTGGACTGTCAATCAGCGTCCGTTCTTCAAGACTATATCTGGGTTTAGCTGCATGTTGAGTTTCCACTGCAGTTTGTGGCGACCTTCGCTCTCATAGTGCACGGTTTGAGCGGCATGCGAAGTTTATGTAGACGTGTACAAACTTTGTAAAGACTGCGCCTTCGCCTTCCCTGTATTCATGGAGCAAGTTTTGAGGTGAAGGTGAATCAGAGAGCATACTGTTACCCGGTTCTACCATATTTAGCTGACAACCTCAGATCTTCAGCTTTACTATGCGTTCAGATAGGCATCCAAGCAACTCAACTTGAGCAGATTTTAGCTGATCTTGGAAATAGGTGGTCTGGTTTTGTAGAACTGTACCTTACATACAGGAAAAAGTAATGAAAGCTGGAGGTTAGAGTAGAATGTATGGAAATTCTAAGTCTGAGCAACTATCTTGTTATATGGGCTATGCAAAGAGCAGCAACACCTTGCTTTCAGACCGGATATGCCTGGTGCACAATCTTTATCTTTATGGAGTCATGCAATGTGCGATATCTTTGTACAAACGTCAATGATTATCTTCTTTGACCAAACTCAAATGAAGGAACTTTTGTTTTTGCACTATCATGAAGCATGAAGCATAAACCAGTCCTTGTGGAGACAGACTTGAAGCACTCAAAACACTGAAAGTAATTTGAACGAAAATTAATCGTCTCTCATGTTCAGTGTGTGCCTGTACTCATCACCATGCTTTGATATGTCGTACAAGCCAAACAAAATGAGAGGTAGAATTGAGAAATGTGCTCTTAGACTAGAAGACTGAACAACTTGCTTGCTGGCTTTCTCCACACGCGAAATCTCACTAGAATTCTGGAGTATGTCAGAATTTACTGTTACAGGCACTCCGTCTACTGCACTGCCCGGCTTAGGAATAACCCGTTTTTCATAAGGATCGACCGGTCCTCTCGATCCAAAGCTGTTCCCAAGTTTTCTGGCAGTAGACTTGATCATTTACAACGGTTTGAGCAATAGTTCTAACAAGCGAGCCGGTACATATTATTGGTTTACATGTATACATGATATTTGGGATCATTTGATTTTCATGGTATGATCTTTCGTGAGGTCCACCGGGATTAGATGAGAATCTGAAAGTCAACCATCCTTTCATCATGGTAAGAAAGAAATATTATACAAATTATGATTGCACATCAACTACACGCACCTCTTGATTATATTGTTTTAGGTGTATATAGTAATGTTCTCGTCTTTACAGATATGAGAAGATTTGGAACAATATATGAAAAATTCAGTCCATAGGAAACATGGATTCGAATTTCAAATGGTTTTTGTAATAAATAGAATCCTAATATAAGCAAACCTAGACAGACCAAGAAAAATAAAACAAAACCAAATATGTCTGTATATTTTGAAAAATGATAAGATATTAAATGGTTGACCAAAGAATGAATAAATATTATACTTAAATATAAAGTACAACTTATTAACATAAATTGAAAATTTTGTGCATGGATTATGTGAGTAAAAAACTTGAATATAAATGTAAATTTCCTTCCACATACCTACACACTTGAACTTTTTTCTATTCGATTAGTACTTTGTTACGTTCGGTCTAGATTAAAAATATTATTAAAATATCTACATTTGGTAAGGTGGAAATTGCATGCTCGTTAAGAGACCCAACCATCGATCAACTTCCTCTCATCAATCCACAATGTTAACCGTATAGAATTAAAATAGCCAAGGACGAACAGAGTCATCCTATCAGATTTTAGAATTCCTGTATACGATGATTTTACGTGTAGAAAGAATCAGTTTCGAGAATGTCAATGATGCTGAGAGGCATGTTTGGTGGGATTCAACCTAGATAACGAAGGGCCTCAATCGAGTAAGCTGACGGACCAAAAAATGGCAGCAAGAAGAATTCAAGGCGATAGACAGCCTACAAGGTTCCATCGAGTTTTGATTTCAAGCCCCCCGGGTCTTCATTCGTATATGGTTCAGTATACGAATGAGGGTACATGTACAGTACTGGAACGACTTTCGAGCTCCACGTTTTCAAGAGAAAGGTGGAGGAAGTTTCCCGGGGTCCCGGCAAAGGCGCATTGACAGAACCTGCAGGTGCCAGTCGCGGGGTTGAGTCATTCTGACCCGAGGTTTAAAGTCGTCAAGGGGCTCGGAGAGAGGGGCATCCGAGAAAGCGGGCAGCGGGCAGCACACGACAAACCAAAGTCCATGCGAGAAATACCCACATCCCTTCGAATTGATCTCGAGCCTGAAGACCGGAACATTCCGGTCAATTGTCATATGGCGGCGTGACACGGAGAAATTTGTGAACGTGACAGTGAGAACGACCTTCGGACTCGCGTGTAAGCCCGCGGAGCCTTTCAATCCAGGACCGGAGAACTCGGTCTTCTCTCCGAGGGAGAAGACTCGAGCCCGTGCGCTGACTTTGGAATCAAGACCGACGCGCGTTATGACTGCATAGTCTTCCGACCCTGGGGCCCGAAATCCCGATCCCAGGCCTCCGGAGGCCGGGCCTGGCCCGTTTAGAGGACGCGTCGCAGGAGAATGCGGCGAGAAGCCCAGGCGCAGTTCGTGCGGGCTACATAGTCGACCCCGAGACGCGCACGACGATATGCACGACGAGCGAACACCATTCTGCGCGAGTTGCGAATTTGCTCTGCTGGTCGACATTGAGTTGGAGCCGAGGGAGGGAGGGAGTGAGGATCAGTGGGCACGATCGGGCTCGAGCGCAACGGGTGATGGCGCGTCTGGTGGGTGCGAATCCGCGCCTGGGGGCTCGGCCAGGCTTGCTTTCTTGTTGCAGCCGGAGCAGAGCTGCGAGCGGCAATGGAGCAGCGTGCTTGGCGATGCCGACGAAGGCGTCGCACTTCGGCATTAAGCGCATGAGGACGAGGACGAGGACGAGGACGCCTTTCCAAGGTTGGTGGCAGAACCCGTCATCTGGATCGCTCCCTGCTCTCTCATGCGGCTTAGATGATAAAGAGTCTCTTCGCAGCTTGGATCGGTCATGATGCTACGAGTCGCCGAGGTCCGTCAGGCGCGCAGCAGGTTCCGGAAGAATGTCTTGCATTTCTAGAGGAATTTGTAGGGAATTTTTTTTTTTCTATCTAGGTATCTCGACGGTTGTTCCGAGGGGGCCCAAGATTCGGACACGGACGAAGTATCGATTGATTAATTTCTCGAGTCCACGATCTCCCTCGACGAACGGCTCACAGCTGCTGCGACGATGGAAGAAGGCGCGGCTGTTCGGTCCAAGTCGAGACCGATTTCACGGGACGAATCCGCTGTAACTTTGGAAATAATCACTCCTCTCGGCCGAGGACCGCGTGAGTCCCTTCGGAGTTTAACCAGCTGCCGATTGATCGGAAGGACCCGGTCCTGTTGTGAAAAGGATGGGGATTTCTTACAGGAGCAGAGTCTCCCGGCTGCCGAGAAATTAGAAGTTTTTGATTAATTTTCTAGCATGATGTCACTCGAAGGAATGAATACCGTTGCCACTATAATTCCGGGAAGGAATGTTCTACAGGTGCTACGACGGGAGAGGGTTGATCCTTCTTTGGAGAGAAGGCTCGAGCTTGAAAGAGGGGTCTCTCACAGGTGCTGAGATTCCCAGCTTGTCGTCTTCATAATTTCTCACGAGGAGAAAATTCTTCGTGTCTTGCACCTGGAAAACTAGTCTCCGGCTTGCTTGTTTGATGGAGCAGAAAAGATTCTCGGCCAAATTTAAGGTTCTGTTCAAAATTCTGATGTCGTCTGTGATGGTTGAACTGGTCAGCAGGATCTGCGAGTGCGAGTGCAAATGCAGGAGGACAAAATGGCCCAGCCGGCGATGCACGCGACCCATCAAAACTGCCCACAAGCGCATACTTGGGGGAGACACCTGGATTCTTCAATTTGCACGAGAGCAACTTCTTTTCACCACCGGAATCGAACAAGGGGTGGGATGATATCCGTCTGCAGGCCTTGCTAAGGTCTCTTGGAGTGATGGCCGACGACAGGAGTGAAATGCATGCAGCTGTAGCGGTTCAACGGGACAACTGGGGCAAGCTGTTGCAGGTCACTATCACCATGTCCATGATCTCCGCGGGTATCCTTTCAGCACTGAACACAAGGGCAGCAGCAGCTGCGTCCTTGAGCCTGTCGGTGACAGCCAGCCTTCTTGCCGGGGGATCATTCTTCTTCATGTGCTTGGAGAACTGGTTCCAGCCTTCTCAACTGGCTGAAGAACAGAGAGCAGCATCTCGCTTCTTCAAAGCTCTCGTTCGGGAGATCGAGGGCAGTTTGAAGCCCGGAGGTTCCTATCTGAAAGAAGAGGCACATGTCTTCTACGAATCCAAGCTGCAGAGGTTGCAATATCTGGACAAGGCATTCCCCTTGCCCCTCTTCCCTGGAGGAATCGACAAGTTCCCGGAGGTAGTTGGCCCATCCGTCCTGAGTGCTCCTGTGGACACGTCCAAACCAGAGGTGCCATTGTCCGAGGACAAGTCCTCCAATAATGGCTGGACTGCAGCCATAGTGGAGGACTTAAAGAAAACGTCTGCGCTGCTGAAGAAGTCCGAGATTGCCACTTACGTGGGCTGGGAGAAGAACGCCCAGAAGATCAACAAAGTGCTGGCAATTTCTGGCCCAGCTTTGGCCTTGACCAGCGTCGTTGCGAACTTCGTGAACGGTGGGGCTCTTGTTGCTGCAGCATGCTCCGTTCTGGCGGCTCTCGTCAGCAGCTTCTCCCATGATGCGCAAGTAGGGATGGTGTACGAGATGTACCGCGACGTTGCGGGATCCTTCGAAGACATAGACAAGGAAATTCAGAGAAATCTGCGCATGCCTGTGGAACAACGAGAGGATGGCCAGCTGTTCCACGAAAGAATCGCCCTCACTCTGGGACGCGACGAGGACAAGCCCATCGTAGCCAGTGATGATCAAACATCAGCGGGATCACTTCTGTGAGGTTTGAAGACGTCACCCCCAGCTCTCTATCCCCACGTCAACCGACCTTGCTTTGACTCCTCCGTCAACAACTTGTAAATACCTACCTCTAGTGTAGCATATTTTTGACAATGAGCTGAAGGGGCTCACATTTCCCTGTTTCAAATTCTTCTCTGCGGTATCTGTATATATACATCATGTAACGCCTAGTTTTCGTACAAATTTAGGCCTAGAAGTTCACTCGTTCTAGTTTGACCTGTTTGGACCATCTTGCCATTGACTGTATATGTTCACATCTTGTGACCCCAAGTTCTGAACGAGCATAGAAGTTGCTGCTCTTCAGTAGACCAGTAAACCAAGATGCTTGTTCGGCATGGCATGTTCGCTTGAAAGAAAAATTGATAAACTCTCAGGTCAAATATTTACGAATGTGAAGTGGGGTTTCCACGGGGCACTTGCAATTTATGGCTTGTCGATGTCTGCCCAACAAGGTCCAACGCTAATTTCATTAATTGACATTCTATTACTGGGTTTACGGATGGAAACTATCTCGAAGTTTATGGTTACTCTAGATTAGTTTGAGTCTTTTGTGTCATTGAGTTTTTTATTTAATTTGAAATCATAATCAACTATTATTTTTACGAAAATCAAAGTCTTAATATATGTTGCAATTTAATCCAAACGTTATGTCTAAGTTTTATTCAAAATCTTTAATGTTATAGCAATATAATAAACTAGCAAAAGTTTATTTTCAGTTGATTTATAGGTCTAAATTAAAAATATTAGTATAATTTAATTTAATTTTAAATATTGACATATAATTAAAAATTGACAATGGAAATTTTAGTACTTTGTCGATTCAATTATAAAATAATAAAGTATACAATCTCAGATTTTTTCAAAGTAATAAAATGTTATTTAAACTTTACCATATTGTATCTATAAAATATATGACTTATACATTATTTGATTTAATTACACATTAAAAATTTTAGAATAATTGAAAATATTTTAATTTTATTTACTTTTCTATTCTCAACATTTTTTGTAATGAATATAAATTTCAATTTATTCTTCATTTTAAATATTTTTTTTTAAATCTACATGTCATCCAAGAGATATAATAATTGTGAATCTTAAACATTTCGAAAAACTTCGAAAACATTTTCGAAGTAATATTACTGACTAATAATTACATCTCTTACAATTAATAATAAAATTTATGAAAAAAATATAAATTCTTATGTTCCCAAATCAATATATTTTATCATTATGTTTAATAGTTTATCATCATTATCATAAAAAAATATACAATTTAGTATAAATTTCAAACCTTGAATACATTTAAATAATACGATACAAATTTATAATTCACTAAAATGAATTAAAAACATTTGATATTATAATTTATTTTTTTGTATTAAAAAAATATAATATCTCTATATTTACATAATAATCATCACAATATGACATGTTACTGTACATAGAATCTTGTAATAATACTATTAATAGAAAAATTAGATATATATATATATAAAATTCAAGAAAATAATTTAATTTAATTATTTTTGAAGTAATAAAAATCATAGAATTTTGATAATCCCAAAATTATCGAATGATTTGAAGCATATTCATAAATAATGAAATGCAAGTTTCATTAGATATAAATATTTTCTTAAAAAGTGTTTAATAAAAATTTATGCATGAAATTTTGATTATTTTTTTCAATTATTCAAGGATTATATGTTTATTTTGAGATATTATATACAATAATTATAAATATTAAATCAATAAAAATTTTTATTTCATATAAATACAATATGTAAAAATACAAAGTTTAAATTTTCATTTCAAGAATACTATGTCTAAATCAAAACAAATATATTTTGAGAATGCTAAATGTTATTAAAATGAAATTATAGTAATGACTTTGGTTTCTTTTTTGTCACAATTCATATTTCTTTGAAATTCAAATTCTAATTGATGTTATAGAGGGATGATATTATTATCAATTCTTTAGAACAATATAGTTTACAAAATTATGTATACTATTATATGTAATAAACTTAATATTATTCTATCTCTAAAAATTCTTTCTGTATTTTACAATTTATATTTAAAAAAAAACTATAGACATTATAGTGCCTACAAGTACAAGAATTTTGATATTTTATTCACAACTTATAGTATAATGTTAATATTGACTATGCATAAAATAAGGGAAAAAAATCTATAATTTGTGTGTGTATGTGTTTGATCGTTACAATATTGGTTAAAAAACTATTTTTTCATAGGTAAATCATTTAACAAGCCAAATATATGACGAGTTGAATTAATTTTGTTAAATAGATGTATCACTGAAATGAACTTGAAATAATATAATGTGAATTGTCGTTATGATAGTTCTATTACATTAAATTTTGCAAAAAATGAAGTGATGTATTGTAAAATGAATTGGATCGACACCGTATAACATTTTTGTACAATACATGATTTATGATAAATAGTTTGAATACATCAAAATTGATAATAGAATTAAATCAAGTTGATGTGTTCATCAAAATTAGTATTTTTAATTTGTTTCAAAAATATGGTGCTATTTTGTATGAAAAACACAATACAATTAATTAGCAATTTATTATGTATGGGCTTATCTTATTTTCGTTACTATTCAAGTCTAGTTTGCAAAAAATCTAATGTTAGATGTAACTTTAAAAAATTTCAAAACATAAATCAAAGCAAATTAATGCATGTTTTGTTAGTTCACGTTAATGTTATCATTAATAGTAGATATATTCTTAACTTTCTATACATATATCTTTGCTCGACAAAATTTAACCCATAAAAAAATAATTAAAATCAATAAATTAATGATTAATCTAACAAACTTGTTGAATATTTTGATGATTTATTTTTCTTAATGATTCCTAAAAAATTACCTCAGAAATGATTAGTATATAGTTGGTACTAGAAAAATTATACAAGACATAGTTATGTCAATAATGATCATAAAATCAACTTAATTTTTGTATAATATGTCAATTTATCACATTTTAATTTTATTTATAACTCTAAATGTAAAACTTGTAAACATAGTGAAACATTCAAGCTGAACACAAACACAAGAGACACGTCATATAATGTGATTCATCCTCAAGTACTACGTCCACAACCGAAACACGCAAGAGAGTTTACAAACAACTAAATACAACTCGTACAATAGAAGATTTGGGTGTATATATATATCCAACACCAACAACAAACCTAGCTGTAAAGCTAGAACATGAGTTTACCCATTAATATGAGTTAATCTCAACAATCTACACTTTAACTTGTTTTTAGCAAACAATATACTCTATGATCTATATTATTACTCGGCAAGAGATTCTAGACCGAAACCTAACACAAGGTACATCTTTACACAAGAGTTAACTAGATTTAAATCGTAGTCATATCAAAATAAAGTAATAACATAAAGAGTTAACTAGAGAATCTTCTAACATAGAGGTATCAAAATCTAGTAAATCTATATAATTACTTTGTGGTAAATTCTAGAAAGAGACTTAATACAAGCTTACTATTTACACAAGAGTTGACTTGCATCAAAATCGTAGCCATCACATGATAAAGTAAATATATAAAGAGATAATTGAAGTTACTATGCTAGCAAACTCTATCTCTGCTCGCCATGCACAACCTGCATGATAGCATAGTGTCGCCTGAAACTTTCCAAAAAAATAACTTTGGTCAATCTCGATTGAATTTGCCGTCGATCTTAATTAGCTCGATCATTTTATGAGATATTACTTGTCTGATAAAGTGGTACTTGATATTGATGTGCTTCATTCTGCTATCCATGATCTGATCTGCATCCAAATGTAAAGCACTCTGGCTATCACAATGAAAATTAACCACATCATGCGTCAATCTCATTTCCATGATAAGTCTATCCAACCAAATAGCTTACTTTGCAGCTTTTGCTGCTGCCACATACTCAACTTCTGTTGTTGACAGAACTATGCATTTTTGCAAGGTAGATTTCCAAATAATGATTCCACCGCCAAGTGTAAACACGTACTCAGTTGTAGATTCTCTTTTATCTAGATATTGTTCTTACTCAGCATGTACGTAGCCAAACAAGGATTTGACATTGTCTAATAAACCATCAAATAGTATGCCATAATCTATAGTACACTTCAAATATCTCATAATCCATTTCACTGCTTCCTAGTGAAATTTCCGTGGATTTGACATGTACCTGCTCACCTTGTCCATAGCAAAGGTAATATCCTGCCTAGAGCACATCATCAAATACATGAGGGCTTCTACAGCTTGTTCATAAGGAACACATGACATTCTTTCTTTCTCCACCACATTGCTAGGACATTGAGCTGCGGAGAGTGTGAAATGAGCTGCAAAAGTAGTCCATACTCTTATAGAATCATCCATGTTGAACCTGTCAAGTATATGACTAACATATTTGCCGTGACTCAACCATAGACTCTTTTGTTCAATATATCTATAATATTCATGCCTAATATTCTTTTTGACTCTCCCATATCCTTCATCTTGAATGCAAATTTCAACTTACTCTTGCATTCATAGACATCAGATTGGTTCTTCGCCAAAACGAGCATGTCGTCAACGTAGAGCACTAGAAGTATGAGATTGAACATCTCATCATTGAACTTCTTCACGTAGACATAAGGATCATGCATGCTTCATAAAAAATCTTGTGACTTCTTAAACTCATCAAATCGCATGAACAATTGTCTAGGAGTTTGCTTCAGTTCATACAATGATTTCAACAATCTACATACCAAATTCTCTTGACCTTTGACCTCAAAGCCAACCGGTTGTCTTATGTAGATCTTCTCCTCTACGTATCCAAAGAAAGTTGCAACCACATCCATCTAATGTATAAAAAGATTGAATATCGCGGCCAGTGCACATACCAAACGAATTGTAGCATACTTCGCTACAGGTGAGAAAACTTCGTTGTAATCCACACTCTTTTCCTGTGTGAAACATCTAGCCATCAACCTAGCTTTGAAGATTTTTGTCTCCTCTTCTGTTAGATTGTCCTTCAGCTTGTACATGCACCTGAAGTCAATAAGTGTCTGATCTCTATGAAGGTCAACCAACTTCCAAGTCTTTTTGTTAATCAGTGATTGCATCTCCCCCGTTCCATAGCCGTATTTCACTCAAGCTTGTTGATTAAAGCTTAAAATTTCCTCTATGAAGAAGTCTCATCTTCTTCCAAGATGAACGTCATACCATCCTCATCCTCGGTTCAAAGTCACGATCTTCAAGAATGGATGAATTGGCACATACAACAATACTTTGAGTAGCTCTACGAGCACGATGCGATCTCTTATTAAACATTTCCGGCTGATCTCTATCGTTTGGTACTGTTGCAATAGGCTCATCTACGATAACTTGCTCATGTACCTCCTATTCTTAATACAACGGTACTTAATCTTGTGACAGATTATCAGTGACATAATGATCAAACTCCTTCACAACAACATCAATGACTGAAGATGTTTCCTTGTCAGTACGAGGAGCCTTAGAATTATATCTCTCTTTCAATAAACCGGACTTATTGAAAGAAACATCCCTACTGACAATCACCTTACACACTATTGGATCCCATCGGCTGTAACCTTTCATTCCACTAGCATATCAAAGAAAATGACATTTTTTGGACGTAGAATCTAACTTAGTCTTGTGCTCCTTTGTTGAGAGAGAATAAGCTAAACAACCAAAAATTTTCAAGCGACTGCAATCTATCATTCATTTATTCCTTAGTTCAAATGGTGTGGAAAAATTGATTACACTGTAAATAGAATATTTACCAAATAAATTGCGGTGTTGACGGCTTTGGCTTTTTGGTAAAACGGATTCGATTAATCTGCACCTTCTCCAGCACTGTTTTGTTGAATCTCTCAAAAACAGCGTTTTGTTGTGGAATGTAAACCGTCGTAAAATGACGAGTAATCTTCTCCTCTGTATTAAACCTATGAAATTCCTCAGAATTATATTCGTTGCCATTATTTGATTGCAAATATTTCACCTTTTGGCCAGTCTGAGTCTCAACTTGTATGCGCCTAAGTTTTGAAAGTGTAAAACACCTCAGACTTGTGGATAAGAAAATATACCCACACATACCTAGAATAATCATCTATATAAAAGATACTTAGTAGAGCTTTCTAGAGAGTGAGACAACATGAGATAGACTTCACACGTCACTATGTACATACTTCAGTATCTCCGTGAAACTATGAGTTCCAACCCTAAAAGTTCACCTAAGTTGTTTGTCCATGATGCAATGTTCACAAATTGCCAAGTCAACTTTAGCCAAACTCGGTAATGCCTTTTTCTCATCAAGAAGAGACATGTACTTATCACTCATATGAGATAGTCCAGAATGCCATACATGACACGCGAGATTTGATAAAGTTAATTTCTTCACAAATAATGATAACCTTTAACAAGTACACATTATTGTGCTTGTATATTGAAAGTATAACTTTCTTATTACTTGATTTGATATCTAACACGTCATGCCTAGAGTTCCACGCCAATCTGCATGAGTCTAACTCTCCAAGAAAGATCAAGTTTTTTCTCATATGATATATAAACTTTATATGGATCAGCATACGCTTGACACCATCAAAAATGTGGATCTTTACAAACCCAATATCCTCAATTCTACAAGGTTGATCATTCCCCATAAGAATTAAATCGTTTGATCTTGAAAATGTACAAAAGAACTCCGTGATGTAACAAATGTGATAAAAACAAGCACTATTCAAAATCTATAGGTCACCAACAACTTTTGGTGAACCAAAGAGGGCATACATATGAAATCACACACTGTTGGCAAACATGTCCTACTCTTCGGATCAAAAATGCTTCGCAACATTCGCCACTGAAGGTAAATTTATATCTTTGATTTTCATTTGGCAGTACTTCTTGATGCGGCCATTCTTGCCAAATCTCCAACACATCCCGTTACTCTTGTCTGCGGTTTGAACTCTAATCTAAATTCTCCTCCGCTCAAGGGATCTGGATCTATACCTCTTGAATCCGATATATCGCAAATTACCGAGCCGTCGGATGTGACTGAACTTGGGTCACAGCAAGTGCAATACTGGAAGTGAATGAGCGAGAGAATGACATCTCCTGTTCTACCTTGTCTGCCAAGAGAGCACTTACAATCTCATTGTAGGTTATTGCCTTGTATTCACGATGAAGTAGAATTTTTGATAGTGTCTTGTAGGAAGTAGCCAAGGAGTGGAATAGATGCATAGTTTTCTTTACATTGTCCATGACCACGAACACCTGCAACTGCACTGTTCATCATCACCGTCGATCGTTGCCATCAACGTTGAGCGTCAATCAACCACGTATTCTCCAGTCACGACCACTTCTGCCTCGACCGCGTCCGCACAGATTATGTACCGCACTGACCACGTTACAATGTGGTCATTGCTACCACCTACTTGACCACAACTGCGTCCTATCACGACTGCGTATGCCAATCTGCAATAAGCTCTAACCGCGCAAGGGGGGAGGGGGAGCCTCGACTCCAACGACTACGATAGTTGCCAACCTGCAGTGTGCAGGTCGGCGGGAAGTGTTCCGACGATCCGGCTGCGACCTGCCTTCGCTCCTAAGACCTGTAAGCGGGACCCCTGCAATCTAACTACTCTCGGACTGCTAGTGTCACTCACAGGGAAGAACTCGATGCTGTCATTCGATTCCAAGCTACACGAAAGAACTCGTTCACGAGGAAGAAATTGCTATTGTCGCTTGATTCCAAGATGCGAAAAATGCTCGCAAGAATTTCCACACAAGAATCAACACACAGTCTGACACATGACTGAACGATAGTCAAAGAGCAGGTTTTACAGTCTAAAGCCAACCCTCGTCGTGCAGTTTGATCATCCAGGTGCACTTCTGTTTGCTTTACTCCTAACTCTGTAGAGCGGGTTTGAAAATGGAGATTGGTCCAGAACTTCCGAAATTGTCACACTTTCAAAAATGTAAACAAACTTTTAAATACCTGAAGACTCGTCTCACTGGAAGAACTTTTGAAACCTGTCACCAAAAACTTGCCACAATTTCTGTCAAAAAAATTGTAAATTATAACAATCTGTCAAAAAGCCTGGCAATAGCAGAATTTTGTCACCTGTGAGAATTTCTCAAAAAATTCCTATCACAAACTCAATCACGTCAAGCGAACATAGCATCTCACTGTCAAAAAATCAAAATCATCTCAAAATCCAAATTGAAACCTGCTCTAAAATCAATTCATAAACATTAATCCAATAACCTTAATAAAACAATCAAGCAAAATACAAACACAAGAATTATATCGTATAACGTAATTTACCCTCAAGAGTTACGCTGATGAACAAAATACACGAGAGAGTTTATTGATTTATGAATATATCTCTCACGAATAGAAATTTTGGGGATAAATATATACCCAACCTCAAAGACAAATGTCACTATAGATAGCTAGAAAGTGAGATAATTCTTTAACATGAATAAATATCAACAATAAGATGATTTTTAAAAATTTCATACTCTACCTTAAAAATTTTAATTTAAGTTTTTTTCATACATATATATACAATTATACAAATTGAACTTAAAAGTATTTAAAAAAATTTCTTCGTATAATTACAGAAATCTAGATGTATCAAACCAACATTTCTATTGTTAAAATAAATTTATTTTTGCTATTCATGTGGAGAAATGAAATTCAAATAAAAGAGAAATAAACATGACTTAGATAGTATTAAAGTCTGTATCCGTGAGTACTAAACGAATTAAAGAATTTCTTGTGATACATTAATTTTGCAGTAGTGTCATGACTGCAAATTAAATTTATCTGCATTCCTTGAGGTTCAAAGACATGCAGTAACAGTTGATTCACTTGTAAACGTCTGTAGCTTCATAGAGTATTCGTTCGACATTTAACAGTCATGTCACTTTCTGTGGGTTAATACTAAATTTATACATAATGTATTGATTTATTTTAGGCGCGTGGTTTAAACATTGTCATTTCGAACCTTCAGTTTCGTCGAGCCAACATTCTCACCAGCCGGAGTGGTAACTTTTCTCAGCTTAGACAGATATACATTAATTCGTAGATTTTTTAGAGACCTCCCTCTTAACAGTGTGTCAAAGATTTTTGATTTAGTACTACGTGTGACTGCCGTTTCCAAGCCGGGATGCAAACGTGGTCATTTACTTGTTAGCTGGTGGTTTCGAGTGTCAGTGTAACTTTCACACTCTTTGTTATCTGTCATCTTTCCTGAGAAGCGAAAACGATTTTCTTCCATATTCTGGAAGTTTGAAGCAACAATTTAATGCTCTTCATCTCAGTCCTAATCTGCTCCCAAATGGCACAACGATTTCGAGAACGTTCTTACCATAAAAAGTGGTTGTTATCTACAACATCTAATGTCGCTCGGTTAGGAGATGAAAAAGTCAGGCTTAAGTTAATGTCCTTTACTCAAAAGTAATCCATTCAACATAGCCTACTGATATTCGAAACTAGACGTTTCCAGCAGCCCTAACAACAACGAGGTCTGTAACTGGGAGTGATGTCCTAAAATACCAATATGGCCCAATCTGTATATAAAAGTTGTAAAGACACTGACGGAGTACATCTAAGATTCTGCTTGCCCAGTTCTAGCAGATTCCATAATTCCTAATCATCCCTTGCCTTCATCAATTACAAAGTGGTCGTCCGAAACTTTTGGACATGAGTCCTCAGTTCAGTTAATAGTCCTAATAGTATCAGTTAGCTATTCAAGTGACTGGCATATTCCGCAAAATCTGTCGACCAAAAAAATGAAGACTTTGTACACACCATGGCACCCGCCAGCCCCCGAATGGATAAAAGGAACTACTATATAACGACCCTCAACTTGCAGCAAATGAATTGCACGCTGTCAACAAGAAGGTGATTGTTAAATAAATTTGTAAAGCCCCGATTATGCTTATATTGCACTTAGCATCGCAGACAGCTCTGCCAAGTTAAAACGCCCAAAGGTTCACTCTCGGGACATAAACGTGTTTTGGGTACTCAGCTGAATACTCATTACACGTTGAATCGGCATCCAGCATAGGATTGTTAGGGTTGCACATCTCGGAGAGTCAACTGTCTGACTTCCAGTACCTGCACTGACTTTTGAGAAAAGCCCCAAGTCATCTGTGCTACTCGTCCTCCCGGTATTTTCAATTTTGACACCAGTTGGCAGGGAGACATCCAATTATCGATGGAGACTGCACACGGCAATGTGCGGTCCTGGACAATTCCAACTACAGCCCATTAGCCAAGCAAGGGAAGGTTTCAATGGTTTCAAGACGAAGTTTCAAAATGAGTGCCATTCTCCAGCCGTGTTTGATCCTCACAAAGCTGCCCGCCTCACCTAGTGGTCAACATTGAAACTCGCCACAGCTCCCGCCCTCTCCCGGCTTTCGAAAACTTAGAAGCCGTCGAATTAACAGCAGCTTGTGATCGAAGCTGTTCCAGAGTTCTCATATCCGTATTACTCCTTCGATAGTTCATTAGGATTCAGTCCATAGAAACCTCTATCTCCACCAGAGCTGGAATCGACCCACAGTTCACTGGAAGGAGGAAGAACCGAACTACAACATGAGAGTAAGGGTTACTGAAACTGCCACTCCGACACCACTTGTCAAAGCTACGATGAGGTATCCAAAGAGGTTCTGCTGAACTGTCCCATCTGTTCTGTTGACGCTTGCTGGTAGGCTTTTCTCAAACCTATTGGAGGTCCCACAGGGATCAAACACTCATATTCCGGCGTGAAACGCTCTTGGTCCAGTTGTTACCTCTCGAAACTGAGTTGATCCACATAAACAAAGAAGGCCAAAATGCTTGCGACCGTATCCAGAAATTACGTTGAAATATGTCTGGGCACCTCTGTCCACGTTGGGAGCTCAAAGTCGACCCCACCAGAGGGAGTCATACCAGCCCAAGCAAACATATGACTGATCTCCATGACTGTTGGGTGAAGATCCACCATCACAACTGCTGCCACATTGTCTTCAAAGCCATTCTAGTCTTTGCCAGCTCAATATCATGATGATACCAAAAGGCCTTCCGATACAATCGTGAAATATCACCACCGGGTAGACAGTCGAGGGCGATTCCAGAACTGACAGTTCTCTCAGTTCAGGTTTCAAGGCTGAAACATCCGAATTGCCAGCAAGTCTTGAACAGATTCCCTACTTTTTACTCTTCTCTGAAGCTATTTTCTTCTTCCTTTTCTTCAGGGCTTTCGGGATTTTGGTTTTGCGAGCCTCTCTTTTCTCCAGCTTAACGGACTTCTTGTGTTCCTTCCTGGCCTTCTTCAGCTCTTCCTTTGTGGACACCGTACTGCCTTCTATCTCCGAACCGCTATCATCTTCATCATCAACATCACTGCCGTCCTCGCTAGATACATCATCTTCCAGACCAGATTCAGTCTCAACTACGACATTCGGCTTGCCGTCATCTGCACCGTGAGCTAGCTTGACGGATGACTCCGTCTGTCCTTTTTGACGAGGCTCGGAGAGTAAAGCCGGTGTTTTGTTGACACCAGACATATCCTCTTTCAATCCAGTAATGGCCTGATAGTATATACCTTCCGTATTCTGCCCGCTGGCTAGCCGCTCGTAGTCTCTTTCATAGTTTTGGACTTGATCCAAAGTTTTTGGAATAAATGCCTGCATTCAAAAGGTTAGGTATCTAGTCACAATTTTCTTCACGAATGTACGATCTACAATAAGAGGGCAACATGAGAATAAAAATAAGAACTTTAAACGGGATAGGCGAGATATAATAGACGATCACTGATGCAGTGCGAAGTATGATCTCCACAAAGAAGGAAAACCAAACTGAAAAGTGACGACTTGGCAGACTGGCAACATAAACTTGAACATTAACGTAGTGAGGCAAACAATTCCATTATTGACAAGACGAATCAGCAGAACGAAGTTAGATTGTACACTTGTCCACACCTCATGACCGATGAAAATTAACCTAGTAGTAGACTTCACAAGTTGCTAAGGTGATCAAGAAATACACAATGTGTCCAGTCGCGTCCGAGAGGCTCCACTCAACAAAGAGGACTAGTGTTTAGCTTTCCAGCCAAGACCACACCTCACAACGAGTGTAACAAAAGGGTCTGAACGTTGTATTCTCAACTCTATTGAGATTTATGAAATCCGATTAAGTTCAAATCAAAATACCAGAACACCAGTGATGAAACGGGCAGTGGTATAAGCACGGAGATGAGCAGGTGGAGGACTTCATGTATCAATATATACCTGAATAAAAACTGCTTCCGCAACTTCTTCCTCGGCTGTTGGCGTCGATCCTCGGGCATTTACTTTTTCCTGGATCTGTTCATCTCAACGATTCAATTCGCTTCCGTTAAGAGGGTCTCTGCCGTGCTATCAGACAGGTGAGACGTAAGGAATCTACGTCCACGTCGGCGCCATAAACATCTCACAAATGACCAGGAAATATTGTCATTTTCGTGTCCGCACAAAATAAGCTGAACAGAATTACAAAGTTACAATGGTTAAGAAATTAAAAGTGATTGAAACTCTCTACATTCAGCCTGAGTATTTAGCCTACAATCTACATTTAGCCTAGAAAACCACCTCATATTTCTCATAAGACAAGATCACGTACCTTCTCCAAGTACTCATCAACGAGATCAGGGGTAATCGTTGGATCAACAACAAAGTCAAAAAGTTCTCGAACTGTCATCACAGCAACACCGCTCTTCCGGAAAAAGTCCTGAGATATTGTGTGGAGAAAGAAGAGTATGATTATAAAAAGCAAACACCAAAACCCAAAAATTAAGCCCGAAAGAGTATGTCTTGTTCCTGTCGCTATTAAAAGACATCTCTGGTCAGACATACCGTGACATGCAGACAGTCCTCCCTAAGAAAGTCGAGGGCCCGAGGGTGGTCCAACTCCACAGACTGAGATACGTCGATGATATACAAATGGCCCTGAGAATATCCACAACCCACTCAGGTACAGCTTAAACAGATTCTACAATAATTAAGTTTCAAGCGTCAGCATACCAACAATGCATATCCACCAGTTAATGTATAACGTTCAGGTAACCGCAAAAGTCACTCCAGGTAGAGAGTACGATACCTCATAATACAGGATATTGTATTCACTCAAATCGCCATGTACTAACTTACAAACTTGATACATAGTTCGTATAATAGTAACCATCTGCAAACAAAAGGACATCAAATTCGATCCAGAGAAATCGGTAAACCCAAAAAGTCCTTGGTAAATCATCGGTGACAAAGTAATGTCCTACTTTTGAGAAGATGAAGTAGACAGCATTTAGAAGTTTAAAGTGAGGTCAATTTCAAATATGAGAAAAAAAACCGGAAGAAGATTTACCTCGAAATAACATTCACAAAGTTTCGACTCTGAAAGTGCGGCATCCTTCAACCTTGGAGCTGCCCAACCATCCTTTCCTGCAGTCATTCAAGCAGGAAATTAAGGAAGATAGCCTTACTTGATAGTGACACAGTTCTGTAAATAAAAATTTCAATATAAACCCATGATATCAGCCGCAACTGAAATGTGGGAGCCAGACAAATATGGTACGTCAGTCACTACCTATGAAATACTAACATGGGCATATCCAGCTAGACAACAATTCTATGACATACATTCAACTCACTTACCGATAAACGTCATGATGAGAACATGAAGCCTCAGAAGGACCGGTGTGGGACTTCTAATTCCAGCCGCCGTGAGCCTGATCCAGAGTCAATATGAATCAGTTGGTGACTGGTTTCTAAGAACTCAACGATCTGATACAACTGCAACAAGAATAACTCAACTGCTCTTCGATCTCATTAGACTGAAGGCTTCTGATACATTTGAAACAACACAGGGTTCCTGCCTGGAAGCTATGCCGCACGAGGTAACAGGAAACAATATCTAGTGAAAAGTATCTCTCCACTTTCTTCTCACCCATAAGAGAGACATTGTACAAGAGATAGGACTTATCCTACAACGAAGAGATGCCTCGGACTGACAAGGCATCCCAAGCTGACAACTACTCTAAGTAGGAAAGTTCAAGGACGTTGTGCGATAGGAAGTGAGATTGCAGATGAACTAAATCAGTGACAGTGAGTTCAGAGTAGACGGGAACCTAAAGGAGGCAAAATTGACATGAAAAATTGAAGAGTTTGGAGTTCTACCTCGCGAGATTTCGCATCTCTTTCTCGGCCCAGGTTTTGACCATCTTCCGCGGGTTGCTTTTCGAATAGCCGTGTCTAAAACGAAAGTCTCCTTGAACGTATCTTTCTCGATCCCTGAAGTCATAGCCATCTGAGAACGTGGTGGGATTGAATTCGGCACTTCTACTGGTATAATAACTACAAACTCCATCGTTGGATGGAATCTATTGACAACAGCAGAAGTCGAAATTTCCAATCAGAAGACGTACTTGAAAACTAAAATTGAAGTCTTGTAAACCTTCACGGCCAGCTCATCCCCAGTGGCTGTCGAGGCATGATACACGTTTGCCTTCACAACAAAAGACCCGGGTCAGATGTGGCTCTCAGTAAACAGTGTTATGTGTTGGCCCATACAAAAAATGTACAAATCTACATGTAGATACGACGCAAACAAGGAAGGTTGCCCTCGACACATGTGTCCGGAGGCACAACTATTATACACTCGTTCAGACGTCAAGCACGAGGGTCGATAAAAGTGTACAGGAACATACTTCTTTTCCAGTAGATATGCAGCCATGAATGTCTTGAAAAACTCCACGATTGAGCATCTTGAAAAGAACCATCCGCGTGCGAGGATCTAATGCCTGCACAAGCACGTCTATTGGTTAGCTTTAATGAGGGAATGAACTTCTTGTTACGCCTCAACTAGTGGATGCAGCAAGATATGATGCTCGAAGGATCAGAACACTGTTAAGGCTCAAAACAGTAGCTAATCAACCAACTATTCTTCAAAACTTGAGTTTATGTTGGAGTAAACAAATGAAAGATTCGAAGCTACGGTACCATTGTATTCAATGAAGTGATAGCCATGTATATTACAACGTGATGCGATGAGAGGCACGCATACCTGCTCCACTGTGGCTCGGTCTGCCTTCTCGTTTCTCCTAACTCGACCCTCAGCTTGTTGACGAACATTGTCTCTGACAGTCGTGGCAGCGGTGTTTGACATTGCGCTTTGACCATGGCCTTCCCATTCGGCCTGTACAAATCATTTAACCAGCCAATGAGAAACAATATCCACCACTACATTTCAAAAAGTCCATCTTTAAGGAATCTGATTATGCTTGCAAAATTGGTAAGTGTAGAGTGTGTTGGGCCATTAAGAATGAAAGAGTATCAGTGTGAAAAACACTCAATCAGATACCACCCCAGTTTGATGTCGCTCATTTTCTTCAGCAAGGTTCGTCAAAAACTTATACCACGCTGCTTTTTACCGAGCTTAAAACAAATATCTCTATCAAAATTAGATAAGCAGCTGTTAAAGACATTTGCGGCCACAGAGAATGAGGGAACATAAATGCGACAGACTCCACCCATACAACGGCAAGATGATTCTAGCTCATTTTCTTCAGCAAGGTTCGTCAGAAGCTTGTACCACGCTGCTTTTTACCGAGCTTAAAACAAATATCTATATCAAATTTGAATAAGCAGCTGTTAAGGAAATTTGTGGCCACAGAGAATGAGGGAACACACATGCGACATACTCCGCCCATACAACGGCCGGATTACTCTAGCTCATTTTCTTCAGCAAGGTTCGTCAGAAACTTATACCACGCTGCTTTTTACCGAGCTTAAAAGTACTATCTCAATCAAAATTGCATAAACAGCTGTTGAAGACATTTGTGGCCACAGAGAATGAGGGAACATACATGAGACAGACTCCGCCCATACAACGGCCAGATGAATCTAGCTCATTTTCTTCAGCAAGGTTCGTCAGAAACTTATACCACGCTGCTTTTTACCGAGCTTAAAACAAGTATCTCAATCAAAAATTGAATAAACAGCTGTCGAAGACATTTGTGGCCAAAGAGAATGGGGGAGCATGCATGCAACAGACTCCACCCATACATCGGCCAGATGAATCTAGCTCATTTTCTTCAGCACGGTTCGTCAGAAGCTTCTACCACGCTGCTTTTTACCGAGCATAGAACAAATATCTCAATCAAAATTGAATAAACGGCTATTGTAAACATTTCTGGCCCCAGAGAATGAGGGAGCAAATATGAGTGAGACTCCACCCATACAACGGCCGGTACATTCTTGCTCATTTTCTTCAGCAAGGTTCGTCGGAAAATTCTACCACGCTGCTTTTTACCGAGCGTACAACAAATAATTCGATCAAAGTTAAATGAACGGCAGTTGAAAACATTTGTGTCCACAGACAATAGGGGAGCAGATGTGCAAAAGACTCCACCCATTCAACGGCAACTACATTCTTGATCGTTTTCTTCAGCAAGGTTCGTCAATGACTTCTACCACATTATTTCTTTGAAGATCTTGTTACAACTATCACGATCAAGAATTTAGTAAACAGCGCTCGAAGACATTTTTGGCCACAGAGAATGAGGGAGCCGATGTGCAGAAGACTCCACTCATACAACAGCCAATTCAATCTTGCTCATTTTCTTCAGCAAGATTCATGAGAAATATCTATCATGCTGCTTTTTACCGAGCATCCCGAATAAAACTCAGTAAAGTTCATATTTAACTTCAGTAGTGGTCTTCCGCAACTTAAATCACTGTAATTTCAATGGAACTCCTGATTGAGAAATATAGGAACTACTGAACAATGGATAGACCCAGCAACGTGCGCTTCACCGACTAATTGGTTAAACGCAGTCCACGAGCTTACAAATGGACAATAAATCAGCGAAGAGTGGGGAAAATCTCTACTTACAGATAGTGGCCGCGGATTGATTCGTCCGACCAACTTTTGCTGTTGATTAGTTCGCGGTTGAAAAGCACCTCCTCCACCAGTGTGATGATTGTGAGCTCCACCGTGGGCGTTCGGACGATTTTGAACAGAAAATCCAGGGCCGTACGCTGTTGTTGTGCCCTGACCGGTACCTCGAGAATGTAAATCTGAGCCAGCCAAACCAATATCGGATTACCGGATTTGCAATCAGACTCAGATACCATCGAAGGATCCTGGGTACAGGCAATGTCAGCAAAGAGCGGGCATAAACTCTACAACCACAGAACCAGTAAACAAGACAAGTTTTCCTCACGCATACCATCCTGAAAGTCCAGCCAATCCAAAGCGTCGGCAATCTCCTCATCTTCCTCAGAGTCAGCTTCGTCCGACCAGTTTTCATCTTCACCCAGATCGGCACCTACTTTATATTCCTTGCTTCCAACAGGGTTCTCATTGTCTTGGACAGACAATGGGGAGCTTGCCTCATCCACACCCAAGGCAATGGCGCTTGCCGCGACAGCAGCCATAGCCTCTACCCTTGTGTCTCCTTCCTAGAATTTGCAGCCTATTTCAGTCGAGTCCACAATGTGGAACAGGGAAGAGGCCAATATGCAGCAGTCAAGAGTTGAAGAATCGAATTCTCGACGTCCTCCCATAAAACCATGAACACTCACAGAATCTAAACAGACTCGCTTGCTCCAAAATCGACACCGGTATTGCAAGACGTCGGCACTAAATGAGACTGGCAGCGGATGCAGCGATGGAGCTGAAACGACACCTTCAATTCAAGAATGACCAGCGATGCCAATTTTATCAACTTCAAGGCCTGAATTGAGAGCTCCCTCCCTCCCTGAAACACGACTTCTGCCTCGGAGGTGGGCGAGCACAGAGAGGACATTTAGGGCTTCAAGAGCTCCGGAGACTCCCCAATGCGAAAGACTGCAGGGGTGTAGGGTTTAAGCGGGGTTTGCTGACCACGGTTTAAATGTCAACTGGGTCCTTGAGTAACTTTACAATACAGTACACTGTGCAAGCCGAGGGATCAGCTCCCTTCCGACTTCGGTACGGTACCGAACCTCGGACCTGGCGGTTCGTTCCTTCGCCTTTCGTGGAAGAGAGCGTACAGCACGAGATTCTCTTTCGGCTTGAAGTCAAGTCCGGGCGCGGGTCGACTTTGTTCGCAGACTGCGTTGAAGAGGAGAACGTAAGTCCAAGAAACGACTCAGACTACAGCACAGTCATATCCCTTCGTTGCCGGCCCGATCCGGCCCCTTGCGCCGCGGTCGGCGGGCGCCAACATCGGACGTCGCGACGGCTGCAATCCGCCCGCTCCGTGAGCGCCGTATTCTTCTCCGCGCGATTCGATGGCAATTGAGGAGGAGCTCCGGCCAGACGACATATCAGGGAGTATCCGACAGAGGGGAAAGCTTTCCGTCTGTCCGTCAGCAGGCGGATCGTGGCGCTCCCAAATGATGTCTCAAATGATGCGCGTTCAACCCAATCCATCCGTCGACGGCCGACGGACGACCGGAATCGATGAAAAGATTCGACATTCCACCTTCAGGACCTCCTCTTAGGCAACTCCAGGCCGGAGCTGACGCCCGCAAAGTCCACGCGATAGACTTGGCCCGTTGGGCATATCGAGAGACTTGGCAGCGGCCGTCCGATCCGAATCGACGGCGGGAGTCCACGCGCTCGACGTGGGAGAAGCCAATCAGGATTCTTGACAAACCCCGTGGAAAACCACGTCGCGAAAGCTGGCCGACGGTCGGGGCCGTCGTTCCCCGTCCAGGGGAAACGAAGCCCGATTCTTGTGCGGTGCGAGGAGCGAGCAGATCCTCTTCCTCGGACGTCGAGAGCGAGCGAGAGAGAGGGGACAGAGGAAGGGAGGGAGGGAGGGAGGCTGAGGCTCTGCTCTGTTCGTTCATTGATGTGATGCCGGTCATGCTCCCCCGAGGAGTTGCAGAGCTCGGATTGCTCGGCCTTGAGGAGCGAGGGGTGAGGGGGCGAGGGAGCGACCAGCCCCTGCACTGTCTGGTCGTTCGTTCGCTCGCCGGTGAGCATCTCATGTGAAGAAGTAGTCGCGGGCGGAGGCAGGAGATTTGGTGCATGATATCGGGGCGTCGATTTGGAGTTCTTTGGGTTTCTCGCAAGGCGTGGCGATCGGAGCAGGGCAGGGCAGGGCAGGGCAGGGTAGTAGCAGGCGTGTGGATGAGTGGTGCATTTATTGTGGGCGGTGAGGTTTTGGGGCGCAGTACTGCGATCGGGGAAGAAGTGTGGGGATGAGCAGCGTGTGAAGCGGGGAGCTCAGTTGTGGGGACGTCGAGAGGAGTGTTTTTGTGTTGTTGCCCAATTGGAGGAGCCAAGGTGGAGGGATCGCGTCGGCCGATTTTTGCCAGTGGAATGCTGAAGATCTGTCGGTGGTGAGGTGGAATTATGGCCGATCCACCTGCTACGCCCGCTCAGGAGCCTGATAGGCGTCGGGCTGCCCCGCCTGCATTTGCAGCTCCTGTTGTTCGCACTTTCTCCTCGACTCTTGCTCCCGCCACTCCGACTCCTCCACCACCATTCCGCCAGTTCCCTCCCTCTCTAGCCACTGGCGATAGTGAAGAAACACCGGGTTCGGCCGTCATAGTTGCTGAATCGGACAGCTCGTCTTCGCCAGCCGAAACTCAGGAGTCTTCGAATCAGGTTTATTCTAATGGATCATCGAGGGACATATTGGCTCCAGACCAACAATCGGATGCGAAATCTCAGCCCACTTTTGGCTTGGCCAACGGGAGGACCAATTTGATCCCAGGAGGTCCTCCTCCTGGCCCTCCAGGTGCCATCCCCATGGGCGCTCCACCAGCAAATTTTAACCATCCGCCCCACTTTCTAGGGCCACCACCGCTGCATCAATTTTCAGGCCCTCCTGGTCCTCCTCCTTTTTCCAGCCCGTTGCGCCCCATCCCTACCTTCACAGGAGTAGGAGCATCGCCGGTTAGAGGCAGTACTTTCTCCGAAATCCCTTTAGCTGCTGGGACACCTCCTCCCCAACCCGGAAGTGCGAATGGATATCCATCCAGTGCAGATCAGCCATTGTATAATACCCTCGTGGAGGACGACTTCGAGGCTTCTGGGCAATCAGCTTCTTCTTCGTTTGTGCTCTTCACATCTCAAACGGTATGTTTTATCCCTTGCCTTCAAGCTATAGCTAATTCTGATGTCAAATAATCTTGATGGTGTGGAAGCGACTTGGAACTATGTGGACCAAGCTTATAATAAGCTGTGAAGTGCGAGGACATAGCCACAAGGTGTCTAATTTGGCATAAGTATCGTACACCTCTCTGTGTCTCCTACTGGAGATCTTCGGGCATCCTTATAATAATTTCTGTGCTCTGAAAGGCCCCTGGTTTAGTTTTCCTCGTAGGTTCAGAAGTTTTGGCCACTGGAAGATGGTCCATGTGACACATAGATCCAGATATTTAGGTCTCTTTTGCCTTGCTATTTAAGATACGGAATTGACCAGCTTATGGCCTTGTTAAGAATGTGGTACTCAATCTGCATACCTTCCTTCTCTGTAAATCCTTCTCTTTGAATCCTTACACTTTAGCTTCTCTATATGAACATACAGTGAATGCTTCCAATAAATCAGATGCAACTAGTGACAAAATCTTCACTATAGTACAAAAACGAGGGCCTTAGATATGGAAAGCTACAGCTCCACATTTTAAACTTGAATCAAGCACTGTTGAGGCCTGCGGTTGTACTTCTTAAACCCACTGGCTACGTGCATACTCGCAGATTTATAAATGAGTTTTAATTTGTGCATGTTTTGATTCGCTGGTCTGTATAACAATCCTTGTCTATTCTCGCAGATGTTGAAAGATAAGAAGTTGACGAACACAGCGAGCTTGGGGTTTGGTGCCTTGGTGTCCCTGGGCAGAGAGGTTTCTCCAAGTCCGCCGATGTTAAGGAGAGAAGGCATCCGCTGCCGCAATTGCGGAGCTTATGTCAATCTTTTCTGTGCTATTGTCCCAAGCTCCGGACACTGGAAGTGTGTTCTTTGCAACAAGCTAAACAGTAGTGAAGGGGAGTACAAGTCTGCTACTTCGGAGAATGTTCGTAGTTGGCCAGAGCTCGTAACGAGCGTTATAGACTATGCTGATGCTGGTAACAGGCGCCCTGGCTTGATGTCAGTCACAGATTCAACTATGGCTGCTCCAGTTGTCATACTTGTTGATGAGAGTCTAGACGAACCTCATCTTCAGCATTTGCAAAGCTCCCTTCATTCATTTCTAGACTCCTTGTCGCCAACAACTAGAATTGGTATAGTCACGTTTGGGAAGACTGTGTCCGTGTACGATCTGTCTGAGTTGGCATTGGCAGCGGCTGACGTGTTACCAGGTGACAGCACCCCTAGCCAGGAACTTTTGAAGATGTTGATATACGGCACTGGTGTTTATCTTGCTCCTATTCATGTATGTCTTGGTGTGGCTCAGAACATCGTCTCTTCACTTCGGCCTTATAGAGGGGATTTGCCGGAGGTGGCAAGAGACAGGTGTCTAGGGACAGCTGTGGAGGTAGCTCTATCTCTCATTCAAGGACCCGCCACCGAGCTTCCAAGAAGCACAGTGAAAAGGTCAGGAGGAAGCAATCGAATTATTGCTTGTGTGGGTGGACCTAACACATTGGGATTAGGTTCTTTACCCTATTCAGATACCCATCCTAATTATGCATATCTAGAAAAGAAGGCAATCAAACAGATGGATCAGTTAGGGCATGAAGCGCGACGATTGGACACGGCCGTTGATGTGCTGTGTGCGGGAACATGCCCAGTAAGAATTTGTGCCCTTCAACCCTTAGTGAAGTCTTCGGGTGGTGTGTTGATCCTTCATGATGACTTTGGAGAAACGTTTGGAATAAATATGCAAAGGGCCGTGAGAAGAGCAACAGGATTCAGAGGTGTTCTGGAGGTGCGATGTTCTAGTGAGGTTGCTGTGACCCGTGTCATAGGTCCGGGAGAAGAAGCTCACCTGGAATCTTCTGAATTCCGCAAGGATAGCGCAACAGCTGTCCAACTGTTGAGTGTGGAAGATTGTCAGGGTCTAGCTTTGAATATGGAACTGGTGGAGAACATCCTTGGGGACTTCGCTTACTTCCAGTTCGTCGCTCGATACACCAACACCTACCACCTGCAGGTTACCCGTGTTATCACTGTCAGGCTCCCAACTACGGGCAGCCCTTCGACCTACTTGCAAAGTTTGGATGACGAAGTTGCAGCTGTGCTCATAGCCAAGAAAAGTGTTCTTCAAGCCGAGAAGCCCTCTGACCTAGCTGACGTGCGAGCCTCCCTTGATGAACGGGTGAAGGACATTGGGCTTAAGTTTGGCAAGCAGATGCCTAAAACAAAGGTTTGGAGATTTCCGAAGGAGCTACCAAGGTTGCCCGAGCTCCTCTTTCATCTGAAAAGGGGCCCACTGCTGGGAAATGTTGTCGGGCATGAGGATGAGAGGGCTGTCTACAGAAGCATATTTTTGCAGGCTTCTTTCGATTTGGCTTTGCGAATGTTGGCTCCAAGGCTTCTCATGCACCGAGACGGGGGAACTTTCGAGGAGCTTCCTGCTTATGATCTTGCTTTGCAGTCTGACACATCATTAGTCATGGATCATGGTACTGATCTTTTCATATGGACGGTATGTTTCTTCTCTAGTTCATTGCTCATGAGGATCTCATCAACTGAGTTTGGCTGAGCGTCATTGTGTACTCAGTAAAAGTTGGCCGGTGTAGCCTAGAACACGCACTGCTGCTCAGATTCAGTCAATTGTGGAGACAGTAGTACTGAATTATTATTACTATTTCGTATCCATGACTGAATTTTTGAATATGTAAAATGATTGTAGTACTTTGATACTTTCTTTTTTTTGTATGTGTTGTATGTAGCCTATGTGGTTATCTAGGAATCCTGTAAATAGATTATCTGTATTTTTAATTACTATCGCATTTTCTTACTGCTCAAAGGTCAGTCCTTTCTTTGAGGTGTGTTAAATTTGATACACACATTAACTTCTTCATCTCGATTTAATTTTCTTCTTTCCAGGGACTGGATGTGGCAGCAGATGAAGCACTAAGTGCTGCATCAGCAGCAGCTTGTCGTACACTTGCCAATGAGTTGACAGAAAGTCGATTTCCATCGCCACGACTTCTTGCTTTCAAGGTCGGTTACATCATAGCTGAAGGGAAGACAATTTCCAAAAGCGTTTTCTTGAAGCTTGTTATGGTGTAGTTCAAGAAAGGGCTATGAGTTTTTCTTCTCGCACTCTACCACTCTGTACCACGTTATGAGTTGGATCTTGCTTGTTGATTGGTTTGCAGGAAGCGAGCTCGCAGTCTAGATATTTGAAATCTAGACTCATACCTGCCCACAAGGACCCCCCCTACGAACAGGTACGTCGACGCAGCCTGTTTAAGGTGACACTGGTATTAAACACATACATAAACTTTCCTACAACGTCCGGAGCATCCACTATGTCTTGAACTGTACTTCCATCTCTAGACTTTGGCTGAAAGATGTTTTTTCGTGCTACACAGGAAGCAAGGTTTCCGCAATTACGGAGCTTAAGGCCAGACCAGAGGGGCCGGCTTAAAAGTAGTCTTATACCAACAGATGATCTCAGTTTCTGCGAGTGGATGCGGAGTTTAAAGCTTGTACCTCCGGAGCCCTCGTAGGTGCAAGTACTGCTTCGTAAATTGCACAATTTGCACATTAGGATAAGCTAAAATTTTTTTCACTATCATGTTTCAGATTCCACATTAGTCATGAGTAAACCGTGTAGAATAGTCGCAGTATACAGAAATTTGGTGAAAACGGTCCCTCGTAGTAACCGTCATAGCCAGATATTGGTTGGGTTGCTGTTGTTCACGATCAAATTGGAGTTTTAACCAAAGCAGATAAGTTGCCTCAAACGCTTTAGCTTTTCGAGAAAAGCTTTTTTGTGTGCTATAGCTTACTTACAATACTGTCCGCTTGCAAACAGCCGTCCGTCTGGATATCTGGATTCTATCGAACTAGATGAGTGGTATTGCTATGTGCTCATAGGATGTTCGCGTGAGTTAAGTTTAAGATCAACTTTTATTCAATATCTGTTTGCCTGGACGATCGTCTTCACAACGCTGGTAAGAGCGAATCAACCCTTTGAACAATCAGAACCAGTTCTGCCATCTTACCAGACGTACATCTTAGGCCAGTAATCCTGTACACCTGTTAATGCGAGTACAGACCGGCCCCCACGCGGCGGTGTCCGTATAGTCCGTTATAAGCAGATCACGGTAGACCAAATTTTAGCTCGCGGTAATTGAACATACGACATTTTTACGAATCTTGCTTCTCTTCTGCGTAGAGTAACGAACGTAACTTCGACACAGCATATATATACTGTATGTCGTTGTCTACAGATAAGGGCGATTGACTGTTATAAACCCAGACTTCAGCTCCCCCTTTGGCTCCATTTGAAAGGTAAATGAACGGCTTATATATTAACCGACATTTTTTAAGTTTTCGTCCAAAGCTGTAGAGAGTGTACTTAGTGAAATTTAAGCTAGTGTTGAGGTTGAGTGATGACATATTTTCTCCGTTGATGGTGTGGTTATCAATTCACATCTAGTTTTGGAATTCCATGAAACGTTTATCAGAAGTATCGCGGAAGTTTACTAGATAGAATAGGAATATTTCTAACTTCATTGCAAAATTTTAAACTTAATTGATGAAACGTCTCATTATATTGTTAATGTATCAAAAGAACAAATATTTGATAATGAAAAGCTTGACTTTGTAAAGAGTGGATTGCTAAGTTCATCCCCCTCACTCTTATATATATTGAATACAGTGAAATAACATTCATCTTTTGAGGTCAAATGGAATGTAAATCCAGGTAAAATTTTAATTATTTCACAGGTCAACGGAAGTAGGATGACGGAATGTAAATTGAGGTAAAAGGTCAAGTGGAATGTAAATTCAGATAAAATATCAATTACTTCACATGCCCAAAATGTTTGACAGTCAACGGAAGGAGGTCAAATGGAATGTAAATTGAGGTAAAAGGTCAAGTGGAATGTAAATTCAGATAAAATATCAATTGCTTCACATGCCCAAAATGTTTGATAGTCAAAGGAAGGAGGTCAAATGGAATGTAAATTGAGGTAAAAGGTCAAGTGGAATGTAAATTCAGATAAAATATCAATTACTTCATATGCCCAAAATGTTTGACAGTCAAAGGAATGAGGTCAAATGGAATGTAAATTGAGGTAAGAGGTCAAGTGGAATGTAAATTCAGATAAAATGTCAATTGTTTCATATACCCAAAATGTTTGGCAGTCGATGGGAGGAGGGGGAGATTAAAGCTCTGCACGTTTTGCCTGTTTCTAGTTTTCTCTCTCTCTCCCTCTTGCTAAAGGAAAAGCTCTGCATTCTTCTGTACAAAGAACGTAGATGAGGAAAGTACAACAAAAAACGATTTAGAGACTTGTTTGGAAGTTTTCGATGGTAGAGCAAGCTAGTCACGACGGAGGTGAATTTAACAATCTCCTTGTAAGATATATTTCTCATTACCTAGATTCTAATTTACAGTTTGCTTTATCTCTTGTTAAAATCTTTCACAAGATTGATTGTACCCCAATTTTAATTGAAGTAAAACAAGAAGTTTTGATAGAATCTGAAAAGAAACATAAAATGATAATCACATATAAACCGATGGCGAGATATTACTAAGTGACATGACATTGTTGAGGTTCTTTGTAAGATGTGTATTCAGATTGATAATAATCTAGTCAATGCTCAATGGTATTATATCTAAGATATTACCAAAGGTCAAAGGTTGCAGAGCTCATTCTAAGAGTGACCTGTTTGAAGCTCTGCTTCGTTAGAAACTACTTCCAAAGACTTATGTGATGATTTGAGACTATTGGCTTGATTTCAAAGGCAAATCTTAAGCTATTTGTCCCGGGGTTGCTAAGTAGGGTAATGGAGACAGTTCACAAAGAAGTGACAGTCTAGTTCTTCATGACGGTTTGAAAAAGATGATTGTACCCTCTTATCAATTTTTATATATATATTATATAAAAATATTATTTCCTTCAAAGCAGTTTGACAAACGAGGCCTTTCAAATGCTTGAAACTATGTTCAGTGCTGTTGAAAATAGTCGTCGACGATCTTCAGGCCCCCGATGAAAACAACAACAAGATGTAGAATAAGTTCGGAAATTCATCTTACATTTAACACCGGATGAACTTGAGGAGAAAAATATACTTTAAAATTTTTTTTGGCCAAAATTACTTATTTTGATGTAATTGTCATCAGTTGAATTTAATATTGAGTGGTTGACTGACAGGCGGATAAATTGCATAATTGTAGATATTTTGAATTTTTCATCATCTTATCGATCTCATTATTCGAACTATTATGTTCAATAAATTGAAATGACAATCCTTGTTAAAATCGACTCACTATCATGACAAGGTTTATAGCTTTTCCAATAGCAGACCGACAATGTATGAGTTTGTCCACCATCTTTGCAATTTATCTATCGATCATAATATGTTCATCAATCATTCTTCTGTATCTAAGTTCGTATTCAAGTAAATTTTAAACACAGAGAAGCCTGAAGCTTACAAACACGAAATAAAAGTTGCATGAACCACATCACGAAGATCAATTGTATTCTGCCAACAATTCCATCAAGAGGGAGGTGCGCCACAAAAGGGCTGCGGAGACTCTTGGTATCGAGCATGGCAGGCCAACTCCCCTCACAACCCCTCGCCTTGCGAAACTTGCTGAGCGGACCATGCAGTACGTGGTCCATCTCTCCGTACCGACTTTATTAGCCCCCGGGTCATGGCGAACACTATCCACATTCTGTGAACAAATTCCTCGAACCTCGTCCGCGACTTCTGCTGTCCACCGAATCGGCTCGACGAAGTCCCATGCGACGCACGAGGTCTGTCTGAGAGAGAGAGGGGAGAGTCGAGCTGCCGTGCAGCTGACACTCGCGGCAATGGCATTGCTAGCAGGAGCGATGGCATTGCCCGGAATCTGTGCACTCCGACCCGACGTGCTGCGCTTCAGCTCGTCTTCTTCGGAGGTGGGTACCGTACAAAAGAGTGCAATTCTGCTGAGCAATTCCTGGAAGAGTAATAACATTGAGCAATTCCTGGAATCATTGTCAGGCGTATCTGGAGTTTTCTAAACATGTAACTATGGAACACTGCAAGATATAGTATCAGATGAGCTGCAGGGAAAAATCTGCGACGAAGGCTCTCTGCGCAATTCACCATTCCCGTAACACCGCCATGACCATCATCGTAGAACATGGTGTGATCGTTTAATTTGAATTCAAATCTGGTTTTTGTCTTTGAAGGTATCCGTCAGGACCAATCGAGGATTCGGACGCACCCAATTTCCATGCCTTACAAAGTCAGTCGGTGCCAGGTATGCTCTAATATTCTGCCCCTCGGTCGTCTATGAGACGGGCACTCTCGAAAGCAGCGAAATGATTGGAAGTAATTGGCCCTCGTTCTCTGAGAGGGTAGAATTCGAGTGTTGCAGCTTGCCTCGCAATTCATCATCGTATGGTCATGTCCGTGCTTTTCTTTGCTTGGCGTCCAAGCTGCGGGCCCATCAGTGTCAGGCTCTGCGGACGGACTGGCACATGATTCGAATTTTGTTCGTAAGTTCTTCTAACAATCCGAGAATTCTAATTGCCGTGCGAAGGAGACACGTCGTGCGGGCAGCTACTTCCGGCAACGGGACAGAGAAGCGATTTAAAACCACGGTGGAGCTCGACAAGCTGATCGACACCCTGCGCGAGACAGAGTACGAGAAGGTGCTACTAACCCCCCCCCCCCCCCCCCCCCCCCTTCACCCCCACCAAAGGTTTTCTTAGGACTGTTGCCGTGTGGCATGGCAGTGCCCGGGATTGCATGCTTTTTAATGGATTGTCAGTCTGGTCCATAAGCCAAAGAGAGTACTAAAGTGTCGCACACACTCAGAAAACGGACGCTCGACGTCAATGTTTGTCGACGATTCTGATGGACTTCCGTTCTGTCACAGCTTCCCCAAATTGTAGCTGAGAATGTGCTGGGATTCAATACGGATTTCTGGTTACGGCTGGCCGCACGAGCCGACCTAGCTACGTCTCCTGATGATCAGGTTCGTCGATTATGTCTTCTCGTTTGAAACTGAATGCTTATTAAGCTAAAACATCTGCATTTTGGAAGAAAGAGCACCAAAATGGTTCGTTGCACTTTGCTGTCCAGTCCAAACCATTCGACACACTCCTGTTTCGCCCGATGATTGTTCCCGTCAATTTTCTTGTATGGTGGAATCTCCCGGAGATTTCGGCAGCATCTGTCACTTGCTGAATATTCATCCCCTTCTTCCCCTCGCTCGAGCAGCAGGTCTGAAAACAACCTGCAGCATGAAGCACTCAAGTTCTGAGCTTGTCACAGTGTACAGCAAGATTCAGAAAATGGCATTGGAATGCCTCTTGGAATGCACAACGATTGATGGTTTTAGGCCGCTCGTTCCAAGTATTTCTCAGATTTCGGTTGTTATGATCTGCAGAGGGACTACGAGGTCTTGGCGTCGAATATCATGAATCTCGTGGAGCTTATAGTCCGAAAAACACAGGTACTCTTTTAGGTGCTGCCATGTCTAAACAAGGCGCCAGCTCCTCTCACATAGGCCGGTTGGGATCGATGTCTTGATGACGACTAATTCAGATAAAGTATTGTTGGAGCGGGCAGTGGAAGGGAGTGGACTCTTCTGCTCTGCAAATTTCTCCTTGCAGTGCAGATGGTTGAGAAATAAAGAGATATTCCTTTGGCAGTTTTGTCAAGCCAACTACAAGCATACGTTAAAGTAGAGGAAAACGTAGCATGCTGCACCTTGGATTTGGTCTTACGGACGAGAGGATGTTGGAACTTCCAGCTTCAGGAAGCCTTGATTTGCCTGATGTTGTTTGCTTTATTGGCGATGTAGATGCTATTTGTGTTCGTTCGTTGTGTTCACATTGTACACAGTGATTGTGTTTTCAGGAGAAGATTGAATCGTCTACGGACATCTTGAAGTCCATATTGGTTCCGTTGATCGAAGATGTTGATGGAGAAATCAGCTGGCCTCCTCGCAACCCAGAAAGTATATCCATGATGAGAAAGGTCCGCTTCTCATCTCTACTTCGAATGTCTGAGCGAAGTGCAGTTCGTTTAGCGACTTGTTCTGTATGACAGAATCTCACGCTGAGTGTCGTACCCCTGTTGAACAACTAGTTGAGCTTCCGATAAGGGTATGGAATTTGTATTCAAGTCAAGATTTTCATCTGATTTTAGCCTGGGCTGTTATGGAACATCCCCACTTTGATAAGATAGTAGATTCCTTCAAGTTTTAGCGTAACGTGCACCATCACTATGGACTCTTCGCAACACATGACGAAAGAGGAATGGGTAACCTATAGTTGAACACCCGCCAATGCAAAGCCGTTCGCTTTTTGGGCGGAGCTGGTGAACATGTGTTCTTATTGTCGTATAGAATAGGACAGGGACCTTCTGAGGTTTCTCGATCTATTGATCACTTTCTGACGCCGTGGTGAATTACTGAAGCTTCCAAGCATAATCAACAAGGCTCACCATCAATCGTGCCTACCTTTGACAGGAGGTGGAACGCAGAGAAGACGGAGGCTATCTGGACGAAAGTTTTCTCAGCGAGGTCTCTGCCCAGTTAAGACAGGTGACTTTTATTCTTTCTGAGATATTTGTGATTCTTTCTTAGAATTCGGTTAAGGTGCGAGTCTGCTGCTTGTTTATGTCTGAACTAGCCATTGCTTTCCACACTGTACAGGTCTTGATCAAAAGAGCTCTCAGCAGAAGATGGGAACAGAAGTGTGTTGGTTGTCTGTCCATTCTTCTGATTTTGCTGATTTTGAAGAGGTCGTACTTTTCAGGCAACTGAAGACGGGGATAAACCAGGCCTCGTAGCTATCCTTCAAAAAGTGTTGCAGCTTTATGCAAGCACTGTTCTCTCTAGACGAACGTATTCAGTGAAAGGTTAGTTTTAGCTCCTCGATAAATCTAAGCACGAGATTAGTGTTCTAACCTTTGCAAAGAAAGATTTCAGGCTTTGTAATGCTTGCAAAGTTCCTTATTCGCTCTCGTCAAGGGTCAGTCCACTTCACAATCGCACACTGCTGGCGGCAGTCTCCCCGATGTCTCGTGTTATTCCCGGATCACGGTCAACATTTAGCTAATTTTTCATGGAGACTTGTTCTTTTAAAATTAATTTTTGGAAATCAAGACCATTTTATCATAATTGCGAATGAATTGCACAAGAAGTCGATGTTGACTGAGGATTGGCGTCTTAAAATTTCCCATATCCGGATTGTGCAGGAGATCAAGTAGACAAGGCCGAAGAGCTTCTTGAGAAGTTGATAGCCGGTGAGCTTCACAACTCGTTCTGATTTCGACAATTTCCACTTCTTCGCTCAAGTTCCATACATGGCCGTTCATGAATTTATGGGTGCTTACTTGATTTCACATACTCTGTATGTCCTGAGGGACTACTAAATTTAGCCTATAAAACTGTTCTCCAAGCTTACACTTCAGAATTGCATTGCATCTGATGAGCAGGTGACGAGGAAAACTGGAATGAGCTCCTAAGAGCTGGTCTTGTCTTCGGAGGGGGCAGTGTCGAATCCAATGATTTGTTCAGAGTTGTAGAGAAGCGGGTTGAGAGGACGCTGATGCGAACGGTAAGAAGGGCCACAATACAGAACATACATGAAAGCATAGCAGGCTTGCCAGCCTGGGTTGATTAAGAACTAGACACAGTAGATTTGTCTGAGATGTGATGTAACTGGTGATCTCATGGTCCCCTCCTTGATGACTTCGGTGTCCAGCATATATTGTCCAGCTGAATGCAATTCCGATATTGTTCTTACCCGGCACTTTACCTCTTATTCCTGGTCTTGACTTGTCTTGCTGCACGTCTCCATTTGTAAGAAAGTTGAAACTTCACTGTACGTGGTTTTTGGGGCATTCTAGGAAGGAATCTGTTTCCCTCGAGCCAGATTCTTAGACGCTGATGATGAGGTGGCTCATGTGCAGGAAAATGGGTCTTATCAGCAGAGGCTACTTGTAGAATATGTGAGAGAAATTCAAACGAGGACAGAACTTTTGGTGGAAGCGTTTCAAACCAGCAGGCCTTGAATTGAAGATGGTATTTTATTCGTAGATGCAAAATGTAATTTGGTGCCAATGTTCTGGTAGTTCTGTGCTTAAAGAGCGGATAGGTTACGCGGTTCACCATTGAACCCCCATCCATTGTCACCCAACGTCTCCATGACTTTCAGGAAAGATGTACCACTTTCTGGGCGGTCTAAGATCAATGGAATCTTGGTTCCTGTTGTACTGGATGCAACACACGTTTCAAGATCCTTCGATCTGCACGCACTCCAGTGATCCCATGGACACCGTAATTGGCGCTTTACGCGAATAAAACTTTGTCCTCTGTGGCAGTGCTTTGTCTTTTCAAAACAAATATTTCGACCCGACAGCAATTACATCAGCAGTTAAGTCATGTCACTAGTTCAGGTACGAGAAGGCTGCGTAGAGTTCGTCTCTTGTGAGAAGCTTCTCCCGTGGAGCAGATTCACACCCTGGTTAGATAGATGGATTTGTCTGTGAAGAGTTGAATGCTGTGGGTTACTCACGCGAATATTGCCGATTACATGTGAACTGTCAACTGAAAGTTCTACCCGGAAACAGCCAGCAAATTGAGAAGGACATCGGTTTAATGCTCGGAACTAATCACACTATTTTGTGCTTCGAATCTTCTGTTACAATATCTTCCAATTCTCGAGAAAGCCATCAGCAATTCACACTTGATTCATGAGATGGCCACAGTGCGTATCAATTTCTGGGGCTTAGATTTGGATTCGTGGGATATACGATAAGCTTAAAAGAAAAAATGCCTGAAATGAAACGTGTCTACAGTCGCGGACCTAGCCCGAGACAAAGTTTGCCATCTGATTACCATCCACTAGGATGTCATCTTTAACCCCTAGAGCAACAGCTGGAACTCTGTGCCGCAAGTGAGTGCGGATGGAAGAATTTCGGGTTGACCAGGTAGGAAAGACTTGAATTCTGAAATGAGCAGTTAAAGGAAACAGACCATTGAGTACGAAAAAGTGGATGTCCAGTGCCGTGTAAAACAAGTGGTGGAATTTGCACTTCCGTTCCTGCTGCATCTCTACAGCAGCTGATTTGCTGGTCTGAGTTATACTTCTCGTGATCCTTGTCACGAGTCATGTCTCTAAAGAAAACTATTTGTTCAAACTATTGAATGAGTTGTCACTGTTGGCCTCCCAACAAAACGTTCATGAGCTCGAGAAAGACACGTACAAGAATAATCTAAGAGCACTGAGCTGACAATGAGGGAAAGGCACCGTACAAGCCAAAATTGATATCACGGAATTGTGGATCGTGGATTGAGGTCGTGGATGGACACATCGATTAAACTACAGTTGCATGCTAGGAGAAGATGAAGGGGGATGGTAATCAGATGGTTGCAGAGAGACCGTATATGGCAGCCCTTTGACCAGACGTTCAGGGCCTCGCAGACGCTCGCTTTCACTCAGGTAAAGGTACGTTCTGAAATGAGACATACCAGAAAGATCTCACTTGCACAAAGCAGAGACGTGAGTGTCACAGCTGAACATACAAACACAAGAACATGTGCCTTCAACATGCGTATGAACAAGTTGATGGCTTCGACCAATGCATGTAATTGCTAACCGCATGGCTATGTACAGTCTGTCTACAAGCACTATAAAACAGCTCTGTTTCCGAATCAGATCCCTGTTATATCTGATAGTGGGCCCAGCTTTCGAGCATCCATCATTGAGCGGTTGACATGTCTTGGGCTTCATCAGAAGGCGTTGTTACACACCAAGTAGAATCCTTCCAGGCTGTGAACCTGTGGAGAAGGTCTCTTTGAAAAGCTCAGCACCCTGCAACTCCAGTAACAAAATTCGACTGACAAGATATCATAAGCGCGCGGGCATTTTGTCATCGTGAGCTATATCAGCTTCCGTATGCACTGAACCAAACATTAGCTGCTATTAGAGATCTAAGATTCTGTTCCTGGATCTTCAAGCCTTTGTGCGTACAAAAGTTTCAGGAAAGCAGGCTTTTACTGAAGAAGCTGATCGCTCTACAGGCGGGTCAGAACTTCAGATGAGGTCACGATTTCCAGCAGCGTCATCAGCTTCAACGCATATTGTTTGAATGAGCTGATAAAAGCTTAGATCTGACCTACTTTCTTTTTACTTCAGTGCAGTTCTCTGAGATCGACGGAAGACATCCATCTCCGAAACTGCTGAAGTAATGCTTCGGAGCCGATAGCTTTCGAGAATCTCTACCGAGCTCGGGATTGAAAGTTGCACGGTTCGATCTACTAATTTGGCAAACGTCAGAAATTTAGCTTACTTCGAAAGGGAGTTCCTTTCGAGTTCTGCAGCAGCCATTGAGTTCCAACATGGGGAATTTGTACAGTCGCAGTCCAGATCCGGTAATGTATATAAGCTCCCCTCGTATGATGGACGGGGCTCCTTTGAAGCAGGGCTGCCTTTCCATGACCCGGTGGCAAAGCATTAACCTCAGAGGTTTGGAGGAAGCCCGCACTCACAAAGACGAGAAAATCACGTATGACTTGTCCATCCGAAATCTTCAATACAAGGTACATGGAGCTGGACTTGCAACATGTATGGACGTGTCGGGGTGAAATGTCCTGAGTCTGCTCACTCTCGTGCGTGCAATATCGTCTGCCAGGTCCAGGTGAAGGAAAAAGGCGGAGCCACGAAAGATAAGGTCCTGCTCAACAACATCAGCGCCAAGGCGAACCATGGAGAGGTTCTGGCTATAGCAGGCCCTTCAGGGTCATCTAAGTCCACTCTGTTAGATGCCCTTGCTGGGCGGATCGACAGGAGGAGCCTCAGAGGTTCAATTCTTGTGAATGGAATGCCAATTGATCAAACCTTCAGGCGTGTATCCGGTTATGTAATGCAAGATGATGCTTTGTACCCTGTGTTGACTGTCCGAGAAACATTAATGTTCAGTGCCAGGCTGCGCTTGCCATCCACCTGGACGGATGACCAAAGGATGGCGCGTGTAGAAATCATTCTGGCAGAGCTCGGCCTCCAACCTTGCGCCGACCTGGTGATTGGCGATGATTTGGTATGTTCCAACGAAAAATCAAGCCAATCAAGTTCATGTTTTGCAGGGCCTTGGAGATTCTTTCCTCTAAACTGGAGGTTTCGAGAGGAAGCTACGGAAGAACCTGTATGCCTTAAGACGGCGATCACCGTAGAATAGAATGCACCTGGCCATAATGACCGTCAGTGAAATTTCTCACAAGACTGAAGCAAATGATGATTTCTCTTCTCATCCGTCTACCAGGAGCTTTGGATGCTCTTTAGAAGGGTTAGTTTGGTGGTGTGGTTGTTTTCAACCAAAAGCGTGCTGCATAAAAACGGCACCCCTACATCAGCATTAAGCTGACTGGTAGAATCATAAGTTTTGCCTTTCAGACCTCACTGCCTTTGATTGTTATCGAGCAAGCTGCTTAGGTCAGCTTTCACGATAACAATCAAAGGCAGCTTGGTCCCCCAAACTTCGAAGGCTATGGTTATTTGAGTAAGACGAGAGACCTTTGAAGCTTTTAGCACGTCGACATAGCTACAGAACAATTATCCTTTTCTGACGATTGTTCACCTTTTCCAGATTGATCTATAACCAGCCAAGTTGTATGCCCCATGCCCCACATTGTCTGTTATGTTTCAACAGAACAAGTACAATTCACCATTAGAAGCATACTCGTCATGACCATCAGCTATCGAAATAATGGGCTGCCTTCGACCTCAAGATGCTCTAATGGATGTCTTCTCTGGCTTTTCATCAGGTTCGAGGTGTTTCTCGTGGGGAGAAGAGGCGCGTTTCCATAGCTGTGGATCTTATGCATGATCCTGCTGTGCTGTTCCTGGATAAACCCACGACAGGGCTGGATAGTTTTTCGGCATTTCAAGTGATGCAGAAGCTGCATACATTAGCTGAAGTTCACAACCGAACGGTGATCATCACCATCCATCAGCCCAATCATTCGATTCTTGAACTAATCCACAACACGCTTCTTCTGATCCAAGGAAACGTCATCTTCAGTGGGCATCACTCGGGCTTGGTCAATTACTTCAGCGACATTGGCTACAATATGCCTGAATATGTATCCTTCTCTGACCTACACCCACGTTGTTTTTCTCTATTATGTCTCCTGGCTCGTTATTCGCCCTGTATATTTTTGTTAAGTCGGCCATATCTAGTCAAGAGTCATACTAACTAGCTCAATTCTCAAATGAATTCATAATCGTCATGAGATTGAAAATCGAAGGAATCACTGAAGGGAATAGAGTGAACCCGATGGACAAAAGAACATGTGGTTTTGAACCTTGGCTGATTGGAAGAAGAGCTTTAGCTGTCCTCGTTCTAGTTTCCTCTCTGCATTCAAACTCCCCATCAAGATCATGATGGCATGCTCACATCATAATCCTCCCTGTAGTGTGATCAAATTCCATCAGTTCGAAGCTACTTTGTCGAACAGCTACGCCTGGAGCGGTCAGGTAATGCTGTTAATGTTCTGACGACATGAGTTTCTGTGGGTTAAAAGAGGTCGTAACGTTCGGTGACGTTGGACATGTCTTGGTTTGTATGCATCGATCCTGGACTAGCAACCCCTTAGTCTTGCTCTCACTTCTTTCGGGACTATGGAGTCTATGGCAGGCTCCTACTAATGAATGACATCTCTCTATACCCGAAACTAATGTCAGTGTGAAAGTCCATAGCTTTAGCTCCAACTCAGCTACATTTGTCCTTGATCATGAGACTGGGGGCTTTGGATATGAAAGTGGTGCATGAGTGGATGAGTTGAACCTGCCTAGGCTTGCGGCCGCGTCCTCAGAGGACGGAATATACTCCTGACTTGAGGCAGGATCGAGCTGGATCTTGGAAATGATGAGAGAGAATTTCACTCATTGGTAAGAGCCTGCCATAGCCTTGGGAGGAGGAGACATCGAGAGGCAGATCTATATTCCCACGAAATCGACACAATTTATTACATGAATGCGGGGGATGTTCTTAAGACACTTCAGTCTAGAAGCTCAACTGAGGGTTCATAAAGTCAAAAGGGAGATTGGTCAACAAGTTCAGTCATTTCAGCAAAAAACGAGTCATTTCTCGCAGGTTCATTTAAATAAGGATCCAGAGTGTTAAGTATGTTTACTTATCTACAAATCCTCGAACTTTAAACATATTAGCGAGGATATTCGGCTACTGTATCTATTAAAAGCTATTTTATGGTGGGCCGGGAATTAGATGCATCAAACTCTAGGACCATCATCGGACTTGTGGACAACAGAATTTGATTAAAGTATTATCAAATTGCAGCAAAGAAGAAAAAATTACCAGTGGAGCCTTTGTTGGTTCCCTGCGCAGGTCAATCCGCTGGAATACGCCTTGGACACGATGCAGAAAGTGAAGACCTCTTCTGTCGGTGTAACACAGCTTCTGGAGCTCAAGGTGCAAAGTTCCACTCTAAATGCTTCCTCAATATTCATATAAGTATCATCTTCTCTACTGATCATTGCCTGTTAGAAATCATCAGTAGTGCACGTTGGTAGGAAGCTTTATTGTGCCAATCTGTACCGCTCGATAAATGAGGTCATAATTTATCACGGTTGAAAATACTCCACGGACACGGTTTCTAACGAAGTTTGAACCAATCACAAATTCTAAATTCATCAAGTGCATTCGAGCTTATGGCCCAGTCAAAGAGCTCACGGATGCATCTCCAGAAAGCTTCCCCACTTCATCCATATACTACTGTATCAGATATACAGAAATTAAGTTAGTCAATTTCGCATGAATTGTTGCGCAGTGCAGGATATTCCAAAGACTTGACCACGACCGACCGTGGAAATTGTTGTAGGTGGTGAAGGAGAAGGAGAAGATCATGGACGGACAAGCAGCTAGGGAACTAGATGCAGAAGCCACAGCTTCGTCACGTGATCTCGACGATGATATAAATATGACTTTCGCCACATCCTTCCGCTCCGAACTCTATGTGCTTGGCGAGCGTAATGTCAAGCTCATTCTGCGAACGAGGCCCCTATTTTTTGCAAGAATGGCAGTCTTGGTACAGTTTAAACCTCAATCTTCAGTTCTGCACGCATCCTGCCTTCTAAGCTGCATGGAGAATCGAATTTGTCTTGCGATAGAGAGCATCTGTGAGGTCCCAGAAGTACCCCCGCGAGGTTTCAGAATTCCCCGAAACAAAAAAAAATAATCTATTTTCTGCCGTTAACAGATATATAGAGAAATGATCCCCACGAGAGTTTCACAATAACCTTCTTGCAAAGCTAGCCAGTACCATTCTGCAAGGGTTTATGGATTCTTCGCCCATCAAGATCTTGACTTCGGAATCCTTATAATCAGATGATGGCCCCCCATGTTTGTTAACCTAGGGCGTGTCTCTGACCTTTGTTGACCCGGAGAACACATGCAGATGCACGTTCATGCTCCTGATAGACCATATGCTCTGGCAAGCTAGTCCTGTCGATAAATTGAGGTCCATGAATGAATGATGTTAGCCATTTCTATAATCTCAACTCTGCAGCGACCATTCCGTCGCAGGTTGTGGGAGGACTCGTGACTTCGACATTCTTTCGCACGTTGTCGTACGACATGGAAGGCGTGACGAAGCGATTGTCGATGACGGCCTTCCTGCTGGCTTACTGCTCGTTCACCTCGACGCAAGTGCTGCCGATCTTCCTGCAGGAGCGCAGCATATTCATCCGGGAAGCGTCGAGGGGGGCTTACCGTCCAGTATCCTTCGTCTTGTGCCAGATTCTGGCCCACCTGCCGTTCCTCTTCGTGCAAGCGCTGGCCTTCTCGATCCTCACCTACTTCATCGCCGGGTGGGCCAACAACGTCGGAGCCGTGGGCTACTACGTGTGGATGTGGTTCCTGGTGCTCATCCTGGCGCAGTCGATGGCGGCTTGCTGCGCAGGATGGATTCCTAACATCATCATTTGCCAAGCCGTTCTCTCGGCCACCTTGTCCTTCTTCATGCTCTTCTCGGGCTTCTTCCTCCGCAAGTACGTTCTCTCCAGAACCGCGTTGTTTCCGCAGTCGCAGTCGCAGTCGTGGTCGGCAGGAACGCCATCTGCCTCACTAACTGTCAGCCCCCTATAAGTGTGAAACATGTTTCATTTCCGCCTGCCTTTGCATATAAATGTTGAATTAACTGAGAAGGCTTCAATGCTTATTGGAAGAGACGCGGTCAAGAATAATCAATAACCTGGGATGATGTGCCTAACTCGTCTGCTGATCGGTTCGTGCAGAGATGCGATTCCCAAGGGATGGCTATGGTTGCACTACCTTTCGGGTTTCAAGTATCCTTATGAAGGTTTGTTGGTGAATGAGTTTACCTCGTTGTGGAACACAAATTGGGGCGACGACCAGACGAACGTTAACTTCTATCAAGTTCTTGAGAAATACGATCTCGAACATGTGAGTCTAGTGAATAGCGTATTTGTGATGACTTTCTTCATAATTTTTTATAGAGGTTTGTATTATTTAGCCTTCGTGAAGAGTGCAAGGGATGTCCGAAAGTGAGTGTAAATGAACCCCGAACATCTTTCCCCACCCTTGACAACAAGGACGGTTCGAGGCCCACATGAGGTTGAGCCCTTTGTGTTTGAAGGTACGCCAACACATTTGTTATTCATTGAAATGTCCCGTGGACTCATTCATGTACCATCGTCGCTTGACTTCAACATGCCATAAGCAGAATTCAGCATTTTGTGGGATTAATGTGGAAGTAATCTACGTATCTTTTAGCTGCTGAAATAATGCTCTACATAATTTTAATGATTGAATCTTAAAGAAATTTGGCAAAGATGTCCTCAGACAAGAATAGAAATTACAAAGCGGTTTTGAGATTTTACAGATATTGAAGATGTGCATAGTCCATGAACATCAATCGTCTCTCAATATCTCTACTGAACATGCACATCAACGTATTCAAACATCTATTTTCAATGTGGCGCTAAAATTACACATCTAAATTTCACACAAGATCGTAAAACCTCTACTTCCTAACATATATCGAAACTACAAACCATTCCGTATTATCGCATATACTGATGACTAAAAAAAATTCAGTGTATAATAATTGAAGACTGCAGTAAATTCTTCTAGAAGTTGAACGGAGTAAAATGATACATTCTTCTTGAATCGAGTTCTGTATTTATTTGGTTGCTTTGCTAAATTTTAAATGACTTTGTCATGAATAGACAGCATATAGTGCGTTATATTAATTCACAATCTTTAAATAATACTTCCGGAATTATTATGTTATTCTGTGCAGCTTTTTTAGCTTTATTGAATATTATCCGACAGCACTGGTCAAATGGCCAAATACCTTATTAAATTAGACCAAAAAAAGGAATCTTTCGCACGTCAAACTATGGATAGTTCAGCATTTGCTGCGTTGGTTCAGGGCGGGAGATGTAACAATTTTTTTTTATCAAATCTGCATCACATAACTTGATGCACAGGGTAGTGTTATCATGTATCAGTGATATAAGATGAATGGATATTTACAAGTGCTATTAGTGCTCTACAATTCATAATGCTATATAATAATACACCGCAACCCGTCATAATCATGCATACATACAGTGTTGAAAGACAAATGTTTGCTTTGTAACATGGAAGCTAGGAGAAATAATCAGGGGTTTTGATTGCATCATTTATCTTCTCTTTTACTTTATTGGTCAATGCTATCCAAAACATGAAAACTTAATTTCACAGAAATCATGGTGTATACATGCTACTTTCGATTGAGAAAGGTTTAGGTGACATAAATCTAACAAGAACAAGAAGGTCTCCTATGCTCTTGGTGGAAGTTTAAGTATGTATGGAAGAGATTTATCAGCTTTTTTTATCCATTGATACCAAGATTGTGAGAAACAATACGTAAAGGTAGAAGTAATTTGAGCCGCACATGTAGTGTACCCAAAAAAAACGGAACCACCAGTCAAGTATTAAGTGTAAGGTGAGTCTATCTACCAAATAGCATCACGATGGCAAACATGTACTTGTGCATCTTAGATATTCCAGATGTATATGTGATAGGTCTACATAGTATATAATATCTTGAGAAATATCTGACATAATTGATCTCCTATAGATTACACTAATTGGTGAATTCGCACAACAATGGATTCCATGATAACCTTGACATAATATCTTTCTTTGGAGAGCCGTGGTTACCATAGTTACATATAATATACTCTACCATAGAAGTTATATCAAACCATCGACGCTGACTTCTACATGTTCGAGATAGAAACCTACCATACTATGTGGCTTTGAGTTGCGCTGTTGTACGCGAATTGTATAATAGAGATATATATGTTTTATAGTAATGGATATGTATAATTCATATAAGACAATATATTTCCACTAATTTATTAAGAGCACTAACTAGTGCTTGGAAATATGTATCACTTATAATCAGATGCACATAGTTAGTTTAGTTTATTCATTTTAGACGGCAGATTTCTTATTGCTACAAATTTGTGTTGTTAACCATTTCGTATAATTCCCACCTGTTTGCGGTTAAAGATGCGAAAGATCAATTATGGATGTTTTTCAGTCATCGAAATCATCGATTTTCACGATTTGTCAAAAATTAATGAGTTTCATATCGAATATCCTGAGTCAGCCAAAAATTTCATACAAAACAAAATAAAATTCCTCGACAAAAAATATATTTTTGAAATATTTACAAAAAATAAATGGAACACTCTTTTTGGTTAAAGAAATGTGAAGTGATTTTAATCAAATTAAAATAATTATTTCTAATTAAAAAATATAAAGAAACCTAATCGATCTCAAGAAATTAATAAAGAAACAAGATGGACTTCAAAATTATAAGTTATAAATTTTTAGAAAAATAAAAGCATCCCGATCCCGTCTCGCTCGATCGGCGTGGAGTTCGTTCGACGTAGTGCCTCGAGACGTCTGACGTGGAGGCGTCAGAGACCCGGGGACGGACAGCTGGCGCGCGTCGTGGGCCGTCGCATGGACAAACGGGGATCGATGGGGACCGATGAGGTGGCCCGGCCCAGCTCGGCCTGCGCTCGACGTCGAGACTCGGCATGGCATACGACGAGCAGAGCGAGAGTCCGTCGGAGCGACGACGACAATGGCGATGGCGGCGGCTCGAGCAGCTTGCGAGCGTCTGCGAGCGAATGGCAGCAATTCGCTGGCCGCCGCCGCCGTCCGCGGGCGCTGGCGGAGCTTTTCGGCCGAGCCCGGGCACGGGCACGGGCCGGCGAGAGTGAACATGTGGGAAGCGCCCGGGAGCCCTGGCAAGTGGAAGGAAGAGCATTTCGTGTTCGTGTCGCTGGCGGGCTGGGGCGCGCTCTTCTTCGGCGGCTACAAGGCGGCCACCAGCGGAGCCCCCAAGAAGAAACCCCCTTCTCCTCCTTCCAAATCGCCCCGCAAAATCGATGCCAAGCCCGCTGCCAAATCGCACCCTAAACCTGAACCCAAGCCCGTGGCCAAACCCGCAGCCCGGAAACCCGAGCCCCCCAAGAAGCCGCCTCCCCCTGCCCCGAAGAAGCCGCCGCCTCCGAAGAAGAAGAAACCAGAGCCGAGTTCGAAGAAGATGCAGAGCGCTAAGAAGCACAAGTATTATGATGATGATGATGATGATGATGACGACGACGACGACGATGATGATGATTGATGATTAATGGCGATCGAGTTGGTTTCTGGTTAAGCGGAGGCTGCGCTTTGTTTGTTCTTCGCTCGGAGGCGTAGTAGCGGCGGCGGGGCAGGCTTTGAATTTTGATTTCGATTTCGATTTTGATTTGGTTCTCTGCGTAAACTCTGGCTCGGTGTGAGAAGCGAGTCGTCAGATCGTCAGATGCGTGATGTGATCGTCTCTGTGGCTGATCAGTGACGTGTTTCCGAGGCTATGCGATGTATGTTTGCGTGGGCTCGAGATCGCTAGAGCCCACGTCGTTCTCTGTGAGCCTCTCTCAAGATTTTGATTACAAGCACGATGGAATGAACCGCGGAGTCCTTGCGGAGTATAGTTGATAGGATCTTACACCCCTAGAAAGCTGAGAAATCATTTCGGCAGAAAGTTGCCTTCTTCACGGTTTCAAATCCCAAATTTGGTTCACTTGACATGGGCCTGTATTCGACAGTACAGTAACGTCTCGGATTATGTGAAATCTTAATGATTTTGCCCTCTCACCAAGCAAACTATGAGTTCGAGATCTACTTGTATTTTCCTCAACCTCGGATGAAAGGATAAGGAGAAAAGACCCTACCCTTGTAGACAAGGAGTGATGTGTTCAGATGTTTACTGAAGAGGCCACCAGTGCATATATCCTGCCTTGTCATGGACCAAATCTACTCTGTCCGTGCCCCCACTTTCACAATTCACTTGATAAGCACATATCACTTTATCTGATTGATACACCATATGTATGAAAATTCCTTGATACACTGTATCCATGTTCTAAACATGAACAGTTCAGATGTAAGGAGGTTATAATATATACATATATATCACTAAAACAGTAAATTACTATTATTACACGCAATATGATCAATACATTATGCAAAATATAGCAGCCAATGTTACTTCTTGCTAGAACAACCAAGCGGAATGCATCTATTGCTCTAAATATACCAGAGCAAGTAAAATATATGTGTGACAGATAACATATGAACTGCATGCTGGTGAAATCTGTACATAAGGGATGTACATATACATCTGAAGACAGTACTCTCTGATATCCGTTTTGTGTTTCTTACATGTTTTCATTGCACTGTAAATAGTTTAGTGTAGCAAGCTGGTGCATTCATTCCTGTGAAGATAGCACTCCACCTGGGCAATACATGCGAAACGACTCGCTTAGTTGCACAAACTGTTACAAACGGCCGTATTGCCAGGTGTCAGGGATCCCAGTTTCTTTCTTCTCTTTCTTTCTTCATGCTCCCTTCGGGCTGCCCCGAGTCAGCCGGATTTTATCTCAGTTTTGGGAACGGGGAGGCGGGGCACTTGGCGGGAAGGATCGGCTGACCCTACACTCCGGCAATCATATAGAGGCCCTCAACCGGATGAAATTCCAACAACCATGTAGAAGAGAGGCTGTCACTATAGAGGCCGCAACGTTGTATCTAGTGCGTTGCAATGATCTACGCCGTAACAATGATCGCGGTCGTGTCGTGGAACGTTGTGGGAACTAAAACTAAAACATTTTCAAGGTGGTCGACACAGTTTCAAGCATCGGTTGAACTGTTCTGCTGTGAAGAACTATGGTCGTCAGTATGATGTCGACCAAGTTGTGAGAATAGGGATTCCTCATAGTTGAGTGAAGATGGATGTCCATATGTTTTTATAGTCCGCCCGCCGGAAAGCGGAGCTGTCTACTGAGTGCCAATCAAAAACCTGCCCGGTTAGGTTGCCCGCACATTCTTCCATCTTTGGTCCAAAAGAAGAGAGTCGCAGCGAAAAGAAAAACTTCCGTCACGTCTCACTACAGGATGACACATGCCTGGGTCTATGAAGGCCCTATGTATAAGTTTGTGCAGCTAAACCCGTCCCATGCGAAACAGAGGGTGTATCGAAATGCTCTATACAGAGCAAACCTGGTATAATCCATCCGGAAATATGTACCCTTCTGAATCCATAACTGAATGATAATGCAATACTATGTACACTTTTTTAGTATTCAGAACACGTTTTTCACCGTAGGTAGATACTGGGCCCTAACTAGGGTTGGGGCCCAGTACCCTACCTCTCGGTTTCATTCATGTCATGATCATGGGGTGTTACCCTTCTTTTTTCTTTATTACTCCCAGATTCCAAACACCCTTCACGGCACCACTTGCTGCTGAACGTGAGCATATTCTTTACTATTAGACACGAAGGACGACTTACATCGGCAGCGTCAGATTGAGCATTCATATATTTCTGAATAGCTAGTCAGCAATGCCAGCTGACCCCAAAATAGGCTTATCTTATCAGTACATATATTAGTCACAAAAGTGCCCACAGGAGTGCATACATATCGCCCGAGTGAGACGTAAATTGAATGTACCATGACGTTAAAGGTGCTAAGTTCTGAGTTTTCATTCCAGAGTATACTGTCGTATGTACATAATATGCTTGCAGTTACATGCGTACAAGCTCTTTGAGCTGCACATAAATGTGACTGCCTAGGAGTTTGACTTACAAAGGTATTGGTGACACAACCATACAGTAACTGCGTACTGAACATATGTTACAATCTGAACAGACCAGAACCAAAGAACGGGAACCAACAGACCCTAACTACCTCAATAGAGTGGCAAAAAGTATCCATCAGTTGTCGATACAAATCTTTTGTATTAGATTGAGTGCTAACTTGATCTACTGCCTCAAATCCGCAAGACTTTCCTGGTACCCTGCAAGACATCATTGCAAGTTAAATTACGATCTCTTCGTTTGTAAAAAGGGAAACAAGACTGCCCAACCATTTGCACTACTGTTCAGACATAACACTACTGTTGGACGATAACACTCTCATGACCATTCCTCAGAAGCAAACTAATAACCACTTACTGATTACTGCCCCTAGGTTACCTGACAGCTAAGTTCAGAAACGAACATTTGCTGATAAAATTACATCTAAATAAGCTGATCATCATCGAGCTGAGCCTTGTTCAAGGATCTCAGTTTGCCATACGAAGAAGAGAGCTCCAAACAATCAAAACCCTAAGAAAATTATAAACTGTAACAGACGAGTATGAGTGGAGCATGGAATGACAGCTTTGCGAGCATTATGGATGCTCGGAGCATATAGGTGAGCGAAAAGAGAAGAAAACCTGAGTTTCTTCCGCTATTGCTGGGAACAGATATTGCACCGTGTCGAACAAAAGGCGATCTCCATTGATTCTGGTCAGAATTGACACTGAAACTGGAAGTCCATCTACCTCTCCAGTGGGTAGTGAGACCTGCTTGAGTAGAAAATTGCATCAACCGAAGATACTCTACACAAACATGATGTTCATGCTGACAAATACTTGGAGGAATTTTATCATCCACTACTTTACAACTTGATGGATTTACTACTGACATCACGGTTGAAAAAACCTAGATCAAACGGCAAGATGCTCTTTGTAATGATCTTCTCGGCAAAGCACATTGGAGTTCACCTGAGGTCCTCCTGACATGCTACCTAAGCACATCAGGAGAGAGGTATCTTGAAGAAACTTTTCCCGAACTCGATCTTCAGCATTCAAACAGGGAGGTGTTCCGGGAATCGCTGGGAGGACTAAAACTGTCTCATGCTGCGCAACACACCGCGAGATGAAATTGCATTCTACCTGAAGGAAACGTCCTTAGTTCTCACCTTCAACGATAACACAGTAAATGTACAAGAACGTAACATGGGCTGATAACCGAAACTACCCAAAAGATATGAGAGTTCAATCTCCTAGTTAGAAGTCTAATATGTTCCAAGACATACAGAAGTGAGAAGGAACATATGCATTAAGGTGTTGAACGAGACTGACCTTGAGGAGGTCACTAAAGGCAGCTCGCACTTCTTCCCTCACCCTTTTAGCGGTTGGCACCAGGTGCGTACTAGAGGTCAGTTCATAAGAAGCTCTCACTTTTCCCGAGATTCCCTTGCCAAGTTTTGGCTTGAGCTTATCCAGCCAGTCATGATGATTTCGTAGAAATTCATCTCTGAAACATAAGGCTAACGATGTTGTTAATAAGTTGGGTGCGAAAGAATCTGTGATATCTTCAGGCTGATCTAGTCCACGGAGAGCAGAAAATTTACAGGTTTCAATCGGGATGTCTAGAAAAATTATCAATGCGCTTGACGGACGGTGTATACATCATCAAGAGGAGTATTGCAATCAACCTAGGCGTCTATAACAGACGATTGAACATGGTAAAGCACTGACTTCTTTATGAACTCCGACAAGGTACATATCATCCAGGTCTATTGCAATCCAACGAATACTCCATTGCGAAAGTTTTTTGACTGATCATGATACCATTGAAATTTTGAAAAGATTAAAAAAACTCCGACTTCTCACCGATAAAGCATAAGCATACAATCTCGAATGACACTGTACGCTTCTGTGCCTCCAGTATCAACAAGTCTCTCTTCAACGTTCGAAAACGCTTTGAGAGTTGGAAGCTTGTCCGTCAACAATTCTCCCATATTGATGTGGTGCAACACCTGCCCTGTTAACAATCCACGAGATCAAAAGAGGAGACTCCAAGGTCCACCTATCCTGCTTTCTGCCATGCAATGACGTAATAAAAAGTACTCCTCGAAAATTTGTAGTGGTATCGGAGCAGCTATACATATGTGAAATCAAGAAGTGTTTAGCACCCGCGAGCTGGCCATCGGGGACTAAGGTTCCTTGTGCCAACCAACTGAAATTCTTCCCCAGGAACTCGCTACGATTACTCAGTCCAGTGCAAGTTCATGAGCAACAATTACAGGTTCCACCGAAAGCAGTAGAACAAAGATGGCTCAAAAGCTGTTGGGTGATTGAGAAACATCAATCTTTTTTAGGGTAGAACAACCAGGTGAAAAATTGCAGAGCCCATGAAATGTTTGACGTAAGTGTTAAGGCTCTGCTCTTTTGCAAGAGTAAACTAAACTAGAGACGGGCACGCAGATCATGACTGGAGCAACCCACTAATACACTGATGTAACGGATTGTCAGTTTGCAAGCTTCATGAAGGCACAATACCCATCTGAGCGGTAAAAATTCTTAGGCAAGTTTACGTACGGCCAAAAACCTTCACAACCGCCCTCAAAAGAACATCGAGAGAGTGTTCAATCAAAAAAGCAGAATTCTTGAAGAGATCATCTGCAACATATATCCTTCTCGGTGCTCGCAGTTCCTCTCGCAATGGAAACTGCAGAAGAACTAGTCCGACTTGTCGTAGTATGTGAGGGTCCTTGGCGAACCAGCCTGCACGCGAATCAAGAGCATGCTAAGAAAAAGACAAGAGTTTGTGGAGAGAGGTGAAAGGACCTCTTCTCACTCGATTACAGAGACCTGTAACTATTAAAGTGAAGAAGCTGAAAGCAACATCGAAGCGTTCACATACCAACTGCATCGAAACTTTGAGCCACGGGTAAAACACCAACTGTCGAGACGGCTCCATGAGAAGCACGGAAGCCCAGGATGCCACAACAGGCAGCAGGTAATCTCACATCTCCTAGTGTATCGATTCCTGTTTTCATTGAACCAGATTTACACGACTGAATGACTCTTTGAAAACGAGAAATCACATGCACAAGCCCCTACAACAGCTGGCTACGGTATAGAAACACATTCAACGCTGGACGGGCACCTTCGCTAACAGATACTCGAAGGTATTGACACGAAGGTAAGATCCGTGGGTACTTTACCTAGGGCAAAATCAACAAGACCAGCAGCAACAGCGACTGCAGAGCCACCAGAAGAACCTCCAACCATATGACAAGGTGCAGCCGGATTCACCGGCTTATTATAACTTTCATGGGTGTAGCCATCCAAGCTGCATATGAGCAACAAAGATTATCACAACTAGGCAAATATTGTGAGTCCATAACATGGCAACATGTAGTTCAAATCAAACATATTGGTGCCTCGCATTGTACCCTCACAGACCTGCAGGCAGGTTCACTGCGACTGCCCAGAGTTGGTAATCTTCGTACAAGTAAGCGACATCGTTGAGCAATGGCTACTTCCCATATACGCCTCAGAACAGTTGCAAAAAATCCCATTTGGAACAGACCTCTTTATCAAGAGCACAACCGGGATTTAAAAACAAGTCAAGCAGACAAATATGCAAACTCTGGTGTGCGTTATCGGATAACCAAGAGCGCACGGAGTTGGTTGTAGCATAGCAAGCAAGATAGATTGCTAAAATACACTTTCACGCAACATGTAGCTGCCCTGACTTCGGGTGTGAGCACACTATCTCCCAGTGGTAACTACTATGATAAAAAACCTGTAGGCAGAAACTACGTATTTCATGCATAAAGATGACCTTCGGGAAGAAACCGAGTATGTGACAGAATGAAAAGAGGAAATGAGGTCGAAAAGCAAACATCGATGTTTTCATACTCGTACTATTAAGTGTTAGGCACCGAGCAAATATAATACGAAATAAGGAAGCAAATATTCTATTCAATGAATTTCTGCATTAGAAACATAAGTAAGAAATCGTAGAGAGTTGTGGAGTTGCCAATGAGGTGAACTATTTCAGCCCTCGAATATAAATAGATTGAATCTTCTTCTTCTCTAGATTTAAGTGGTCGAGAAGTGTTTAGCTTTTCTTAAAAACATCATCGACAATAGGAATCACAAACCTGAACCCCATCTCATCCATATTGGTCTTTCCAACGCAAGTGGCACCTGCTTGCACCAGCACAGAGACCGCCACGGCACTGCGGGTGGCAGGATCGTGAGTGCGTGTCCATTCTGGGCTTCCAAAGCCGGTTACGTACTTCTCAATATCGAACCTGAACGGGATTCATTAAACAAACAATCGCCAGGCTTGTGAACAAACTTCGAAAGGTATTCTCGGACAAGACCACCACCTCATCAGTACACCTACTAAGACAAATGACGGGTGCCGCTTCAGCTTGATGACATTCGAATACGACGTAACAGAGGATATGCAACGCCCAACTCATCTGCATGCGAGCTACTCGATATGCGTCTCTCATCTTGTCAGCGCTGCAAAGGAAATTGATGAGAAGTGTCGTTTTGCATTGTCAAGTCCACGCGCAGTGCCATCTTGCCATCTCTCAGGAATTTGGCACCGAGCCTTCGTTCAGTCCAGTGACAGAAATTGGGATGTGTTCCTGGACTGAAAGAACACTCGCACCTACTGAGGATTGCTTAAGTCTGAGTGCGTCACCCTAGTGTCGTGGACGCTCGAAGAACTTGCTTGGGTCATACATCCGGTGCTTAGAATGCGACATTTGGGTCAATTGGAATTTAGGATGCAGAAATGGTAGAATTGTAAACAATGGAAAAGGGTACAAGAAGTACGCGTCTTTGACGGCAAATTTGAGATTTTTAAGAGCCCGAGGCGATGAAGGGGACGCTGGGCCAGGAGGTGCTAGAACCAGCTGTTGAATGAAAGCTTTGTAATCTCCTCGGCAGCAGAATACATGCTTTCCACGCCGACGGATGAGGATAATAATTCCTCCGACACCCAAACCCATAACCCACAATAAATTCTTCGGGAATCCATCCACTGGAAACCCTGCGAACCCTGAAAAGGGTGAGAACCCGGAAAAGCTTTTTGAAAGACTGTCGTTCACCTTGGGAGGCTTCTCCGGAAATGTTTTGCCCGACTTCCACATGAGGAAATTCCCTAACCAGCCCGACATCGATTGCGAGGCTCTCAGCGACAATCCTCAGAGCCCGATCCCTCCAATCGATCGATCGATCGATCAATCAGTGGATCGGTGCACTCAGACCCAACTCTTCCTCCTAAACCCCCGATTCTTGAACCCACCAACCAATATGACTGCTTGCTCGATTGACCACAGTGTCAACTCACAGGAACACGGACTACTACGAACACATTTTAGGAGTCGGACATCGCCATGGGTCCACTTCCCTCATTCATTCGAGGAGCACCTTCAAACGTCAACTCAGAGCGCCAAAGGCGAAGGCGAGTGCGAGTGGCGCCATGGTGTTCTTCACGCCAAAAGCAATGTCCTCTGAGCAATGCGCTCTCTAACCGAAAGTTTTGTCTATTCTTCCCACAACGGATCAGCTTCACTGTAGTGGCTGTTCAGCTTTGGACCGACCTAACCGAAGAGACATAGACTGGAACATCTAGAACCTCGAGGTACCGTATGCCATGGCAGTGGGTCGTGGGAATCGAAGGGTCAGAAGCCACAGTGGCCTAATGTGGAAACTCTAGGCAAGCATGGCGTAGGGATGGCTGGCCAGAACAGCAGCAACCGCACTCCTCGTTCGGACACGAAACGTCCACTCGAAAGGTGAGGCGAGGCGAGGTGAGGCCAAACAGGAGGAGGTTTGCTGTGGATAGAAAGCACTGCAGACCAGGTTCTTTGTTCAGCCAATCGAGGTTGCACCGGATGGTGGAAAGTTAGCAAGCCTTGGCGCATTCGGAACCAGCTCGCTTAATATCTCTTTCGCTTCTTCATCCGACATGGAGGATTCGTCGGATGAGGATTCTTCGGGTCACAAGTTTTCCTCACTGGAGTCTTGGCCAGCCCGGCGTTCAGGGAGGGACGTGCTTCGTTCTCTGCACTCCCCTCCCCTCCTGCCAACTCACACCTTCATCTCCACCTCTCCCATCTCGAGCACATTGGTCTTACACTGCGTCGTGCCAGTCTATTCCCCAAGCATATGATGTACGATCTGATTCCCTGAAACTACAGAAATAGTACGAGGTGGCGAATTCGTATCTGGAGATCCAGACCAACGAAACACGAGTGCGTCGTGAGAGATGAATAGACCGCGATGCCCAGGCCATCAATTTGCTTTCGCAAGGCACGTGTGGAGAGCGTGGAATGCCCGTTATCTTCATGGTAGTCGGATTGATTGACCGAAGTTTTCATGACTCGAAACAGAAACCCGAGAACAAATCTGCAATCTTCGTTCCTTGATGGTGATCGGCATTTCCGGCATCTTCTTCTCGTCCCCAAAGCCAGCCCATCCGAAGGCTTCTCACACCATACAGAAGCTGCACGCTGGTGCTGGGTTTTAGAGAAACTACCGATCTATGTTCGCCAGGTACAAACGAAATTATCTTCAAGGGTCGAAAACAACTCTTGTGCATATCGGGCACAGACAATGAACACTCTAATCCTGGGCAACAAAAGTAGTGAGATCTGAGTTTGTTCGAAGATCATAACCATCCATTTGTATGCTGAGCACAGCAGTTTCAGTTTTGGAATACTGTACCAATTCTCCTAATTTTTGTGGTGGGCTAAATGAAATTTACAGCTGTCAGATGACATCAAACGAGGTCTTCAGCCACTCGGTGAAGAATTGCGCTCCGGATCTACATCGCAATCATGACTCGTGGACTGCCGCGAACACATTCCAAGCTCGACCTTTCCAGCTGAAAGCTGACTCCGGCTCTCTTCGAAGGATTTGCATATCGCAACGTACTCTGCCAAAGGGAATGGTGACCACGAGGCCCTGCGAAAACTGTCTCTGACATGTCCATCGCTCGAACATAAAGGGCCTCTCCTGTCGACATTAACAATTCTCCAAAGCCCTCCGTGAGCTCTCCTCCGCGGCCGTGACTAGGCAATAACAATACATTTCCTTGGCGTATAATAAGAATATATCTTATAAATAGGATAAGAATATATTTCCTTGGCGTTGAAAGGTGCAAGACAACCTGTGGATTCAGTGGAAAGTAGCATAGCGTTATTGACTCTTGGCGATGTGTATCAATGGTAAAGTCGACGTGAATATCCCCTTTAAATTTCACAGCTGATTAAAAAGTAATACCTGAACCTGAGGTCGAGAAATATTCATCCCACTATCTTAAACGTAATTACCGAGATAAAATTAACTACAAATAACATAATATATAATGAATCATCATGGTACATGTTTGTTTGTATGTGTTGTACAGGGATAATCACTATATGCAATCTAAAATGGAACGAAATAATAAAATTTTATGCACTCTTTCAACAATACATGTCTCGTATTTCTATTTACATCCCATGTAAGTGTTATGCGAGTAAGGTATTGATCATTTAACATGACATTAAATTTAAAAAGTTTTATTCAGAATTCAGTGACATGTAAGATGGAAATTGGCACGTTTGCAGTTGGAACTTTGTCAAAATATTTCTCATCAATTGCAATGCATTTCAACTTTCATTCACATGAGAGATGAAATATATTTTCAAACATCATTGTAAACATCATATTCGTAATAGTAAATTCTGGTGCCTTGCTATGATGTTCTTGTTTCTTTCGTTTTGTAGAGCGTTGTATATTATATTTTGTTAAAACATTATATCTTAATATTATTCTTAGCTTTGTAAACCTCAAACGGCTCTCACCTCCTAACTCCACTTATAACTATGAACTTTCAATCTTATGATTCAGATCTCTATGATAGAGACCGCCCAAGTTGTAAATTTTGTTCTTCAATTTATTTTTATTTTCAAAAAATATATATTTTCAAAAAATCATAAATAATTTTTTTTTCAAAAGACATTATTGATAGGCAGCATGTTAAATTATCTATATGAATGAAAAAAATGCAACATAAAAATTATAATAATCATTGAGTACGAAATTTTTAATATATATCCGAAATTATATATGTTTATGAATTATTATATTGAGAAAAAAAATTTATTTTTTCTTTTTTTTACATTCCAAATTATAAATTTATAAAATTTTCTAACATTTTAAAAATATTTTCAGTAAAATTTTATTCTTAATTTTTTTATTTGAATATGTTTAAAACTATCAAAAGCATTCGAATTATAAAAATTAACTATGTAGTGATCAAAACATTAAGCCATCAAATCTTATTTACGAGTATTATCATTTCTCAGATAAAATATAACAGCACACTTTCTCTTTACGTGTTATCGTAAAATAAAAAATATTATTTGATATCTACAATTATTTAAATTCAACATATGTTAAAACTCATAAAAAACTTGCCAAAATATTATATATTTGAAATTATATATATATATATATATATATATATATATCAAGACATTTCTATGAAGTACCGTAATATACAATACTTAGTATATCTAACTACTGAAATTTTTTATTGTCATATGATACATTGACCTTAAAAATATATATACGAGTCTCGTTGATGTACGATGTTGTTTATTATTCACGTTCTTTTTCATGTTGTTTGATCAGATAGGTAAGAAGAAATTTCATAATCTTTTTTCAATCTTTTATGTGTTTATCATGTTACTGAATTTAGTAAAATTTCATATAATGAATTCTATAGCTTTACATATAATAACTTTAGATTTTTGGTGATGTTGTTTTTATCAAATATTACTTGTATTGTATCTATGTTCAGACACATATTCATATCATAATTTGTACACTGTAGTAGTGTCAAACCTTACATCTTTAATGTTTTTATATAAATAAATTAATAAATGATTAATTTTTTACAATTTGATTACATAGAATCGTCATATCAAAATTGATTTATACAATTCATATAATAGATTTATATAATATTCTATGCATCTGACAGGAAATGATTTATTGTAACATAATATTTATTTGAAAAATAATTTGATATATTGCAAAAAACCACACACCATGCTAGATATTTTTCAAAGATAATCTACCATGACGATTTTATCCACAAAAAATTCATCATGTAAATCTAAGGTTATTCAGACATAACGCGGTTAGTCCCCAAGGACCTGAAACATCAAACTCCAGGGCCCTCCAAGGTTAACTCCATCGCTCTGATTTCGAGTTACAAACTATTAAAAGAAAACCGATTCCGGAACTCCGATCCCCATCTTCAAACACACGAGCCGTCTCGCCCCCTGCTATTCGGTACATCATTGAGAATAATAATGATATGCGCCTTATACTCTTCTTTATCATTTTGATGATCATTATTAAGCTCAATTGTAGATATAAAATTTGTAAGTGAATTATCAAAAGAAAACACAAAAAATTGCTGAAATTCTTTTTCTTGGTTCACCATTGAGAGATACGGAAGTGAGGTTACAAGTAAATTTACTGAAAAGGATAGTAATTTGCGTCTCTAATAGTTTTTGTGAACTTTCTTATGTGGTGATAGTCTAATCAACTTAACTAATTTGGATTAGTCTAATATAAGTCTAATCAAAATCTCAGTGAATTTATGGTAACAACATCACAAACATATACCTTACAAAAACATCAAAATAATAAATTTAAGCAGAAAGTAATTTAATATATAGAAAAAAATTGTTAAAAATGTTTTAATTTGTAATAAAAAATATGAAAATAAAAAATGCTATTATACTTAAAAGTTAAAATTAGTAATTTTGATTAATTTCATTATTAATAACATTTTTATCTAAAAAATTGCACTCTACTGTACATGTTATAGGCAAAAAATTAAAATTTAAAGTTAAATATCTTTCTAAATTTTATTTTTTTTCATAATAAAATTAATAATGTTTAAATTGAAGTATAAATTAGAAAATATGTAATCAAAGCTAATCATGATAATTTTAGTTAGTTTTAATGCTAAAATCATGCACTTACAAACATTTCAACGTTGACATAATATTAACTTGATTGATTTTGGTAAGCCTATGACATAAAATTAACAAAATAATTTTTCAAAACTATAGTTTATGCTAGTAAAGTTAATATTAATATTCGTATATTACAAAACTTAATTAAATTAATTGATTATGATCAAATCCATTAGAGGTAATCAAAGCATGGATTAATGACTAACACATCAACGAATTAAATTATAAAATGACATATAAAAAAATTATCTTAACTTATACACCATCGGTTCATTTGACAGTATGAGCACATGTTGGTTGAACCACACCATAAATTAAAGTAATCTAATACCAATTTAAAGTTCAGATTGTGAATTAAATTTTGCAGTACAATGATATCTTGACACATACAATTAGAGTTGTGGGATAAATAAACGTGAGAATGATGATGAAGATACTATACTCAAGCTTTAAAAACATGCAATTAGACATTAGCATGAAGTTAATCTAAATATTTAATGTTTTTATTCATATTATTTATTTTAATCACACTTATTTATATAAAATATTTACAAAATATAATAATTCTAGCATGACGAATTTTAGATGCAAACTTTGATGCGTTTGTAAGATAATAAGCAAATTATATTCGACTAGTTTGTAAAGCTAATCGTTAGCTTATTGTGTTTATCACTTTGGATAACATGTTTATATTGTCGTCTACACTTTATATATGATACTAGCTAATGCTAGTATCATGTATAAAGTGACAATTGTGTTAGTTCATTGGGGACCACGTAGATGGAAATGAATAGGATCAGGGTTTAGAAATCTAGCGATCATGTTTTGATCTTCAGGTCGCACGTGCCAAGTGTACTCGAATTTGATAGTTTAAATATATCGGATATAAGTATATATATACATTTCAGTGCTATTTGGGTTAGGTTTTGCCTTTTATTCCATTTATTCACTGCAAGGCTACTTTTCCCTTTACCTAGTCGGCAGTTGTTTGTGTTCAGGGAAAAATTGGGTTCTAATGTACATGTGAATCAAGATAAATGATCGAAAGAACGACTTAACATCTTGCAAATGGTCGACCACAATGATTCGCAGGCAATCATGATGCGGCCATAGAGCATTGATAGTCGGATAATGATGGAAATATTCTCGATGGAAACAGCAGGAGATGAAGCCTAGTAATACAGCGAAAAGGATAAGAAGTGGCATAATCTATTCCACACACCTGAATAGAAATATCCTGCAGAATAAACCTGCTCCACATCGAGAAGGCAGCACAGCACGGACACCGCATCATGTCCGATCGACCAAAACGACGGCCCGCATCTGAAGGCCCATGCGCTCTCTCTCTCTCTCACGCGTTCGTCTCCATCCATCTCTAGGTCTCGCTCCACTCCACGAACTTCCGTCACATGCTCGACGACGACGACGAGGCCTGGACCCGCACGGACCTGGACCTGGACCCGACGGGAAGGGGCCTCCCTCAGTCAGAACGCGTACCTCCACCCACCACCGCGGTTCGAACCCCGCTCTCTGCCGGTTAAAGACGTCCGGTCAGAGTCAGAAGGCGGTGAGAGCGGAGAAAGTGAGAGAAAAGCAGAGCGAAAGGGTGGGCTCCTGCTGCCCCCTGCCCTGCCCTGCCCTGCCCTGCCCGAAGCAGGCCTGGCTCTGGCTGCCCCGGAAGGGAAGGGAAAGAAGGAAAGGGACGGACGGAAAGGCTGAGTCGAGGACATGGGCAGGCACACAGAGAGAGACAGAGAGAGAGAGAGCAAGAAGCTCAAAAGGGAGAGACGAGGGATCGATAGGCGAGCAGCGGAGGGGATTGGAGCTGAGCTCGAAAGGCGGATTGGCGACGTCACATTGCGAGCAGCGAGGGGAAGCTCTGCTGCCCAGGTCTCTCGTCGTTGCCGAGCACAGCTCTCGCGCTCTTCGAAGCGGTTACGCGAGGCGAGGAGAGGACGAGGAGAGGACGAGGAGGATTCTGGAAGGGGGTGGGGGCCTTTTCTGTAAGATATTTAGGGTTTAGGAGAGGAAGAGTGCGAGGTTCGTGCGAGGCGAGGAGAGACGAGACGAGACGAGACGAGATTCGAAGCAGCTCGATTGATTCAGATCGAGTGTCTGGAGTCGGGTGCCCGAGGAGTTTGGGTGCTTCTGCTGTTGTTGTTACTGTCTGGAGGTGGGGGAATCCGGTGGCCGCGGATCTGAACCAGTCAACGTAAGGAGTACATGGGTGTTGAATCTTAGCGTGAGGTCGAGCTCCAGAGGCATGAAGGGAGGGGGAAGGTGAATTTAAGATCACCAGGGGACTTTGTTCGTGTCAGTTGAATTTAGCTCAGGTCGACGAACCCGGTCTTTGAATTGGTGGGCAGGAGGATTTTAGGTACTTGTGCGAGGAGGATCAGGGTTTTGGGTTGTCATGTCTAGGTATTAGATGGAAGGATTGTAGTATACGGTGGACAGATGCCGAAGATTGCAGCTTGTCTACATCCAACCCGGAGGTTATCAGAAGTTCGATGCTCATTGCCAAAATGAGGATCTGGATTGGAGCATTTGATTAGTTGGTATTGTGGTGCTGACCTTTTACGAGGAGAAAGAACGACGTCAAGCATGTCATCGCTTTTGGCAAAATCATGGATGCTATTGGGGCTGGGAATAGCTGGGCTCATAATTATAGGTCGGAGGCAGCGAGCTGCACTGGAGAAGGGTCATGGGGCCTTTATTCAGTACTTCGAGCTGCTGCCTCCTCCACCTCCACCACCGCCCAAAGCACCTCCTCCATTGACCGGCTTGACATTTGCCGTGAAAGACATGTAAGTTTCGCCCAATTGCTTCTGACAGGGACGAGTACGAATGGGGTCGTGCGTATTCTGTTATCTCAGATAGGAACCATAGGCATCAGTCGAACACGTGTTGAATAAGAGCGGACTGTCTATATTTTTCCATTTTAAATCGAATCTCTGTTTAGGCTTTCATTCAGATACGTAGTCTCCGATGCCTTTGGTGCAATTGGACGGTCCTCTGGAATTATTTACCATGGGCGTGTGGATATATCAGAGCTTTCGAATTCTTGGCTGGGATGCTCAGGTTGTGCCGAGATTAATCGTCCAGGCACATCAGTTGAATCGCAATCTCATTTAACTATGGGCCGTGCAGATTTGATATCGAGGGAATGGTCACAGGATTTGGGAACCCTGACTGGCTCAAAACTCACGAGCCAGCGATCAGGACTGCTCCCGCAGTCGAGCTTGTCTTACAAGCAGGTGCCAAATGCATCGGAAAGACCCACATGGACGAGTTTGCGTACAGGTAAGAGCCTTAGTCGATGTCAGCTCCCATGTCAGCTCCGAGTGTTAGCTTCCTGTTACTGCCAGTCGCTCTAATCTTCTCACAGGTAGTTCTTTAAACCTCTCTTACGCATTGTGCTTTTTGGGCACAGCATCAACGGAGAGAACAAGCACTATGGCACGCCTGTGAATCCTGCCGCGCCCTCCAGAATCCCTGGAGGTTCGTCCAGTGGCTCTGCCGTAGCTGTCGCTGCCGATCTTGTGGATTTCGCCCTTGGTAAGACGTAGTTGTAGACTCTGCAGTTCTTAGATTCTGCTTGTAAGTTGTATCTCTTTTGTCCGACCCATTTGTTGCATAAGTTATTGTCGATTTTTCATCCAAATGTGATTGGCTGTTTCCTTGTTTATTTTGCCTGCCTTTTAGTATTCTTATTTGTTACTGAATCGGGCTGCTCATGTGATCTACAGGAACGGACACAGGTGGAAGTGTCAGGGCCCCAGCAGCATTTTGTGGTATCCTCGGATTCCGTCCTTCTCATGGTGTAATACCCACGGAAGGGGTCACCCCTATGGCCCAAAGTTTTGACACTGTTGGTGCGTACTACCTCGTTTGCGTGAAGCCAGCTTGGTGATTTCGTATCCAAAAGTGGAGAAGATGTACGATTATTTTTGCACGTGCGAAAGTCCAGACATTTATTCGCCTCAATTGATTTCTGCTTTTGCAGGTTGGTTCGCCAAGGATCCAGCTGTATTGCGGCAAGTAGGGCACGTGCTCTTGCAGTTACCTTACATGGAAGTCAGGCAGCCCCGGCGCGTTTTAATTGCTGACGATTGTTTCAAAATGTCATTGTTACCCCAAGATCAGATTCTGGGTTCTGTCCTCAAAGCGATCCACAAGCTTCTTGGACGTAGGTTACTTCCACCAACTGTCAGTCTGTTTCAGCCTATGTGACATTCAGTCATTTCTACTGCAACCGTGTCTGGAGGTTGTATCCGAGTATATGATGTTGCAATTTCGGTAGAAACTGCCTGCCTTGGGTTGTTCCATGTCGTCGCGTACTACCCCACAAAATGTAGTCATCAGTGTCGGGCTTCGCCCACCGTCTAGGTCTCTAGAAATTTACAGCTTAGTCGTAACTTCTGGAACGCACGTGGTAAAGCTATTGAAGTTTAATGGTTTTAATCTTGCTGCTTTTCCCATAAGCAGGTCAAGTTGTGCAAATGATCAACGTTGGGGATTACATTGAAAGGAATGTGTTGTCTATCAAGAGCTTTCGTGGTGCCGAAAATCTTACCGGTTCAACTTTGGAGGGTCTGCGAGATGCCATGCGGGCTCTGCAAAGGTGAAGTTTGACCGGATTGAAGCATGAGTGCCTTGAACTTAAACCTTAAATTTGGGTTTTCTTACCTAAGTGCTATAAACCATCAGTTAGGCCTTTAACGATGAGTCTTCAGTCTACCTCTTTACTGGTTTTGAGAAAAGTTTTCTCATCATTGCGCAGGTGTGAGTTCAAAGATAATCACGGAGAATGGATAAACTCGGTACAACCAGATATCGGGTCTGACACGGCCGGGAGGATCAAGGACGCCCTAGAGGCTAGTTCTGACCTGGTTTCGTTGATTCACAAAATAAGAGAACAGTCACGGCTTGCGATGAACGAGTTGCTAAAGGTTGTCACTTTACCCAGTCTTTCACGTACACGACATACTGGATTTTATTGGTCGCAAGGACACGCAAGGATGCTGTACTGTGAATATAACTAATCAGAGTGCATTGCTTAACGCAGAATGACACCATCCTCGTGCTTCCTACTGTTCCTGATTTGGCTCCCAGGTTGAACTCGAAAGAGTCTACGTTAGCTGAGTTCCGCTCAAAGGCTTTTACACTTCTTTGTATTGGAGGGATGTCAGGCTGTCCTCAGGTAAGAGGTGTCATTGTTTTCGGCGAGTAGTTTATTGTCATGCCAATCTCGGTAACGACGAGAGAAGTTTGAATTATATTTTGCCTGAGTGTTCACGAATGCGGTTCTGGCTTGACACTTCCTTGTCTTCTTCGAGTAATGAGATTGTGAAATTTTTCAGGTGAATTTGCCTGTAGGAGAAGTGGATGATGTTCCTGTTGGAGTTTCGATCATGGCTAAACATGGAGGAGATCGTTTCCTTTTGGATACGGTAGTGGCACTCTATGCCAGCGTGCAGGAAGAAGCGAAAATTGTTTTTTCCAATAAGAATACCCTTTCCGTTGGAAGCGGCAAAAACGAGGCCGCGGAAGCAGCGAAAGAGAGGGTGAGCCTGAATATTCGCTTCTTGTTTGATATTTCCGTGCGAGTCGTGTGGTTTACAAGCAGGTTCGAAGATGATCTTATCTTCATTATTTTATTGCAACTGGATTGCAACAAAATTACCAACTGGTGGTGCCGTATGTGTTACAGGGCAATGCGGCGTTCAAAGAACAGGACTATCCCAAAGCTGTAACTCACTACACGGAAGCTATTCGGCTGGATGGTCAAAGCGCTACATATTACAGCAATCGAGCTGCCGCATATCTTCAGATGTGCAAGTAAATAAGTGCTTTCACAATGCAAATGTGTTTTGTTGATTTGAGATTCTACAGTGCGCTTGTGAAGTGTTGTTAATGGTCGTTTCTACTCTTTTGTGCAGCTTTCCTCAGGCAGAAGCGGATTGTACCAAGGCCATCAGCTTAGACAAAAAGGTAATTACTGTAAATCGTCTTATCTATACTTAGAAACGTAAATATTCGTTGAATTAGCTCCTCGTAACTTTCCAGTGAACTTTTTTTCCAAACCTCACACAACATTGACCGGAGGTTAGTTCAGGTGAATTCTTGGGAGATCTCTTGTTTGACCGATGCACAATGCATATATATGATGGAGGTTCTTAATTGTACTGAAATGGGTGCGCGATGCAGAATGTGAAGGCTTTGCTAAGAAGAGGCACAGCTCGAGAGTTTCTTGGTTACTACAAGGATGCGGATGAAGGTTATTTGCGTAGCACTCTCCCTTCTTGTTCTTCATGTGGGCGATTTCATAGATGGGTTGTTTGAGTTTTGGTGGCTTGTTAAAGCTTCGTGTTGGCTTAGTTAATCATAGTTATTAACTTTTCAATGAGAGAAGCAGGAGGTGTCACGTATGAAACGCTCATGAGGATGTTCAGGTGGACAGATCATAATTACATCTAAGTAATGTGGATAGAACGCTCTGTGATGGGCGAGTTGCAATTATGTTATTCAACTCCTACTTAATCCAGTTGCCACGAGGGATCGATTGGTAGTCACTTGCTGAGCATTTATGGTTGGTTGCAATATGTGTACAGATTTTAGGCAAGCGCTTGTACTTGAGCCAACCAACAAGCAAGCGATAGAGGCTGTGAAGAGATTAAAGAAGCTATTATACGAGTAGAATCCCGGAGGGAGGCCTTTAGGATATGAAGCCTTGTAAAATGTTAACATTGTTTTGCTTCTAAGGATTGCATATCTATATAATACCCCGTTGAAGTGGCCAGATGAAAGTAGTGTGCAGGATCTGTCTACTCCAATTGTGTGAAAAGCATGAAGTGGCCATGTAGGGGTTTGTTTAAGAGTCAGACTCAATTCCTCCTTCAGGTTGGGATTTGAATGTTGCCGCATTTCTTAGTCTGACAAGGTCCATGTTGTTAGGTGATTTGAGTCTTTCCATCTTGATGGTATAGTGAAGCCCATTTTGATACGCATATCACTGATTCAGAGTAAGTAGGCTAGTATCAGAGATCACGGATTAGGCAGACGGTAGAGCAGTTTAGGGAGAAAAGTGAAGGACAATGGAGTATGGTGAAGTGCTTCTGAATGTCACAAGCATGATGAATACTCGCGAATGTCACCAGAACAGAGGATGTCACATTACTTCTGGGATACACATCCTAGGTAGGAATAAATTCCAAACCATTGTGCAGTGCTTTGTGAGCCTTTTTTCTGACTGTAGGGCTTAATAAAGTCTTGTTCAAGATTTCTAACGCTAATTCCTGATGACTGTCGAAGAGATTTTTTTCTGGGAGTCAAACTTGAGTCAGTTAATGGTCTTGTGGTAGTTCTGGACTGCTCGGTTTGTTGAATGTGTTAACTTTCTGGTAGTTCTTGTGGGCCTTTCATTTCGTGAAACTTCAAGAGGTTCATCTCATCGTCGGTGAGGGAATCTACTCACACGGAGTCTTAGTTCATCGAAGGTGATCTATGGAAATATAGATTTGCACATCTGGAAAGTTTGAAGATTAAATACTGGTTCTGAAAATATGCCAGTTAATGCAAAATACCCGTAGCTCATTCGTTCTGAATAAGTATATTTTGATCCCCAAGCGCTTTGCCATATTTAAATAGTCCACTGTAATTCTGAAAGCTACCCATATTTCCACAGCCGAAGGTGATAACTTGCTCCAGTCACACGGGACATTCAGTAGAGCTCCAAAGATAAGAGATCCTAGATATTATGGGAGAATGTGGGGAACCAACTCATCTACTACGTCAATTTTGTACTTCTGTTCCAGAACTTGATTCAAAGGAATTGGTCCGTGTTCTTCGTGTTGGTACTTCTTCTGGTCTGCGTCTGTCGTTACTTTCTTAGTTTAGTGCTGGAGGCAAGGGAAATTTGCGCTATCATCTGCGCCTAATCATTCTGGAAGCTGGAAGAGACTGGCAAGGAAGGACGTAAGCACCGTGCCATGTTTTCCCGATGGCATGATCCAAGCAGTGCCCGATTATGTCTAAGTTGACAAATACTGGTTAGATTCTCAGGGTCGAGAAATCGGTACACTGCTAGCGAAGATTATTTTGGGCCAAACCATCTCAGAAATGGTGGGTATAATTCTGTGGTCATACTTTTTTCCGATGTTACATGACTGATGAAATCAGTCAATTTTGTCGAATTGTGCTTAATGATAATCACTACCCTTTGCAGCTTGCAGATAATATTTTTGATCAAGAAAGCCATCTCGTAAATATGTAAAAGCGATCAACAGTTTATGTTATTTACTTGCTCCACGAGAAGATTACATTACGGAACTAAATTCTGTTGGATTTTGTCTCTGACAAAATCAGATCTAAGTAATTCCTTGATTCACAACAATTATTTTATATGAAAAGAACATATTAATTTTAGTTTTTTATCCTTTGAACTAGCTATCTTTGTGATGATATCATGCTTGCATTTGGTACTTAAATTTCTAGAAAATTTTGTACATTCAGTAAAATGCATAAAATGAATAATCCCAACAGAAAAAAGTAATAGGCAATTTATCTTGATGAGGTTACATGCAGAATAATTTAAATATTTAAATCTGAAATTTTAAACTTGTTTCAAAAAAAGAAGACAATATGTAATAATAAATTAATTATATTTATATTAATTTAAAATTTGGTTCAAAAAATGTAAGATAATATGTAACAATATATTAACTATAGTTATAATTATTTAAAACTTGGTTAAAGAAAGTAAATATACTATATAAAAAATATTTAATTATAGTTATGATAATATAAAACTTTGTTAAGAAATTTAGTCATATGTAATAATTATATGTTAAATGACAACCGTTAAATTAACTATCAATTTTTTATTCATGTTTTGGATTATGTAATTTTTGTTCGCAATATAAAATTTTTTTCAACACAAATTACGGAATGAAATCTAATATATTTTATTTGAAAACTAGAGCTAGGAAAATATAATTAATAATAAAAAAAGATAGAGAAAAGTCATACATAAAGAAGATTTTTCTTAATGAATTATATTTTTGTTTCTTTAACATAAAATCTCAAAATTATTACAATATACATTTTTGAAATAATTTATTTCAATGCATGAATTATTTATGCATTAAATTAAATTTGGATAGATTTTAATATTAAATCTACCTTCAATTTGGAATAATTAAAACTCATGTAAAAATTGTATATTTAATAAAATGATATATATACTCAATAAATTTCACTCTTCTACTTAATTTGTTGCAAAATGTAATACACACTGGTTACAACAATAAAGGTTGATAACATCGTGGTACAATCTTATCTCAATCATACATCAATTCAATTCATTTCAATCAATTGATTCAAATCTTATGTTGTATTATATATTTAGCTTTTGTATGTGATTATCTATTTATTTTTTCAAAATATATTTCAACGAAAGTATACATCTCCATACATTATAAGAAATTTTCTTTTGTTTGGACCTTGTTCATAATGAACATCAAATGTAGAATTTATAAAATTTTGACATATTCTACTAAGATTCAAACTGAAAATCATAATCCTTTGTATTTTAAAGATACTTGATAATACATTTCATAACTTTTCAATGCAATTTTTCTAAATTTAATTATTACATGCTCACATTTCCTATAACTAGAATAATACTAGATGTTGTGAATGTACTCAAACACATGAGAATATTCACTATCTTGTAATTGTGAAAGTTTATTTTCAAATATATAGATTGAATTTTGAGCTAAAAAAACTTGAAATAGATTGTCAAGATGTATATTTTATTTCAATAATTTCTATTGAAGAATTATAAAAAATTTAATTGTAACAAATATGATAAGAAGAAGTTCTATTGAAAATGCATATATGATCACTGTTTTATGATTATCTAAATTAATACTTGAAGTAATTAATCCAGATTTTTATCATACTTGTCATTTTATAAATATGATTTTTTCAAATCAAATTGAATTCCATATTTGATGAAAATTTTTTTTAATTCATATCATTGATTGACATCAATTTTCTTTGTCGAGATTTTGTTAAAATTGGCCAATGCTTTGTTCCGTTACCAATACTTGACCTGGTTCTCTTGGGCGAAAGTCGAGTATACTGACAAACTAGACTCCAACGGAAGATTGCAACACAGCTTAATATTTGTAAATCTGTTGCATCCATGATTTAGACTAATCTAGACTAACTCACCATTTGAGAGGTTAATATTTGTAAATCTGTTGCATCCATAATGTAGACTAATCTAGACTAATTCACCATTTGAGACATAAACATCAAAAAAGTTGTTCCCTCTGTAATGCATCTATCTCGTTGTATTGTATCAAACTCATATTACATAAAACAATTTCATGTAATTTGAATACCTTAAGTCTGAGATTTTATACGAGGCCAGAAAAAGTCTACTAGTTGCATCATACCGTCCAACTAAAAAACATAATCCATTAAGAAAGTGAAATAAATTAGATCCAACTTTTCCGCAGTAAAGTGGATTCTGCACACATGCCTAAACTGCTGACATTAAAATGACTTTTGTCTCCACGTGCATTCGTTTCGAAATGCAACGAAATTTGGCGAGTTTCTAGTATCAATCGACCGCTTCTTGGATTATGTACGCCTTTTTTATGTGCGGTAGCATCTCATATTTGCTTGACCATTGAACAAAACAAACTTCCAAAATACGAATTGCATATAAACCCTTGGTGACCGCTAGTTTTGTACTCATTCTAGTGTACGAATATGAACGATTTCTGGATTTAAGAAAAACAGAACCGTGTGATTTCTTCTCGATCAAAAGTTACTTCTTTCATTGACTTTAAACAGAAAGAATTGTGTGAAAACATAAGAAGAGAAGAAAGGTATAGGAAAATAATATATTAGTCTCAAATACTGTGTACAACTGGTTTTATGGTGTAGTTGGTTATCACGTCAGTCTAACACACTGAAGGTCTCCAGTTCGAGCCTGGATAAAGCCATTTCCTATTGCCCCTCGCGACAACGAGAGAGTTGCTGGCTCGCTGGGTTTCCATACTTTATGGTATGACCCATATTTCCTTGCAAACATAACGATTATTCACAAGGACAGACATTGGGTACATAAACCTCTTGACCAGTCACAACTTTCAGATGCTCTTCCCAGAAGCAGCCGATTCCTCAAATTATTATAAACGTCGAGAAGGGAAAAACGTACAAGCAAATTATATAATAAGCTCACAACGCTTGGATATGCCTGACTTTTAGTGATGTTTTGGTTTGAGTGAATTTAGTATACTCCAGTGTAGAAGAGAATTGTAACATTATTGGGCATCTGGCGAGTAGTTATGGTCAAAACCACTTAATTACACTAATATATAAAGTCTGTTGGCATTGAATGGTGGAAGATGCAAAAATAGCAGGATGGAGTGCATTGAGCTGATTGCCAGGCATTTACAATTGCAATCTCGATGCCCTTAATACGGGATGCAGTTTGCCACTGAACCCTCGTGCCCTGCCGGGACGGACATGCATGGAGCACATTGTGTGGACCTGAAGCCTTCCTTTTGCTTCCCTTCTAGCGAACTGCTGCTGCACGACAGGCTTCGCTGCATCATCGTTCATTGGGGTGATGAGACGGAGGGCAGAACTTTACAGGACAGTACTTCGCGAATAGCCACTTCGATTATGAAGCACTTTCTGCTCTGAGAACACTCTCTGCCCATAATGTCCTCCTCGGTGACGACCGAGATCAATGTTTCAAACTCTGAGCGACGAGGAAATCTTTCCCAATGAAAAGGAATCATCTCGAAGATCATGACTTTAGCACTATCTCTCAGTGGTCTGAGCTGAGCTGATATCTGTTTGTATCCGGGCGATGGCCATCCGAAGCTTACAAGCACTTTCGCTTTCGTCAAGCTCGAGAGATCAAACTTGATGTACCATCCTGTTTGTTGCTTTGTAATTCCCGAGGGAGTGGCGCCTGTGCACGGTGACATTGGAGCGACCAATGTGTCGGTTACTGGCTTGAGAGTGAAATTTGAATGGCTTCAGATACGCTCGCGGCCTCAGATGAAGTGCATGTCAGACTCAAACACGAGACTGACAAATTTGGCCACACTACACATTAAGCAGCAGCAGCAGCAGCTGAATTGCTCGAGAAACCAGATCTTGTGACGAGTAAAGCGAAATTGTCTAGGGAAATCTTCATACTTTCCTGAGGAGTAAAGCTCCTAAGGCATTCATGAGTTCAAGATGGCTTGCTATTAGCGT